CCTACACGGACAAAAGGGCAAACTCAAGCCCAATTCTACAGGAACTTCTTGTCCAAGAACAGTCGGTCTTCGAGGCAAGCAACCCAGGTAGGCTCTGGCTGCATCCCGAGCTCCTGCATCCAGCGATGAGCTCCACAGTTGGGGTTGACAATGAAAAGGGGCCCCTGGTATGGCCCCCCCAAATAGTAGGACTAGTAGGATCTTCTGATAACAAGGACCCCAATAAGGCACCCCCCGAATGTCGGAAACCCCCATGTAACCTTAAGGGGGATGATGGCAGTATAGGGATTTATTATGACCCCCCCAATTTTAAAGGGTTCATTCCTAAACCCTAAACCCTAAACCCTAAACCCCAGACCCTAAACCCTAAACCCTAAACTCTAAATCAAGTCTGAGCACATGCCCCGGTGCCTTCAATGCATTCTGGCACTCGGAGACCGAAGTAATCTCTCGCTCAACCGGGCACCCGGCGGTGCCTGACAAGCAAGGGCCACATGAAGGCTTAGGGCTTAGGGCTAAGGGCTTAGGGCTTAGGGTTTAGGGTTTAGGGCTTAGGGCTTAGGGCTTAGGGCTTAGGGCTTAGGGCTTAGGGCTTAGGGCTTAGGGCTTAGGGCTTAGGGCTTAGGGCTTAGGGTTTAGGGTTTAGGGTTTAGGGTTTAGGGTTTAGGGTAAGTTTAGCAGACACAGTAGGCATGACATTGGCATGCTGTCGGGGGTGCTTGTGGGCTGTTTGCCCACCTTTCTCCAGCAGCTCGTATTTGGAAGTGCTTATGCTCTCCTCCTCGTCATCCTGACCGCGAAAAGCACACCGTCATATGATGACTCTTCTAGTCTGCTCCACGACCCCGCCATACACATCCAGCACCGGCCTATCTTTCGGGCACCCCGAAGATGGGAAACCGAACTTCGAGCAGACCCTAAACCCTGAACCCTAAACCCTAAACCCTAAACCCTAAACCAGAGCCACATCTGCCTGGTCGAGCACCTCCGCCTCTTCTTCCTCCTCCACTTGACACACATGATTAGTCGTCCCCAACATAGTTTCTCTTCAAGAATTCTACGAGTTCATGGTTGGGATAGTATTAAAAATTTAAATGTCTATTCCTTATTGGGTTTAAGTACCCCTAAAAATGTAACATGTTACCCAAAATTGACAAAGTCTAGTCTAGTCCCTACCTTCCCCGTGCCCTGAAGTGAGAAGATGTGAGAGAAGCGCCGCGTTGGGAATTGTAAACAACCGCCTCGGACACTCAACTTCTTGCACAGAATTGCCGGCTGTCTTCTGTTTGCGGCTTTAACGGCTCTGCGTTCCCCGGAGCTGTCAGTCAATTGGGAACCCGAGGTCTTTGCGGAGGCCGCAGAAGCCTGTGGATTTGACCCAAACATATCATGAAGCCGGCCAGGACTGACAGCGGGGCAAAAGCATCACAGGCCCTCGGCGCGCTTTACACAGTTGGGAGCTTCCACGCCCAGGCGTTTTTGTTTTAATTTCCCGAGGCTGTGCCCATAAGCACCCTTCACGCGGTTGTCCCCAAACCCTAAACCCTAAACCCTAAACCCTAAACTCTAAACCCTAAACCTGCAAACGGTCTCCTCTTGCCACGTGGCGCTCCCCAACCAGAGCTCCGCGCGCTGAGTCATCAGCCACTCCTGCAAGCTGCTTGAGGGTTTAGGGTTTAGGGTTTAGGGTTTAGGGTTTAGGGTTTAGGGCTGCTTGGAGGTTCATGGTACTTTTAACCCAATAACAGCTGCACTTAGAACCCCTTGTAAGCCCCTTAAGTGCCCTAAGTATGGTTATAGTTGGGTTGTATGTACAGTTAGAATTGGGTAACTAAATCCCATGAACCTGCAAGTATAGGACCGAGAAGGCCAAGGGATGAAGCCCCCGCGGTCCTTCAACGCCCCGAAAGATATCTCGGTGCTAATGTAGACCTGCTTTGTCGACGTATCTGGTCCATACCTTCCACGCGCAACCCCATAGAATGCGGGCCACTTGCCTTGCGCGGTCAGCATGCTGCGTGTGGCGACCAGAACTTCCGACAAGGTGCTGGACAACTACTTGTGGGATGGACTCAATGGCGTAGAGGTCCAGCCTCAAACAACTCTTGGAAACATGTTGCGGGCTCGGATCTGCAAAGGGTGACGACAAAACAAATGGACTAACTGCAAAAGCGCGATAGGATTCGCGCACATGTGCACAATGCTTCTGGAAACTGCATACGTTATCTGCAGCTGTGTGGCAGAGGGTTCCTCTGATTGTCCTCCTCTGCTGGCACGAAGCCGAAGTCCATGTGCGGCCAAAGCTCGTTGTCGCTGGACAGGGCCTACTACTCTAGGGTTTAGGGTTTAGGTGTAGGAGCCGTGTTGCCATGCCACATTGCAGAGTGAAGAACATCCCTAAACCCTAAACCCTAAACCCTAAAACCCTAAAACCCTAAACCACACAAATAGTCTGCGCATGACGACTTGGCCTTGAAGATGACAGGGGCGCGCTGCCGTCGAGAGAACAGCAGCACTTTGATGGGGCGCGTCCGTCCTTCCGTCAGATCACGCCCTCCGCAGTGCTACAAGAGCTTGTGTGCCACTGTTGCCCTAAACCCTAAACCCTATATAAACCCTAAACCCTGAAACCCTGAAACCCTGAAACCCTGAAACCCTGAAACCCTGAAACCCTAAACCCTAAACCCTATTCAGGAAGGCCAGCTTCTGCGAACCCAATCGTTTGCATTTTTACGCTACATGCCGTTAGACCCTAAAACCCTAAACTCCTAAACCTTAATTAAACTCTAAACCCTAGACCCTAGCCCTAAACCCTAAACCCAAAAATGAAAACAGGGTCCTGTCAAAAAGACGTTCAAGTTGCTGGCAGTGACGTGCAGTGTCCTCCAGCGCATGTGCGGATGATGCCGTGAAGACAGAGCAGGGGAATTGAGGGACCTCAAGAAGAGCATCGTCGTGTGAAACATGGGTCAAGCTGGGAACAAAAAAATAGATGACCCAAAGCAATGGCTTGCAACAATAGCATCGCCAGCCAACGTTGCGGTAGCTTGAAAGAAGATGGAAGGAAAAATGCATCAGAACTCGCACGGACCTGCCACCTACTTGGCACTCTGCAGCAACACCGCCGCCCAGCCCACATGGCCGTGAACGACGATCAACGACTCTGCTCTCCACTCGGTCCTATCATTGAAGGCCACCATTTTGGCCTCGGCAAACGAGCATGGGCAATCCACTTTGGCAGGCCCTCTTCCAGAATCAAGCTAAGGGTTCTGCAACAGCCGCCGTGAAGCCTTCTCTGGTGTGGTGCCCGCGGTAAAACCTGCCGCCACCTGACAATCCAAGACGAACAAGATACATATGTATATATATATATATATATTGTTGTTCTAGTCGCAGTCGTCGCACGTAATTTAGTACGTAGGATAGTGCGTAGTAGTACGTAGTAGTACGTAGTAGTACGTAGTAGTACGTAGTACATACAGTATACGTAGTACGTATCGTATACGTAATACGTAATACGGAGTATACGTAGTACGTGGTACGTAGTACGTGGTACGTAGTACGTGGTACGTAGTACGTGGTACGTAGTACGTGGTACGTAGTACGTGGTACGTAGTACGTAGTACGCGTAGTGACAGCGGTAGTGCCGGCAAGGGTAATGGCAACGGGAAGGTGGCGGTGGCAGCATCTGCACAGCAAAGCACTCACGCTACTTCTGCCAGTTGAAAAGCTGAGGCACGTGGTCCACGCGGATGCAGCAGCACCGTCGGAGTGTGCCGAATGTTGTGCTCCCCACACATCACGCGCCAGTCGTCACAGTTGACAATTCCCAGGCCTTAGAAAGGGGATGTTGAATCATCGAAGAAGGCTGAGAAGCAATATTCAAGTAATATTGCGAAGAAGCCAAAGTTTGAATCAATAGTGCTGCTCAACTGTCTGCAACCAGGTCACATGCTAAGCTATCTACCTCATCAGCAGATTCCTGCCGACACGGTGAAACATACCACAGCAGCTCAGCCTAATGCAAGCGCCAATCAGTTGCTACAGGGATTTCGTTGTCCTGGAAGCCTCTGATCGATTCGTGATCCGTTTTCTCGGAGGCAAACAGGACCATTGCAGGACCTGCGGCAAGCAATCCCTCACACTGCTGCAAGCCCTGTGCTTTGCCTCTGTCAACAGCCTGGGCCTAGACGATAGATACCAAGCCGGCCAAGCCTGAGCATGCACCCTCATCGAGAAACTGCTCAAGGTCCTTGCCCAGGATCCTCGCGGAACAGTAGGCAATTATGCTGCATTGTGCCAGAACGAAGTGCATCTTAGTGAGACTCGTCTGAGCCGTGTCATGACATGGCCAAGCTTTGGGCAGTACAAAACGACCTCGAACCTACGCTGGCAGTGGGCCTAGCCGAACCTGGTCGCTCATCTTCGCCTCAACAACTCTTGAATAAGCTCTGTATCGTCTCTGCTGCAAGATCCTCATGCGGAGATGATCTGCCAGCGATAGGTGTGAGCTATCGTTTCCAGAAAATCAAGCCTCCGCTGACCTGCAGCCATGCACATAGCGCTAAAACGAGCACCGCAACCATGAGGGGGGGAGCGATCTGATAAGGATCTGCTTGGACTGCCTCAAATCTATGTAGGGCTGCACGACGACTTGAACTGGAGAATCAGGGTTCCTTGTTGGGGCCTACTCCGGACAAAAGACCAAGACGATTGTGTGCTACTTGAGACGGAATATGCTGGAAAGCGTGCCGTCGCGAATGCTGTATGCTGGGAGTTTGATAGGGCTTGTTTCACATCGCATACCGGACTTCTCTTGAACATCAAGATGCAGCAGGTGCGCGCGGCATTGGTGAGGTAGGTACCAAGATAACCAAGAGAGCAGCTCGAAACCCGAACTCCAAAACCCTAAACCCTAAACCCGAAACCCTAAACCCGAAACCGTAAACCCGAAACCCTAAAAAGCCCAACCCACTGCTTCAAAGACTGCCATGCAATGCCTCGCGGATGACCTTCCACGGCGTTCCGAGGACCTGGAGAAAGTGGCGGTGGGCCGCAAGTAAAACCAAGGGTAAACCCTTTGTTTTTGCACCTGGACTGAGGAAGCCAATCGCACTTGAACCTAAACCCTTTTTGCAAGCAGGACTGCTTCGAAACCCTAAACCCTAAACCCTAAACCCTAAATGCTTTTAGCACTAAGCCCTGCAAACCCTTGACCCTCCTCCTCCTCCTCCTCCTCCTCCTCCTCCTCCTCCTCCTCCTCCTCCTCCTCCTCCTCCTCCGCCTCCTCACCTCCTCCTTGCTGCTCGGGCCGCTGCTTGAGACACTGAGTCGCGGAGATAGTGCGTGCACCTGGAATGGGCTGTTGGGGGTTTAGGGTTTAGGGTTTCTTTGCCACCCGTCTAGCCATGCAGGGTTTGGGGTTTAGGCTTAGGGTTATAGGGGTTAGGGTTTAGGGTCTGGGGGTTTTGGGGGTTTTGGGGGGTTTGGGGGTTTTTGGGGGTTTTGGGTCTAGGGGTTTTGCCCAGCTGCCGACACCCAAAATGCGTAACCCCTCACATGTCGACATGGGGCATAGTGGCGGCCAGCTCGTTCCCGTTGTGCAGCTGGCTCCATATCAACTGGCAGCCCTGCAACGGTAGGCCAAGTGTTCACGATTGTTTGCACATGTCACTGACACGCAACAGGAAGCTGACAGGGAGGACCTCGCACGTGTGGCCAGGTCTCAGCCACTGCGTTGGGCGCGTGAAGTATCGCACCTCACGATGGTCTGCTAAGCAAGTTGGAGCTTCAAAAAACCGCTCTTAGCTTTGGTGGCAAGGAGTCAGCACCAGCTGCCATTGAGAACGTGCATTTTGTTGTAAATTCTTGATCCCTGCTCTTCCTTTAAGATACACTCTTGAGCTTTGGCTGGTGGCCACTGGAATACCAACCCAGCTCCAAACGATCCTTGAGACTAATATTACGAGAGTCTAAAAACTCTGGCCTCTAATGCAATCCGTCCCCATGCCGACTCACGACCAGTGCCTGGACCACATAGTGCGCAAGCTGTCCACAACCTTGACAGCGCACCTTGTTCCGGAAATCCTGCAATCTGGCCATTGCTTCCGCTGACATTCGGTTTAGGGTTTAGGGTTTAGATGGGTTTAGGATTTAGGGTTTAGTATTTAGGGTTTATGGTTTAGGGTGGTTTAGGGTTGTTTAGGGTTTAAGAAGCGAGAGTGGTTTGGCTGCCTGCTCCTGCTTATCAGCTTCTTCGCGCGAGCTTGCCAAGGGCGGAACTGGTGGAAGCCTGAGACGGGCTTAGATTGCAAGTTCGAATGCAAACGTAAGCTGCGCAACTGCTGAACTACTGTGTATGACGTCCTGAACTGTACTGTAAGCGAACGGTGTTGTCTGGGGATAGCCTTGGGCTGGTATTTGCGCTTCTTCGAGGTCTTCTTCAGACTGTATGCATTTCTTCTCCACAACAATAACACCCCTAACGCCGTTGACGCCGTGCGCGTCTTCCCGTATTCGTGCCGAAATCCGCGTCTTCACGTCTTCTCACGTCGTTGCATCAGTGTTTCGTTTCGACATCCTCATCTTCACGTCGCCAACTTCGTGCCAAGCTTTTTACTCAACTGCTACAAACATCAGCGCAATCGTCTTCTCAGAAAGCGTTGTCAATCCGGTGTACGGCACCTAAACAAAGCCAGTTTTTGCCTAGAGCAGGCCTGCTGTGAGTGTGGCAGCTCAAGCATTGCCAGGTGTGCTCCTGACAGACCGCTGTCGACAGCTTGACACCGCACACTTTCTGGGCAGAGGTCTGTCTTGCGCCTCCTCTGCCGAGAGGTATAACGAGGCCGCAGTTGGAGGAAACTGCGGGTCCACCTCGCAAAGTGCGCACTTGGCCACCACAACAATCCTGATGGCCAAGTGATCATAAAGCCACCGGCTGAGGTACAGGCATACGTCTCCCCACGCTCTGCGCACGCCCTGCAAGGCAAGAATGTTGCAGTTCTTTCCCCGCTCCTGTTACTTGCGGATGGAGCCCATCAAGCTTTGGCCCAACAGCATGAAAAACAACGCAGTCACGCAAACTAGATTGTGGGACGAGCAGCCTTTCCTTCGTATCAGGGAGAACAAACAAATGGCCCAAGTCTTGAAGAGCATCCTGGTCCTTCAACAGATCGAGTGCCTCCCCCGTCCTAGCATCTGAAAACACCGGATCGATTAACCTCTGGACCCGACTCCTTAAAGTTGAACAGGACGTAAGTGACGGCCGCAATCAATTGTTAAGCTCGCTTGTTTCGTTGCGACATGACTTTCTAATTGGACGCGCGCGCCATCCCCTGGCGACCGGCAACAGCCAAACCACAAGAAACGACAGTTCAACAAGGAATATCAGGCATCAACGTATAATAGGGTTTAGGGTTTAGGGTTCAGGGTTTAGGGTTTAAGGTTTAGGGTTTAGGTTCCAAGCAGGTCACAGCGAGCCATCACAACCAGCCGCCTGCCTTTCGATAGCCCCCAGCTGTTCGGCCGACACCCGGAACTTTTCAGCATGAAAACGTTCGAAGGAGACCACCTCGCGAGGCACAGCACAGTTCGAGACTTGTGCCGATTCAAATCAGGTCCCTGCGCATGGCGTAGTATCTGAACGCCACATCATGCAACTATAGCTCGTATTGAATGCTTGCTCACCATGCTCACCGGATGCCGACCACATTCCCCCACCCTAAACCCTCAACCCTGAACCCTAAAAACGTAAACCCTAAACCCTAAACATCCCTAAACCCTAAACCCAGTGGCCGCCTTCGGCTCGAACGCTGCCGTGGCCAACGGCAATTGCTCGGCAGGTGCCTCTCTCTTATAGCCATCAACTCACCAAGACTCCTGCAAAAAAAGGGGTGCTTCTGCATGTGAGAAACTGCCTCAGGTGCAACATCTTCTGGAGACAGCGGGCTGCCTGAGAACGGAGACAGGTGGCAAGAGCAGAGATGATGCAGCTGGCAGGGCAACAGTACACTGATGAGAAACTTCAAACTTCAAACACCCCACCGACAAAAAGCAACAGAAACTCAACCGAGCACCCTCAATCTTAGACCCCGTTGATCAATCTTGCTGACCCTTGCCTGCACCAGGATGCGAGGCTTCCGCATCGGTGGTGTCTTCTTCGGCCGGCGACATATCTGGCCTGCAAAACCGATCGCTGCTGCACACTGCGTAGCACAAACTGCGACCTTGACGGTATTGCCTGGTACTAGTACCTGTCAAACCGAACTACCACAGTTTTCCTGCAAGGCCTTCAAGGAAAGATGTGAAAGCCAATCGATGCCGAGGGTCTGCGGCGAAGCAGACTTCGGTGTTCTCCTGCTCTCATCCTCATGTGGAAGGTGACCACGGGGCCTGCTCTGGTTCAGCGCATGCTACGCAGCATATACATATCACTATATAACTGTAGATAGTTGTATATATATATATATATATATAATTCTTTTCCCCCCCGCCCTGCCGAAGCTGCGAGGCCGTTATATATAATTCATATCTATGTATCTATGTATCTATGTATCTATGTATCTATGTATCTATGTATCTATGTATCTATGTCTCTATGTCTCTATGTCTCTATGTCTCTATGTCTCTATGTCTCTATGTATCTATGAATCTATGAATCTATGAATCTATGAATCTATGTATCTATGTATCTATGTATCTCTGTATCTATGTATCTATGTATCTATGTATCTATGTATCTATGTATCTATGTATCTATGTATCTATGTATCTATGTATCTATGTATCTATGTATCTATGTATCTATGTATCTATGTATCTATGTATCTATGTATCTATGTATCTATCTATGTATCTTTGTATGTATGTATCGATGTGTCTATGTATCTATGACCACCAATCAGCTTCCAAATGAGGTGGGGAGACCTGTCGCCCGAACCAGCTGACGGCGCCTGTCGCGTGTCTTCGTGCCACTCAATGTAAAACCAACCATACGAAATTGCTAAGAACAAGTTCTTCCACTTGTGGCGTCGAAAAGGTAAGTGCCGCACAACAGGTTCCCGCTGCTGCGCTGCCTCAGGTGACGTAAAAATAGCTTGGGCTCACACAAATCAACCAAGAATTCCCCGTCTTTTTCCTGCAATTACAACATCTTTCGGCGCCGTGTTCGCAAATCAGCATTTTCCCCGTCTGGATAGAAATGATGAAGGCTCTTGGTCTGTTTTCTTTGTGTTTTGCATTCTTGTTAAAGGGGACATGCAGTGGGCGCAGGACATCCCGGCCCGCTGGAGAGTTTGAGTCAGGGCTTGCCGGGAGCAACTGAAACAAAACTTGGCAGGGATTTGGAGGGTTTTGGGGGTTTAGGGTTTCGGGAAAAAATTCAGGGTTTTGGGATGGTTTGTGCTTAGGGTTTAGCGTGGGCTTGGTACTTTAAAACTACACCATGCTGACATGACACCGCATTAGAAATAGAAAAGCTGACTGGAGAATAGCAGGCATGTGGGTATTTTGGATGCTTTTGCGGAGAAAGTGAAGCATAGCAACCAGGCCTCCTGAAACTTGCTGTCGGGACCATGGAATGAAGTAAATGCTTGAAAGTTGCATTGTAGCTTTGATCCGACGGTTACAATAAGTTGGAGCGTGCTGAACCGCTTTCGCCTCGCTGAAAATGTGTGTCCTCGTTGCCTTTTTCCCTCGTCATCGAGAAAATGTTCATGTTAAAGCGCACGACCTAACCCACACGGGTTTCTTACGTTGAGCTGCTTGGAAAAGCACGCACTGGAACCACAAACGCACATGACGCTGACGGGATTTTTTTTTGTACATTCCAAAAACACTATACTTGTGAGTTCTGTCATCTAATAATTAAGCAAGAAGGAGATGGTTTATTCGGTAGCATGCCGTTACATCACGTCAGGAAATTGCCACGATGGCCTCCTCATGAAAAATCAATTCTGATGGCTCCAATGGGCGAAGCCTACGTAAACGGCTGCGTACCTTTGGCTGGGGCCACCGCTGGCGCATCCTCCTCGAGGGACAGCCTAGCATCATGTGCAAGATTACACGAAATGTTGTGATTCGTGCGCGCGGCAAAGACCACATACGCAAACAACGCGCAGGAACCATGCCAAAGTTGAATGCCCTTTCCAAGGCGCGGGCAACAACTGCCGAACGATGCCACAAGCCGCGCGCAACACCTTCTGGTAGAATTTGATGGGGGTGACGCCGGAAACACATGCCAATGCTCGCGGCATCAAATTGAGACCAAGGATTCAAACTGCCACTGCCTCTACGCTTGATGGTGTCCGCGCAGTGAAACCTGAACGGCGACCAGGAAAAGCAATAACAATTGCTTGCAACAGTTGCGAAAACCAGAGAATAAACAGGAACAAGAGAAGCGAACGCAACAAGAAAAGCCAGCAACGTAAACAACGACAGTGGGGAATGAGTAGCTGAGTAGCTCTGCTAAGATTGCACAACAACAAAACGTATATCAAGCAAACGACCAAGACAGCAACCACAAGCGACAACTAACACAAAAGAACGACCATGTGTCAGATCTGTGAACTATTTCCAAAAACAAACCAACAAAATTCTGCTGGGTGTCGCACCACGTGTGCCGCGTCGAATACCGCATGCAGACAAAACCTTGCATGACATGTCAAACCAAGCACTCCCTAACTCTCACATTGTCGCTCCCATGTAGCTGGCAACACAAAACAAAATTGGCAGGCACCCGTTGCGCTTCTGGCGAAACTTTCCCGAAAACCTGCATGGCGGAGACAAGGCATCTGTTGGCTGATGCTCGGGCACATTCTTTGGATACATGTTTACAATCGTTCTTTTTCCACACGCCTTTGTACGTCAGCAGCAGTTTCCGACGCTCAGCGCAGCGGCAGGCGGAGGGCCAGGACCTCATCCAGCTCCGGCGACGCGGTCAACGCGGGCCCCGGCAGGGCCCGCGCGCGTCCAAAGGCTGTGTGGCCGACCGCCTGCTGCACGGATCCTCGTGCCACCGCCCTCCCACCTCGCAACCGAGGACGCATAGGCTTTGCGTGCCACCGGCCACCAGTTTGGGGTAGGTGGCGTGTGTGTGTGTGTGTTTTTTTCCGCGTCTTTTTCCAACGTCCTAGGCGACGTGGTCGCGCACACCTAGTGGCCTAGGGCATACGGCTTGCGAGGGGCGGGGATTGGGAGGAGTCAGCGAGGATGTCGCTGAGCAACGGCGCCGCGCCATCAACATTGGCCGTGCCGGAGAGAGGCAAGGCGAGGAGGCTAGCTACGAAGGCGCGGGCGGCCGAGGCCGACCAGCGCGAGGCATAGGCGGAAATGCCAGCCCCGCGGGAGAAGGCGTGTTTTTTTTTTCCCCCCCCCCTCGCACCTTTTTTTGCTGGTCAAGGCGGTCCCAGTGCAGCGCAACGGCAAGGCTCGCAAGCCTTCACGGGAGGCGGCTGGCAATGGGGGGAGGCATGGCGGAGTCCACGAGGACCTCGCTGAGGAGCGGGGTGTCCCCATCAACGTTGGCAGCGCCACCGAGCGGGAGCGACAGAAGAGTGGCGGCGAAAGTCCGCGCAGCTGCGAAGGAGATGAGGGACGACCAACGCAGCGTGAAGGCAGAGGCCGCGCCCGGCAGCGAGCAAGCAAGCGGACGAAGTTAGCGGCCTCATTGCTCCAGCGCCCCCCAATTTCAAGCGCAATGATGGTGAGCCTGCAGCGGTGGGCACGGCAGAACATCGGCAGAACTCTGGGTAGGTGCGCTCCTTGGCCCGCCTGGCTGCCTGGAGGGCTGCACCAGCAGTTTGGCCCCTGACCCTGCGCGGGGGACCAGCAGCGGTGAGGGGAGAGACCAGGGTGGTGTCAACCGCGACCTGGGCACCGCCCCACAGAGGCAGGCCGTTGGCGATCGCCTCAATGCGCCTGTCATCCTGACGGACGGGGTCGAGATTGAGATCTCGGACGAGGACGACCGTCGCCCTTGCTTCTCTGCAGACCCCGGGCGGCCGCTCGCTCCAGCGGGCCAGCACGTGCTGCGCAGGACGCTTAAGCGCGGACACACAGCGCGGTGATCGACAAAAGGGTTTTGTCTTGCTTGGCATCGACATCTGGCAGCCGTGAGGGGCAGGGGGAGGCGGAGCCTGCGCAAAAGGAGCACGCGAACAAGCGGCGATGCCAAGGAAAACCCAGGCAAGGTGGGGCGGGCAACGAAAACTCGCGCAGCATGCGGACCGGCTTGCGAGAGCAGCAGGGCAGCGGAGGCCGAATCTGCTTCGCGTAAGTGGCGACTGCCTGGGAAGCGGGGCGCTGCCACCCGCGGGTGAGGTTGAGGGATCCGTCCTCATTGGGCTGGGACGGGGCTTCACCCTGAAGCAGCTGGGCCCAGTCAGGAGGCTCGAACCCGATGGCCTGTAGGGAAGAGCGGGCAATGCGCAAGGTTTCGAGGGCAGGGGGGGCCGTGCAGTCGGCTTCAAGGGCGGCAATGAGCTCATGAGCATGGGCGGCATCACGCCGAGCAATGGCTCGCAGCGAGTCGGCCCAGGAGGCCCAGTAGGCCGCAGGCGCGTGCCTGGCGGCACTCCGCAGACCCAAACCACCATGCCGCAAAGCAAGCTGCGCACGGGCCTGCGCGGTCTCCGGCAAAGCAGTCCCGGCGTCAGCATACAAGACTGACTGGAGGCAACCGAGGACTGCAGCGTCATGGCTTGCTGCATACCCTCGCGTGTCATCGAGCGGCAGGGTCCGGATGGCATACTGCGAGGGTTGCACGCAGTCTCGAAGTGCTCGGCAAACTGTTGCGCCAGGGTCCTGGCGACAAGGCGGCGCCGTGCGTCCCCAAAAGGCATGCAAAGGGCTCCGCCCAGCGGCGTGGCCCCGTAGATGACGAGGTCCAGGCGTCTGCGGTCCTCGGGCGCTGCCCCGGCGCGGTGGTGTGGACGAGCCACGGCTGGGGCACCACATGACCCTCCGGCCGACGGCTTCGCGGGCTACCCTTCTGGCAAGGAGGCTAGTCCGGGGCCACACGAGCGCGTGGTCGCCGAATACATCCGTACGGCGGCCGCAGCCGGGCTCAGCAGCGCTCGGATTGCCACAGGGCGAGGTGGAGGGGGAGTCGGAGCCGCCGGCGCAACGCGATCTGCGAAGATCGCGTTTGAGGGTGGGGGGGGGAGGTCGCTTGGGATGGCTTGGAGCCAGGCAGCGGCATGTGGTCCTGCTTGGGATCGCAAGAGCGCGCGCTGGGATGGCGGCAGGGAGGGCAATAACACGCTGTCGCGGAAGAAAGCGCACTGCGTATGCGACGCAAAGTGTTGCCACCCATGCCTCCACTCACCGGGCTCGGCGGTCCTTCCTGTCGGTCAGGTGGGCTGGCCCGTGGACGACGAGCTCCCACGAAGGCACGTCTGCCACATCTTCAACTTCGAGCCTTTCCACGCCCCAAGTGCGGACGTACTGCGGCGTGCCGGATAGGGGTGCCCAAAGCCACGAAGCCACGCTCCTGGCGAGGCCTATCGCCACGCCAAACCTGAGGGCCCAAATCGGCGACCCTGGGCGGCGGCGGGCACCCGCGTAGTTGAAGACGCGCGTCTTACCCAAATTGGCGGCGATTCTGGTGTGGGTCACAACAAGGTCCATAGCGGTTCGCGCCCGGGCGGGTCCCGGCAGGACGACGTAAAGGTTTTTTGTTTTTTTATTCGCCTTTTTGCACCTGCAGACGACGGTCAGAGGGTCGACCTTACAACAGGCGCTCGCCCGGGGGCTGCCGAGTGAGCCTAGTGCTGGGGGGCAGCGGCAGGCGGCTGGGTTCCGGGGGCGCCAGCCAACGTGCGTCGGCTAGGACTTGGTGGAGGTCTGGCGTCGTTCCGCCCACGCAGCCCTCCCCGGCTAGCGGCAGCTCGAAAAGGGAGCTGGCATATGTGCGCTGCGCTGCCACCGCCAAGAACCCAGCCCAGCGCGCGACCCAGGCCGCTTGCGCCGCCGGTCTGAGTGCAGCGGGGACACCGTCGGCCCGGTGCCGGGCCAAAAGGCGGAGGAAGCGGGCGGCCTCGGCACCAAAGCGGCCACCTACCTCGAGCGGCAGCGCCGAGCGCGCGCTAGCTCGGGGAACGTTTGCTGTCGCTTACGGCGCGCTGCGGCGTCGAGGATGGCGGATGCTGCGGCGCGGTGCGTGCGCGAGCCGGCGGCTGCCCCACCGCGAGCGCCTCCTCCTCAACCCCCGTGCCGATGCCCGCGCGCTGCTGCGCTCACACGCTGGCGAATGGCTCCGCGCCATCCCAGCTCACGCAGCCAGTATGCTCGCGCCACCCGAAATCTTCCTCGCTCTGCGCCGACGCTTGCGCCTCCCCCTCCCATGCGGCCATCGAAGTCGCACGGCGCCGGAAACTCGCGGTACCCTGAGCAGCAGTGGTCCCGAAACAACCATCCAGCGGTCAGTATCTGAGCTTGCTCGGCCCGGACCGCACAAGCTCGTGGTGCTAGCATCTGAGGTCGGCGGGCGATGGGGCAGCGAGGCCCACGATCTCGTGCGTCGCCTCATTCGCGCCGAGCGGTGCGGTGGGCAGTGCGCCAGCCACGTGAGCCGGCCAACGTGGCTCGAGCCTCCGCCCGGAAGCCGATCCTGACCCCGCGTCCCGCGGCCCTTCGATGACTTCCTTGTTGCGGCTGCGCAAACAGCGCGCGAATACCAACCGCCGAGGTAGCGGACGTTGCCGACGGACGTTTAGTCGCCCTGAGCAAGGCACGGAGGCCGTCAGCCGCTTGCTCCGTGCTGCAACCAAGACATTCCCCCCGTGCGACCATCCTCTCAGTGGATGCCGTTGGTGCGTCATGCACGAGGCACTGCTTCTATGCTGATCGGCCTTGCTGTCATTCGCAGCCGCCCGCGCCTTCGCAGCTAGCCTCCTCGCCTTGACTCTCTCCGGCACGGCCACTGTTGATGGCGAGGCCCGTTGCTCAGCGACATCCTCGCTGACTCCCCCAATCCCCGTCCCTCGGAAGCCGTATGCCCTAGGCCACTAAAAGTGTGCGCTGGGACTATTTCGCCTGGGACGTTGGAAAAAAGCGCGGGGCGAAAAAAAAATAGTAATAAACCCCGCACTCCTTGAACACGGCGATGCGCGGTTCCTCCGCTCGGCATCATCTGATCGGTTTGCGGCAAATGGGGTTTCCTGGTGTGCGCACCCTGCCCGTCGTCCGGGCCCCTGCTCCGGCCGATTGTCTCTTTGGCGCCCTGCGCGGTGACGGAGTCTTGCCCTCCGTTGCATCAGCCATTCATGCGCAGGCACGCGGGCGTGACATCGGCTTCTCGACACCTGCGTGGGCCCTTATGTGCACCCCTCCGTCTGTTTCGGGTTGGAGTTTATTCCGGCAGGCCCGCAGACAGCACGATTTCAGACTCGTGTACTTCTGTGGGGTCGTCGGCTTCTCGGTTGGCCACAGGGTTCACCCAGTCTTGCTGTTCAGGCTGGGCGGGCCACGCGCCCGTCGAAGCTGTCCCTTGCAAAAAGGGGGCGAGGTGCAGATGATGTTGCATGGGAGCTCCAGGACCGCCTCAGCCGGGAAAGGGAAGCCGGGCACCGCGCAGGGCATCAGAGAAGACGGTGGGCGGGAGTGGGGGCAGGTTCCGTGGCGAGTCTCATTCACCCGTTCTGTGAACTAATATATGGGCGTGGGATGGCGTGGGATGGCGCGGGTGTGCCGGACACAGCACAAGACCGATTGTAAACAGGGCAGCAAGCCGATCGACAGGTAGCGCCGCCGCGCCGGGGAGTGCGCGAACCAGTCGGCACCAGCGCTCGCCGCATAGCGGGTGCTGTGCCCATGCTCGCAGCCGCATGCAACAAGGGAACGTGCAACCAAGAGTTTTTGCACCCTTCCGGCCGCCCAGTAGCCCGGCGTCGTTTGGCGAGGCGCTGTTGGGGGCGCGTCTCCTGGAGGTGCTGGCGGAAACGCCGGCGCCTCGGCCGTAAGCGGGCCCCCACGTGGCGATGCCAAGGGCGTGTGAGCACTCAGCGTGTCGGAAAGCGTCTCCGCATCCGAGGCTGGAGGCGCTATGGGCGGGAGGAGTCCCATTTGGGCCAGGGAATGCAGCGTGGAAAGGTGCTGCCTGCGCATGGGTGGCTGATGCAAGGGAAGGCAAAACTCCGTCACCGCGCAGGGCGCCAAGGAGACAATCGGCCGCAGCAGGGGCCCGGACACGGACGACGGGCAGGGTGCGCACAGCTGGAAACCCAATTTGCCGCAAACCGATCAGATGATGCCGCGCGGAGGAAGGGAGCATCGCCGTGTTCAAGGAGTGCGGTGTTTTTTGTTGTTCGCTCCGCGCCTTTTCCCAACGTCCCAAGCGAAGCGGTCCCAGCGCACACCAAACGTGAGTGGCCTAGGGCATACGTGCTGCGGGACGGGGATTGGGGGGGAGTCAGCGAGGATGTCGCTGAGCGACGAATGACTTCAACCACAGGCGGCACAACCACGGAACGCACACGAAACCCGCGCGAGCTGTCCCGCAAAGCAACCCTGCGCAAACTCAACAGCCGGGCCCATGCATAACCCGGCTGCATGAGACGTGCAGTATCGGCATCATGCCACCCATAAGCTATCCTTGAAGAACGACCAACAGCATGGGCCTGAAAGCATGCTGTCGGCGGGCCTGCAGGAACAAACTCCAATCCAAAGCAGACGGATGGATGCACTACCTCTGCGAAGTCGGATGGTTCGGATGCGACTACACGTGTGTATCATACTTCTCGCACGTATTGTGTATTCCTTGACATCCGCATGCGACCTTGTCGACCGAGCCGTTCAGTGCTCGTTGGTCCAGCTTGCTCTCAGACATGGGATGTTGAATAAGCAGCATCGTCGCTGTAGGAAAACCTAGATGCGAGGTGGTGGCTGAAAGCCCATTCCGGGCCGCCTCCTCCCCGTCGACAGCTGCCGCCATCTCCGCCCTCACATTGCGGTGGTCAGCCCCTGGTGTCCGTCCCTGCCGCGCGTTCCTTCGCAGCTCGTCTCCCGTCGACTCCGTCCTGCCGCGCCCGCCTCCCGTAAGCATGCCGCACGCTTTGCTGCCGTGGGACCAGGCATTGCCCCAGGACTGCGATGGATCCCGGAAAACTGCCACCACTGTTCGCGCCACAACAAAGCTGCGCATGCAGGCCAAGCTAGCGTCGGTTTCACGTTCGTGTTCCGACCTTCGGCACATCCTCGAATGCGCTGGCGACGTCGGATGTGCTCGGATATTGCTGCCCTCCTCCGCAGCAACATGACGCTCTGGGCAGGCAACATGCCGCTGGCACACCAACCAGGGATACTTCCCGAAGTGCGTCCGGAAAGCATGCAAACGTCCAGTATCTCGGTGGCTCTGCTCGTTCTTGCGGAAAGCAGTGGGAGCAGGCAGCTTCTGCTAAGAATGCTGACGTTGAAAGTAAGGCTAAGCAGGGCAAGGGCGGGCAACAGGTGAGCTGCAATGCTGCAATCCGATGCACTTCTCATGGCCATGTCAACCGCTTGAAAAGTTCGGGGGTCGGCACGAACGGGCGCAAGCAGAAGCGGAACGCCTCGTGGCGCTCGTTGCCATGACGGGCTGCATTCTCCAGCTCTCGCTGGATAGCATCCAGAGACACCAAGACCTATGCAGCACTCGGCACAGAACAGCTTGCAGTGCCGGCCACAGTCTCACGCCTCTGCCATGGTGGCATGCAAGGCAGTCGCATCCGGCCTTGAAAGTTCTCAAACGGTTCTAGTCACGACCCGGGATGAGCGCACCGAATTTACACACCTTTGATGTGAGGCAAGGGCTGTTCGCCAATGAGAGCATCGATGGCTGACTCTGCAAGAGCTACCTTGGTTTCGGCGCAGCAGCTTTTCTCACATGGCAAGATGGCTGTGGCTGTGGAGCTCACGGAAGGGCTGCGCTGTCGCCAGCGTCTGCAGCAGCGCATCCGCGCCTGGCCAAGAAGTGCCAAACAACCCCCATGACGACGAAGATCCGAAAAACGAGCCACAATCCAAAAACGAGCCCAACCAGCCGGGATGATGCCAATGTTAGCTTGACCAGGGTCAACCTCTACTTCTGGCATTCCCACAGATGCCTGCGTCATCCAGCGCTGGGGTCGAACATGGCTGTGGCTTGCTTTCGCCAGCACATGACCGAACTCTTACACTTGCGTCTGGTACTAGCATCACCTGCATAGATGCATACCTCTGTGTTGCACCTTCTTTCCCTTAAACCCCTGGCAAGGCTTCGCGATTAAGCCTTTTATGCTGCCATAACTTGCTTGAGGCCATTGCTGCAGAGGGACTCCGCAACGTCGGTGGACAGCATTTGATAAGCATCGCGCTGAGCTTGGGCGATTTCGGTGATGTGACTGTAGGTCGACGGGACTTTTTTCGGCTTCTGCGGCGCGCTCTCAGAAAGGTCCTTTGCCCTCCAGAACTGCTTTGCCACCTTGCCGGAACCTGAGCGTTGCAGCGACGCTCATACATCACATATATTAAATGATATGTTGTAAAAAGTATATATATTCTACGTTAAACATTATATCTTATATCTTACATAATATTCATGGTATATGATATACTCTGTAGTGTATTGTATTGGTTTATGCTCGCCCAACGCCCGCAGCTGAGCTTCAGTCACTCCCTCGCTCCAAGGAAGCTGCAGGCGCCTCGACCTGGGCCATGTCGAAACATTTCGAACATGTTTATATATTATATCATATCATATAGTTTCGCATAGAAAAGTATAGCATCATATAGCACATTAGTACAAGAATATAGCAGCATCATAATATTTTACCAACCCCTAGCAACCCCATCGATTGCGGTGGCCCAACTCTGCGGCCCAAACTCTGGCTGCGCAGTCTGCGCGCCTGCTTCGGTCCTCCGCCGCCTCAGCAGATTGAAAGCTACCAAGAGGGGTTTAGGGTTTAGGCGGTTTAGGGTTTAGGGTTTAGGGTTTAGGGTTTAGGGTTTAGAGTTTAGGGTTTAGGGTTTAGGGTTTAGGGTTTAGGGTTTAGGCTGCGTTCATCAGCACCCTCCCTTGTGTCGATCCCGTGAAATCGCATGAGCAGAGGTCTTTGTGATCTCATGATGTCATGTGCTCTCTCCCAGTCATCTCTCCCTCTACGCTTCTTGTTTTGTAAAATCCCTGAGGAAAGCGCCGCCGTCCCAAGGGCTCCTTGCGAGCTAGGGCACGTTGGCCAATGACCACCGACATGTGGAGAGTTCTCTAAATTAGGGTCCTTTTCGGGTCTTATATGGCACGGCTCTCTTCTAATCTGGAACCCCCAAAAGGAACCCCAACATACAGCCCTCCCCATGTGCAAGTAGCTACACACCGAGTTTAGGGTTTAGGTTCTAAAGGCTTAGAGTTTAGCATGCGGAGCTTGTTTCTCTTTTGCCGCCAGCACAGGCTGCGAGATTGGCTCAGGCGTAGCCGCCGTTCCTCAGTTTGTACCTTGACTGCGCTTGGCCCACATGGATCCCGCAAGAATGCAACACGCCGACTAACTATACTCGGTCATCGGGTGCATGATTGATGCTTGTCTACCTGCCCACCGATTTCAGCAAGCGGCAAGCGATGGAAGTTGGCCTCTGCCTGCTTGCTTCGCGACGCGCCTGCGAAAGCAACCCTAAACCCTAATCCACACGCAGCAACAAAACTTGGAGTCTCCGGGCACCTTCACTCTATCGGAGTTTCTGCATTGTTTGGCTTGGCTTCTCCTTCTGTCCCCACTGTCGCCTCTTTGAACCACGTTCTGCAAGCCACGCACATCCACGGCTTGTCCCCACTGAGCACCCTTCAGCTCAAAGTCGGCGACGTCGGTGGAAGCCTGATTTGCAATGCTTTGGCAGCGTCCACGAAACGAAGAACAGACTGGCACAAAAAAACCCGCCGGGCCCGTCGCCGCAGTAGCAGTAGCAGTAGCAGTAGTAGTAGTAGTAGTAGCAGTAGTAGCAGTAGTAGCAGTAGTAGCAGTAGTAGCAGTAGTGGCAGCAGTAGTACAGTAGTAGTAGGAGTAGCAGTTGCCTTGGAGCTCCAGTAAGTTCCATCATGTACTCGCAGCATTGGACCGATGTGACTCCAGTTGCTGTTCTGGATGGCCTTCCAAGAGCGCCCGCATCAGAGAGCGGAACAACTGAAGACATCAACCCTAACACCCCACACCTCGTCGCTATGAACGATCTGGTGTCCAAGCTGCGGCGGTGCGCCGATCCTGTCCTGGACTATGGCAACGCCTGGCAGCGACTGGGGCCCGCAAAGGAGATTGCAAGAGATTTGTGATCTACAGCGGCCTCGATTGTATTGAGGCACAGCCAGGTCGTTCGTGTAACCAATCTGCAAACATTTTGCTGCAGCGACATTCACGTGCTTCAAGCACATCTGAGCAACTAGGCACCGGCCTGGCGCTGTCCATAGCTGTACAGCTGGTGGGCCTCCGGCAGGGGCCTCAAACTGCTAGAGCCGGTCCTCTAACAAAAAGGGCGTGCATCGCATTGCGTCGTTGGGCATCAGTGTTCGCTACCCACGAGTTGAGGCCCCATCTGACTTGAGCGCCCAGGATCGCCTCCAGGGAAGTAGCTCAGTCCAGTAGCCGAGGCCTTCAAGAATTTCAAAAGTGACGCAAGCCAAAGGCGTAGATCTTTGGTGTCCGGCCTTCTGCTCCGACGCAGTGTGGCGCTCTGCAGCAGAGATCTTAGCAGCATGGCGACAGGTTATAGGAATCTGAGGGCCCCAAACGTTCCGCGCCCAGCCTAGCTGGTGTGAAAGGCCGCAGGTCTATCATAGAAGCATGAGAAGTTAACTCTTTCGCACGCTTCAGAAAGTGACGCTGCTGACAGACGGTTGCATGACCTCGGCCTGCAACAACAACGGAAAAAAAAAAAAAAAAAGCACGCCACGTCTGTTTCGAGGCTTCTTTGCTGTTCTCTCTCTCCAATCTGCAGGAGATTCAGCTGGCTGCTTCTCTGCGGCCAAAACTCTTGCGATGCAGGCAACAGCGGCGACACAACTGAGGCCATGGTCGACTGGAACTGGCTCATGTCTCAGGCTTGTTGTGCAAGTGGCGGGACGCTGCCGCGGGCTCGGTTTGTATATGCACGTGTACGTGCATGTGCGTGTGCGTGCGCGCGTGTATGCTGGCATGTCTCATCGTTCGAGCTCAGACTCGATAGTCGTGCACTCCAGCTTACTCGGAGGACTCAGCAACCCCTGGCTACTTGCACAGGATGCGATCGCAACAGCTTCTTCTTCTGCCTCCTTCGAATCCTGAAGCGCAAGCTTTTCAAGCACTCCGTGTGAAACTTTTTGTGAAACCGGTGGAGGCAGGTGACACCGATTCTGGTGGCATGTGTATGCATGCGTCCCGCTGCTGCTGCTTGGGGTGTTTAAAAGAACTTCTTGGTGCTTCGGGTTGTAGCTGAATGAGCACGAAAAACACTACGTCTCTGCCGAGGCAGCATCTGCCAGAGCGGTTTGTCGCAGTGTCCGCTGCTCGTCGAGCTTTCTTTTTAGCTCGTCAATCTGGGTTTTGTTCTCATCTATCTCACGCGTGAGCGCCCCAAGATCTGGCTCCGACTTTCCTGTGCGAGACGTGCGATTCGAATTCAGCTGTGTTAGTCTCAAGCTTGCTCAACACAGCACGGCAAAAAGTGTGCAGAAGCATCCCCCTCGCCTGACGCGGTGCTAGACTTGGTGGTGCTCTTGAGCTTGGAGACATGGAGTCGCTGCTGCTGTCGCTCTCGCTTCAGGTAATCAATCTCACGGCGAAGATTGTTTATCTCAATAATCAGCTGCACGTTTTCCTGCAGCACACGAGTGTTGTCCTGTCGATGGACGTCTGAGTCCTTCAGCAGCTTCTTCTTAAGATTGTCCACGGACTTCTCCAAGTAGTCCCTCTGACGGTTGTACTCTCGCTGGATATCGCTGTCCAGCTCCTGCTTCTTCACACCATTGGGCACGTACTTCTTGTAGAGCGCCGAGACCGACTCTTTCAGCAGCCGGGGCTCCTGAATGAACTGCACACACTCGTGCAGGTCCGTCTTGAATCGCTTTATGACCGTCTGGCAGTCCGTCATCTTCTTCCGCTGGGAGACGATGTCGTCCTGCAGGGTGTTGTGCTTGCTCTTGAGCTGCTGGATGTTCACCTGAAGCTGCGTGTTCTTCTTGTGGTAGTCTTCGAGATCCGCATCCATGGCTTGGATCTCCTTCTTCATCTCGGCAATCTTGTCGTTCTTGGGATCAATCTGCGCTTTCAGCTCCCTGATCTTGTAATCCAGCACGAACTTGAACTTCTCAAGCTCCTGATTCTGCTTCTTCAGCTCATAGATCTTCCCCTCCTTGTCGCCGATGGTGGTGTCCCTCTGACGTATCTCCTTCGCATTGTAGTCTCGCTCCTTGTTCAGCTGCTGTATCTTCTCGTCCTTCTTCCGTGCTTCCTCCAGGTACTTGAGGAGCTCGTCTTCCTTCAGGAGCATCTGGCCTAGTTCATGGTTGGGAGAGTATTAAAAACTTGAATCTTTATTCCTTATTGGGTTTAGGTACCCTTAAACAATGTAGAAAATGTTACCCAACCTATGACAAAGTGGCGCTTCAGCTCCTCGTGGTTCCGCTTGTGGATGCCGGCCTGACCCCGGAGTCGGACTTTGTCGTCTCTCTCCGCCTTCAGCCGGGTCTCCTTGTCCTCCTTGAGCTCCTCGATCTCCCTGTCGGTGTCCTTCGGTTCCCCCTTATACTAACAGTCCCTAAAAGGGATTGTAATTAGGGTGCACGATGTAATGACTATGAAGGAGACTGTTAGCATATGGGACACATCTCCCGGTCGGCGTCCTGCTCAAGCTGCCGCATCGTCTCTGCGTGGACATCCTCCGCGAGGCTCTTCTCCTTCAGGATGCGCTTGATGGAGTCCCGGTCGGCCGCCTGCTTCGCCTCAAACTCGGCCTGCATGTCGCTGACCTGTGGGCTTACGAAAACCAGGGAACCCCTTAAATAATAAAAAAAACTATATATATATATATATATATACATGTGTATATATGTATATATCAGGATTCCCTTAAAAAGTAAGGACCCCAAGAAGGTACCCCCGAATTTCGGAAGCCCCCACCTTCTTCTGGTGCTCCGCAAGGATGCGCCGATGCTCCTCCTCCCACCTCCGGTGGATCTCCTCACGCTCCGCCGCGAGCTTCCTTGGCTTTTAAGATGCAGGCTGATAGGACCAACTAAGAAGAAAGCAAAGCGATGAAGACCGCTTCAGCAAACAAAAAGAATTAAGTAACCAACCAACTGACAAACACAACAGGGATAAAGATGGGCCCTAAGCAAAAAGAGATTACAAGCTCTCTCTGCATTCGCCTCCTTCTTCCCTTGTCTCCTTTCCAAACTGCGGGCCCCACACAAAGCACCCTGGAATCCGAACCCTCTGCAACATACACCTTTACCTTTGAGTGGAACACATCACCCAAAAAGATATGAGGGAGAAGGGATGAGAAGGGAACGGAATTGAATGCTCTGAGAATAACTGCACACTTCAAGTTAAGAGCTCGTGGTCTCGAATTCCTGCGAAAGCAGCTGCTTCAACGACTCTGTCCCCAAGGCTGGTGAACTCACATGTCAGCAACAGTGCGGACCGAGCCGCTGATACTTGTCGACCTCAATCATCATCTTGTGCTGAAAGGAACTCTCCAGCTCCTGGTCCTGCTTCGCGTGGTGCTCCTGCAAGCTCTTGATGTTCTCCTCGGCTTCCATCTCCGCGTCGTTCTTCTCCTGGCGGCTTCCGAAATTAGGGGTACCCTATTGGGGGGGTCTTATTATAATGGGGAGTCCTACGATTTGGGGTCGATTATAGGGGCCCTAAACCCTAAACCCTAAACCCTATTTTTTCGTAAACCCCCTCCTCCCGAAGCATCTCATACTTCTGGCGCTCTTGGTCGATCTCGGCCGTGTAGCGCTCATCGAGCTCCACCATCTCCTCCTTGTGATAACTCTCGCGGTGCCTGGGCCATGAGAGGTGGTGAGGAGAGCATCAGAATATATATATATATATACACACATATATATATACATATATATATATATATACATACTCTCTATAGTTAATACAAAACATGCACATGTATGTGTATATATATATATAGATGTATATGTATACATATATGCATCAAGTCTGTCTTGCCTGGCCTGAGCTGGAACTCTTGCTGATTCGACAGCTCGTCGACCTGGCGCCTCAGCAACTTCATTCGGGAGCCCTTCTTCGTTGCCATTTTTTGGGGTTTAGGGTTTAGGGCTCAGGGTGAAGGGTTTAGGGTTTAGGATTTAGGGTTTAGGGTTTTAGGGTTTTAGGGTTTAGGGTTTTATGGTTTAGGGTTTAGGGTTAAAAGGGGGGCTACCGCTTGGCTCCAGCTCTGGGCGCCCGGCTCGAACTCCACAAGCTGCGCCTGCTTGTCGTCTAGGAAGGTCCGGGTCACCAGGATTTCGTCAGATGGAGGCAAGGCGCTCTCCTGCATTCAGACATGAAGGAGCCGCCGTCAACATTGCACCCAGTGGGTGTGCCCAGTCAACAGAGTGAATGACACACCATTGTGTACACAGCCTTGTCTCGCTTTGAGACATTTCGATCTTTGCGCTTCACATCGAAGACGAACAATGTACCGTCCTCGTGACCGGATACAGCGGGTCCCCCCTTGCATGCTGGCTGGCAGGAGGATGGTGACTGAACCTAGAGGAAGAGAGAAAGCACAGAGTTTGGGGTATATCCAGAGCTCCATGAATCCTCGTATTCTCAATCTAGCCGTATGGACCCCGGGGCCGGATGGGCAGCACTGCAATTGTGTCCTCTGCTGTGGAGAAGAGAAAGTAGTCGTCAAATGTGATGCGAATGCGGGTGGCGGGGGCGGCGTGAGCTGAGAACTCGTTGTAGTAGCCTGTATATATATATATATATGTATACATGTATGTATGTAAATTATCTATATGTAGATATACACTTATATATATATATGGATATTTCATATTTTCAGTTTGACAGACTTTAAGTACTTCATAGACTTTTACACATATATATAGCTTAAAATAGGTAAAATTATACATGCCATTGTAATTTAATATAATATAGTATAATATAATATAATATAACATAACATATAATATAATATACTATAATATAATATAATACAACACAATATAAGATAATATAATATAATATAGTATGATATGATATGATATAAGATAATATAAGATAAGATTACAAAACAGTATAATATAATGAAATATAACATAATATATGTACATGCATATAGCTACACATGGCACAATCTACATTGCACATTGTGCTTCTAGATTGTATAGTACATACTGCGCATTATAGTCAGCAACTTAAATTTGCTGTGCTATATCGCATGATACACCAAATACTAGAAGCAACCGTAAACTCCCCACAATTCATGGTGAAGCCTGTGCCACACCAACAGCTTTTTCAATCAGGGTGCCATCCAAGGGAAACTTGTAGCAGCGGATAGGGCCCGGGGCATCCGGCTCTGCCACTGCAGCAAACAAGCTCTTTGCAGAGTTGGCCAGCCTGAGTCACTGCACAACGAGCTACTCAAGCCCGGGTACTGTAGGGGCCTGAATAATTATAGGGTCTTGGGGGTTATTGTGGTAGAACTATAAAGGGACCATAAGGGAATACTATTGGTAATTATTCCGACCCGTATATGATGGCGAAGCAATGAAACACGCTGAAGCTACAAATGCAATGCTATTGAAGTGGGCGACACGATTTGGCCCAAAGTTGTGTTTGCTTTCACCACATTCTGCGTCGTGCCTTGAAAGACCTCTCGCAGCATCTGGTCGCTTCCCACGACATACCTCAGCAATTCAAGTGAGCTGCGGGCTAAGACCTCGCAATGTCCGAACCTTGCATTGCATCCACGATTTCCCGATCCCAATTCACAGGGGAAAAATCAATGTACAAGATTGTGAGTGATTCTGTTCATGCAAGACACATTGTATTTGCACCTGTTGCCAAATCTGTATGCACAATGACGCTCGAGAACGAGGTGCCCTTTTGCACAAAGTCATTGCCAACCTTGGTTGTGCTACTCCGTGTTGGTGAACCTTTCAGCTACTTATTAAACCAAAAAGAAAAGGTACTTCCGCTTCCCCCCCCCCCCCTCCCATGCCCTCTCTTTTCCCCCGTTACTCTTCCTTGAAAGCGGCTCGTCTTCCCTCGCGGCCCGGGATCGTCTCGGCCTGGACATAATATTCGTAGACGGCTCCATCAGCGCCCGTGGACACGAGCATGGAGTCGTCCTGTGTCCAGGCAACAGATCGGACCTTGTTGTTGTGGCCGCGCAGTGTCTCAATCGGCTCACACGTGTAGGTTTTGTACACCTGGATGGCGTTCGTCGCGTTGGTATTCACCGCAGCGAAATACTGGCCACCATTGCTGAAGCGACATTCCCGACACTGCTTGATGGGAATGTCCTTGTAGGTCTTCATGTCCTCCATCAGGAGATTCATGAGACGCAGCTTGTCAGACTGGCCGATAATCAGATGGAACCCAGAGGGGTGAAAGGCGATGCTGTAGGCCTCCTCGTTGAACCACTTGCACAGGGCGCACGTCTTCTCGACGTAGTTCCAGACCCGGGCCGACTTGTCAACTCCACAGGTCACTACCAAGGGCTTCCTGATACAAACATCCATGCCCAAAATGGCACCTTGGCAACAAAAAGCAACCGGAAGGACCCCCAGGGAGGACCGACTTCCCGTCTCCGGCATAAACGTACCCTTGAAATTAGCAGCTATAGCGACGCTTAGCTTGGGTCCGATTACGCGCCTGGACATGCCTATACTGAAAAGCAAGCACAGGGTGAACTGAACACCGAGCAAAACTGCACGTGCCTCTCACCCCAAAGCCCTCGCGACCCCCCCTTCATTATCCCCGGAGCAGATGCGAGTGGCAACTGCGTGGGGCGTTCATTCGGGTTGCGGGCCTTGTTGCCAAGGGATTCCACTATGAAAGGTATCGCCCTGATTTAGGACACCCCAATGACCCGAAGGCCCTGCGGCTTGTCAAGGGCACCTGTGTGAAAATGAGTCAAGACTGGATCGAAAGCCGGAGTCTCGTCTGCCTTGAGCAGGTCCTGCAAATTCAAGCCATGACGACAGGAGGCACTATTGTTATTGTTATCTTTAATATTGTACTATGATGCATTAACATTTTTTGCTCTCATTTTACTGTTTTTGTTGGCCCATTGGAGGCGACGGGTCCTGCCCCAGCAGCGACAGCTGGTAGAGCTGAGACGTTGAGGTTGTTACAGCTAAAAGCCTTGTCTCGCGCAGCGCCAAGCACCGTTTGCAATACTGGGTTTAGGGCTCGGGTTCAGGGTTTAGGTTTGAGGGGTTTAGGGTTCAGGGTTCCGAAACCCTAAACCCTAAACCCTAAACCCTAAACCCTAAACCAGCACACAGAAAGTTAGAGACAAAGTGCACAAAACCCATTCGAAGCCGAGGCTCTCCTCAGAGGGGCTCAGGGCTAAGCTGCGGACAGCCCCAGCACCGCCCTCCACCTGGAAGCCCAGAATCTTCACAAGGATGTATAATTTGTAGATATATATATATATATATGTATGTAGGTATGTATATATATATATACACATGTGGCAGTATATATATATATACATATATATGTATCTGTGTGTGTGTGTGTTAGTTATTTTTGCGGTCATTTTGAGGTAGAACAATACATAGATATACACACTCTTATGTATGTACTTATGTATTTATTCACTTCTGTATTTGATTTATTGCTATGCTTGCAAACTTGTCTTAAGCAAAGTCTGAAAGCGCGCTTGCCTGCAGCGTCTTGGTCGTGCGATAAACCTCCTGCACGGAGTTTGGCACATCAAGCGATGCCCCCTGAACTCAAGGGCTTAAGACTCGTACCCCACCTAAAGGTTCCCCTTAATATATTCCTAACATGGCACTAATATTCCCTCAGAATCTCCGAAAAGTGTAGCCAAACCCCAGGGTGCAACCTTAAGGGTGCAAGGTAAAGTCCCATGATAAACCCGAAACCCTGAACCCCAAGCCCGCAAAGCTAAACCCCTAAACCCCAAGCCCTAACCCTACACCCCTGCAAGGCCTCCAAACCAAATTAGTGGATCAGCTGCCCTCCCTAATGTACCTAGTATGTCTTGTTCAATGACATATCACAAATACATGTATTTGTATATATATATATCTATATATATATATATATATATAGTATGAATGCTTTCTTATACATATTAAGATAGCTGATACATATCTATGAAGATTCCTCTTCCAACCAGGCAAGCTAAAGCCCATGATTCAGACGCCGGAGGCCTCAAACTGCAACCGAACACTGTCTCTTGGAACTGGGAGTGGGGGTTATAAGTCGGGTAACAATACTTACAACTGGTTGTAACATGGTTGAGGGTACACTATAGCCATACCCATAACTATAGCCCTACATATCTACCCATGTTCCCGTTGCCCTAAACCCTAAACCCTAAACCCTTAACCCTAAACCCTAAACCCTAAATCCTAAGCCTATGGCCATCGGCAGACCATGTGCATCAGCGCACCTTGGGCTCATCGCTTTTCTCATAGACCTTTTCTGAAACGTTTTGTAGGCAGTGGTTTAGGGGTGCCCATTTTGGGGGGCCCCTTTAAGGGAATTCTATTCTATTCTGGGGTATCAAAGGGGTACCCCTATTTTGGGGGAATACCTATTTAGGGTTTGGGGATAGTTGAAGAAAGTCTGCCAGTTCGGTCAAGGCACGCGGATGCAACCATCATCACCACCAATCACGAAGCCCTGGCAACAGTATGTGGCTCACGCGAGCCATTCCCAAAACCCTAAACCCTATAAACACTATAATCCCTCTAACCCTATGAACCCTAAACCCAGTCCTTCGAGAAGGAGATGACGCAGGTCGCTGCCCTGGGCTCGCCCGGGCTCGTAGGCAGTACCAGCTGGAACTCACCTAAGCTCACATCCTGATCAGAAAAGTCGACCTCCCAGCCGAAAGAGGTATATTAACAATACTAATAAAAGTGATAAAAAGTAATATTCATAATAGCAATATTGATAATAGTAATATGAATGATAAGAATATGTTGGGGCTCGGCTTGGAAGTGCCATGTCTTCCTCACTCGTCCCTACTTGCTCTGTCTCAGAGCTCCGCAGCTTTGGCTGCCCCCGAAGGGAACCAGCCAGAAAAAAGGTGGAGACAAGTATAATATTTATAGTAGTAATATTAATAATAGTAATATTAATGATCGCAATATTAATTAAAAGTAATATTAATAATGGGAATATTATTAGTACTAGAAATATTGAGAAGTAGCAACCGCAGCAGAGACGCCAGCATTATCAAAGAGCAGGAGGTCGCCGTTCTCGCATCCAACCAGCATCTTGTCGTCATGCAGCCAAGTGTGGCCTTGTAAGCTTGTGGCCATGTGGGGGGGGGTGTTACGGTATTAGGGGGTAGCTTCTTGGGGTCCTTACTGTAGGGGAATCCTATTTTAAGGGTCCCATATTCGTAAACTCCCACGTCCACGATGGCTTCAACAGCAGCAACAACTTCTCACACGTCTGACTGGGAGAGAGAGTGCCGGTTCTGCAGTAAATTCTCGTCCATGCACGTGTCTTGCCACTTCATTGCTCCGTCCTGTCCCTCCTAAATCGAACCCCGAAACAGATCGAAACAGAAATGGAGGCATGGACAGAGAGCTGAGTGGCACATGAAGCTCTGCAGCTTGGCGGGAGCTACTGGCAGCGTCTTGAAACCGTCCTCGCCACCACATGCGCACATCCCATGTGAGATGACAGGGCAACTTTGGGTTAGTCTCTCCCTCTCGCCAACCCCCCCCCCTGCAGCAGAACCTTGAGCTGCATAAACTTGAAGATGCCGTCACCGATGACCTTAGAAAGCCCCCCAGCGACATCTCTAAGCCACGATGTGCCCACTCAGGAACATAGGGTTTAGGGTTTAGGGTTTAGGGTTTAGGGTTTAGGGTTTAGGGTTTAGGGTTTAGGGTTTAGGGTTTAGGGTTTAGGTTTCAGGGTTTCAACCACGTGCCCACCCAGCGGCGCAAACGATGGAAGAATCTGTGGGATTGAAAGAGCACTCACGGATGAGTGAGTTTTGAGGATTTGACACCTTGATAGATGCCATGTATCTAGCCTTGTCCCATATCCAGTATATCAGAGTCCAATCGTGCTTCTCGCTCGGAGACTTGCCCGTTTGTGTGAGCAGGTACTTGCTGTCGGACGAGAAGGCCACGCAAACGAATTCTGGTGCATCTGATTCTGGCCAGGACAGGGTTTTGCGCTTCCTGGCATGTGTCGAGAACAGCGAAAACACAAGACAGAAGGGGAACCAGGTCAAGCTGCTATCCAGCCAGGTCTCTTGGCTGTGACCAAGTCGAAGATGGTGCAGATCGCCCCTTCGTAGCACTTTTCTGCCACAGCCAGGTAGCGCTTCGTGTTGTTCACCGCCATGCAAGTAAGACCTTCTGCACCTTCATTTCCTGAGCTGGGGTGGAAATCATGGGAATCACAAGCAAGAAAAACGAACAAAGATCATGAGCTACTTGAACCCTTCAGCTTGTTGCTGCATTTCAACCTCTTCAACCTCTTAGGGCGGAACCTTGGAAGATCTTCTGCTGCTTCTGGTCAGCTTGCCACAGGACAGCATTGGTGCCTGCCGGATAGATGACCTGCGTCTCCTCCGCGTAGTGCACATTGTTCTTGACATCGGACCTGGTTTAGGGCTTAGGGTTTAGGGTTTAGGCTTTAGGGTTTAGGGCTGACGGTTCTGGGTTCAGGGTGCTTACAGCGAGTGCAGGCCATTTAGCACCAGCTACTGACAAAATTTGATCTGTATTCCGCCGCGCTGCTTCAATCCGAACACGTGCCGATGCTGCAAACTGATGGCTGGCCCGTCAGAGGCCCTTTCCTCCGCAGCATCAGTTTGAGTCAAAGGACAACAGGCGCCTGTGGCCTCTGTTGAAACCCTCAAGAGACTGCACAACTCTGTGGAACTCTAGTCCTCCGCCATCGGCTCGGTTCAAGCCGCGCTGCTTGAGCAAACATGGCTACATGGTTCGCTTGCGTAGCGGGCAACCAGCGCTATCACTTCGTAACTCTATTTGTTGGTCGTCAACTTTTTGGAAACAGGGAACAGTTCGATGAAGGCAGAGCCTGCCCAGGATGAGAAATCAGAGGGCCCGACAAAATGAGCTGCCCTCAAACAGTGCAACATCTAGGTCGGACGTACCATCCCGCCTAGACCATCCAATGCTAGGAGGGGACTATATGATCTTGCGAATTGCAGACGCAGTTGCCTTCAGAGAGTGGAAAGCCAGACTTTAAGGGAAGATGTTTCGTTCAACAGCTAGTTGCTGGCACTAGTTTTGGCCTGCGTATGGGTTCAAACAAAAACATTGCAGCACCCTATGAAGAAAGTGCTGCAACAACAGAGTCTCCTCTGCAAGGGTGTCTGGTGCGCCCAGAGCACCGTTCAGCAGCCAAGCTGCTTTGCTTGTCCTCACGAGCAAACATGAGCAACGGCGGGATCAACATCAATGACTTCTTCTGTGACATGCCACACATCTCACACCAAGGCAGGTGGTCACCTTGCGGCGAGATCTTTCTGGAGAGCCTGCGGCTCGCTGCGCACAACTGCCACGACAAACACCCCAGGGTTTAGGGTTTAGGGTTTAGGGTTTAGGGTTTAGGGTTTAGGGTTTGGGGATGTTTGGGGTTTGGGGTTTGGGGTTTGGGCTTTGGGGTTTGGGGTTTGGGGTTTGGGGTTTGGGCTTTGGGGTTTGGGGTTTGGGGTTTGGGGTTTGGGGTTTGGGGTTTGGGGTTTATGGTTTTATCCCCCACCATGGAGTCTCCGAAGATCAACTACCCAAAAACGACAACAGGCATGGTTCTCGTCATTGTTGTGCTCCCTGGATTCCCCGCAAAAACCTGAACCCTTTCTTGCCTTGGCGGGTAGGCAGGTAGGAAGTGAAAGGATGCAAACCACCGACATTGCGGGCATCAGCTCTGGCAATAAGGAAGGCGTTTTACCGCGCTGCCGAGAGGTTAAGAGGGTGGATGGCGGCGATCTGGACTGCAAGCGCGCTCCGCTTCGGTGTGAAAGCCGGCGCACAGCGAACTACAGCATCGACGGCATTTATGAAAAGGGCGTCAACGAATGCTGCTTTGCCATGGGGCCGAACCCGCACCAGGTCAGACATCAAACCACCCGGTGCAACTGCCTGACCACCCGAGGACAAGGCCGCTCAAGCCAAGATTTGGCAAGCGCCCGACAAGCACGTGTAGACAGCACCTCAAGCGCAGTGAGGTCAGCACCGAAGCTGCTTTGATCCGTTTCTTCCAATCTGCCCCATGGAGCGGGCGCCTACATTGCCCTTGCCACGGCCACGAAGACCACGACCCCTTGCTGGAGGAGTCGACCGAATGCAATAATTTTATCCTCCAAGTGAGGACCAGGCTCTTCAGCCTGCGTGGAGGCGAAGAAAGGGCTCCTAAATAACGAACAGCCACAGCAGCGATCGAACCTCGACTCCTGAGTTTCGGGGCAGTCCCAGGCAAGGTGTGGCCGACTCGCAAGCTTCACGAGCGACCCCGAAGACAGAGCCTTGGTAGTGGTGCTTGAGTCCTATGTATGCTGTCCTAAGTTGACACCCGAAGCAGGATGCAAGCGCCACCCCCTCCCCCACACACCCGCCGCATTTGCAAACAAGTGTAGCTCAGAGGCAAACACGATCCGCAAAAGCCAAGACAAGCCAGCCCCAGCAGCCAAAAAAGGATAAAAGCCAACAAGGCCAAGGAGCCGAGAAGCACCCCAAAACAGCGCAGAAGAAAAGAAGCCAAGAAGCCAGCTGAGCCAGAAAGCCACACAGCCAAGGCGTCGGGATCCACGAAGCCAAGCAGCAGATTAGCAAAGATTTCGAGGGGGCACAGAGGCACCGAGCTGTCCGAAAGCGAACCGGAACAAGCAAAGGAAGCATGGTCCACAAGCGAAGCCGAAAACAGGCCTTTCGTGACCTTGAGCTTGAGGTCAAAGGTCACGTAGAAGAGAATTCCGGGTTAGACAACATGAGAGACAACTTCGATGTCTGTCGCTATCTACGAGGCTTGGTCGGAGGTCCTAAATGTAACCCTCAAACTGGGAAGCCCTAAACCCTAAACCTTACACCCTAAACCCTAAACCCTACACCCTAAACCCTAAACCCTAAAATACTAAACCCTAAACCCTAAATTACTAAACCCTAGACCCCAAACCCTAAACTCTAAACCCTAAACCCTAAACCCTAAACCCCAAACCCTACCTCGTACCACGTGCCTGCAGCTCCTCTTCCAGCTCCAGGCGGTGGCTCCGGAGCCGCTCCAAGCCTTAGCACTGACGGGAGGCCCGTGGTACGTAGTAACCCAGGTTTAGGGTTTAGGGTTTAGGGTTTAGGGTCTAGGGTCTAGGGTCTAGGGTCCAGGGTCTAGGGTTTAGGATTAGGGTTTAGGGCTTAGGGTTTAGGGTGTAGGGTTTGGGGTTTAGGGTGTAGGGTTTAGGGTTTAGGGCTTAGGGTTTAGGGTTTAGGATTTAGGGCTTCGGGTTTAGGGTTTAGGGTTTAGGGTACTTAATAACCCAAGTATAACTGTACTTAAAACCCGCTGAGAAGCCCCTTAAGTGCCCTAATGTGGGGATAATTGGGCTAAAAGTCTAGTTTTCATTGGGTGATTAAGTACCATGAACCTCTAAGCACTGACGGGAATCTGACGAACACCTTTCAGGGGGGGGGGGGGGGGGGGGGGTTAGGGTGTTAGGGCTTTCAGGGCGCCTAGGTCTTTTAGGGCGTTGAGGGCTTTTAGGATTTAAGTGTCTCAGGGTTTCAGGGTTTTGGGGTTTCTGTGCTTTTTGCTTTCTGGGGTTTCGGGTTTCCGGCTTAGGGATGTTCAGGGCCAGGACTTAGGGTTTAGGTTTAAGCTCGGATTTTTCGGGCTTAGAGGGTTGATAGGTTTTATGTGCTTTATGGGCGTTACAGGCTGTATAGGCTTTTATCGTAGGGCTTTTCGCATTTGCAGGGTCTATAGGGTTTGTAGGGGCTTAGGGAGTGTGTATTCATCAGGGTCGCAGGTTTCCGCATGTGATGTTGAGGCGAATTATGGCAAGCGGACAAGGTTTGAGGTTTAGGGTTTAGAATGCTCCCCTCTTGTACTACCAGTCCTTCATAGGGATTCCTGTACTGTGAACTGGGCTTCCAGGCGCCCCTCCTCACACCGCGCCAGGCTCAGCTCGCCCCCCTGGGTACTTGGAGGTTCGTGGTACTTAATACCCCCAACTACAACTGTACTTAGAACGCACTTACAGGCCCCTTAAGTGCCCTACTGTGGTTAGAGTTGGGGCAGAAGTACTTGAGAGCCCTAAACCCTAAACCCTAAACCCTAAACCCTAAACCCTAAAGTCTCATTGGGTTCTTAACCCCTATGTTCGGAAACCCGCCGATGAAGACCCAACAACACCGTCAGGGCATGCGCAGATAGGCAGATGGGGCCTGATGAAGGGGTTTAGGGTTTAGGGTTTAGGGTTTAGGGTTTAGGGTTTAGGGTTTAGGGTTTAGGGTTTAGGGTTACGGGTTTAGGATTTAAGATGATGCTCCGACTGATCTGGGAAACTTACATCGTCGCGGCTTTCACCTAGCTTCCATCGCAACACGTGCGAGACCCAAAAAGTGCACATGAACTTGGACGAAGCTCAACCGCAAACTCCCTAAACTCCCTGAAACCCCTAAACTCCCTAAACTCCCGAAACTCCCGAAACTCCCGAAACTCCCGAAACTCCCTAAATTCTTTTCTTAAACTCCCTACACTCCGTAAACCCTAAACCCCAAAAGCCCAAAAGAGACCTTAAAATCCTTGGGGCCCCACTATTCTGCCCTACCCAAACTCCCTAAACTCCCAAAACTCCCTAAACTCCCAAAAGCCCAAGAGAGACTTCAAAGAATCCTCTGGGCCCCCCACTACTCTGCATACCTAAACCCTAAACCCTAAACCCAAAACCCAAAAACCCTAAACCCTAAACCCCTTCAAAAATCCTTGGGGCCCCCACGATTCGGCGCAGCTCATCCGCAGCCCGGGCCATGGCCTCGAGTCCAACCGCCAGACGCTCCCATAAGGACCCCTCCTTCTGCCCTGCTTCTTCAGGGGTTTTAGGGTTTAGGGTTTAGGGTTTAGGGTTTAGGGTTTAGGGTTTAGGGTTTAGGGTTTAGGGTTTAGTGGAAACAAACCTTAAACTTTGTCCCGCTTACCTTGATTTCGGAGGCTTTGCCTAGAAAACCAAACCCTTCGAGCGCGTTGGGGCCCCTCGCGCAGCATGAGAATTTTCGAGGGTCCCTTTCGAGAGGTCCCTTTTGGGAAGGGGCTGAGGGTTTAGGGTTGAAGGTTCAGGCATTCTGTCTTCCGGCTGCCTTTTGAAGCGGGCAGACAGGAGAAGCAGATCAACTCACCGAGACCCATGGCCCCACTGCGCCACGCTGGCATCGAATTTGGGGAAGCGGCCTCCTGGATGTTCACTGCGACATGCTCTAAGTGCTGATGTAGCTGCTGTACCTCGAGGATTTCGCTGCGTGCCGTAGCAGAAGGCCACTCCATCTATGCAAGACAGTCTGGCTTTCCGAACACTTGGATCTGCAAATCCTACTATGCAGCTATGCCCCCCCATGCACTGCCACACGGGCAGGCTTGGCGAGTTGTAAAGCAGGCCGCACGTGGAGCAAGAGCTGCATGCTGCTAAGCATGGGCCCTGAGAGAACCGCAGCGGCGGTCGGGCTCCACTGTATCTGCACCCGCGATCTGTACATCTCAACGATACACTTGGAGGTTCATGGTACTTATAACCCAATAACAACTGTGCTTATGACCCACTTACAAGCCCCTTAAGTGCCCCAATATTGTGCGAACTGGGTTATGGACAAGTACAGCTATAACTGGTTTATTGAGTACCATGAACCTCCAAGCAATCATCAACGTCTCCGCCGTCTGCCTTTTCTGGAGTATGCCTTATGGCCACACCATCGAGGCATACGCTAAGACAATTCAGCATCTCCCGGCAGAGATGTATGCGGCACCTGCCCAGCAGCCAGGTACGAAGAAAAGAGAGGAAAGCCATGAAATATCCGCCGAGGCCTCGGGCCAAAGGTGTCTAGGTTGTGAGAACAGGCAGCCCCCTCCAAATCCTCCCCCCAAGCCCAAAGACCCCACCCCCCCCCCCCCCCCCCCCACCCCCCAACACACCCCCCCACCCCGACCAACCAACCCTCCCCGCCCCCACCCGCCCCCACCCGCCCCAGCCCCCCCCCTGGTTTGGGTTAGCTCAGGCCGATGCGGGTCGCGTAGCGCGAAAATTATCAGCAGTACTATACCTTTTATATATATATATATATATATATATATATATATATATATTTTGTATATATATATATATACAAAATATATATATATATGTTTGTATACACATACATCTCTCCTCTTGACTTCATCTTGCATGTAATGCTTATAATACGATAGAAGACCTCGCGCCTTAGAGTCCCTGTGCTTCTGAAGTCTCGACCAGGCCCTCGATGAAGTATTGGCGGTCCCTCCGAACACAAAGGGGGCCAGGGCTTCTTACAGGGTTCTTACAGGGGAAGCTTAGGGAGTTTTAGGGAGTAGTGGGGGGATTCTAGGGAACCTTGGGTTTGTTACCCCCCCCTTCAACCATCCTGCCTGAAGAACCCGATAAGTCCAGGGTCTCGAGCTTAACTCTGGAAGTGCACCAGACACACAAAGGTAAGACGGCACCAGAAGAGGAGGCCTAGATCAGAAAGCGCCCAAGACCGGAAAACAGAGGAAACAAGACACACTCGAAAAAAAACAATAAGGTTCGAAAATACCTCGGCCGAGATCAGACAACACGTTGCGCAGAATCTCCGTGCGGTACCAGAGGGGAGAGCCTTCACGGACGGCAGCAAAGAAACAAAATCACAGAACAAATCTCACAGAAATGAGAGGAATGTCAATTTGCTCAATCGAACCTAAGGTTGGTAAAACATCGGGTTTTAAGGGTTTAGGGTTTCGGGTTCTAACTGGGTTCTAAGGTTGGGTCTACAAACGGCGCATTTGGAGGCTTCCTCGAAGATTGTTGGAGTGCGGGCTGTGATCCTGGTTTTCGGATCCAATGGCATTCTCCTCGTTAACTTGTTCTTTCCTGATTTTGCCTCTGCCTACTTGACAGTTTTTACCAGCCTTGCACACCCTTCCAACCTGCGTACGGACGTCCAGCCTCCAGTACCATTGGCCTGCTCGGACACGAATCATGCGCTCCACCGCCTCTTCCGCCGAAAGGCCCTTACCTGCACATCTCCACTGCCCACAGTACTGCTACTTGCCTGTTAATACAGGGACTATTTGTTTTGATTCTTTTGGGGTTCTGAAGCACATAGTAGAGTACCACCTGCTACCACCTGCTATCACCTGCAACCACCTGGACACTATCCACGCTCCTACACCTCCGAGTGCGTGCTGCAAGGATGGACGTCAGCTGCCAAGGCGCGGAGGATCATAAATGCACAGAGTGCACTTGTGCTCCGGTTCAGGCCGGCAAAGCAGTGGAAGAGAATCGTTTTTTGGCCAGGTGCCTGAAGCACGATCCCCGGAAGGGGCTGCATGTGAGCCCTGGCCCCTATCTGCACGCAACAGACTTTTAGCCAGTCACAACGAAGCATCGCCTCGACGGCATCCAAGTCTCGGCAAACCTTCTGCCATCGCTCCTTGTATTCGGCCTCCAAGCCATATCTACGCTTTGCTTGCGTCGAAGCACACACACTCACTTGCGCACACGCACCCACTCACCCACCTACCCGCCGCGTGCACGCATGCACTTTTTGCTTGTGCTTGTGCTTGTGCTTGAGCTTGTGCTTGTGCGTGTGCGTGTGCGTGTGCGTGTGCGTGTGCGTGTGCGTGTGTGTGAAAGGAGGAGGGAGAGCACAGGCCTTCTTGGCATCATACTCCTCGCCAGGACGGAGAATCTTGTCCCAGCCACCGTATCGAAGGTTGACCACGCCCAGTGACTTATAATACTCCTGTGAAGATCCGGGATTTTGCTGATACTGCCAAAAGTTGCTGTGCGTCGCAAATATTGTAACGAGGAATTTGACACGGCTTAGACCTATCAATCAAGAAGATGAAGGCTTCTCGGGACGACGACCTGCTAACAAAACTGGCAACTTGCACATATGCAGATTACGACTACTCATATGTTTATGTACTACAAGTGAGACATGTGCAGACCATGGACTCACAAAGCAATGAACTTCAATCAGCCCCTGTCCTCGTAGTCACTTCGCTCGCCCCATCTCTTCCACTCATCGTCGGACATCGTGACGACCACAGTCACTCTCACGCCCAGCGACCGATTCACTTCTGCGCAAGGGCTGGGATTATAAGCATGCGGAAAATACCAAGTTAACAAGCGCCACACAACTTTGCACAGCAACAGCAGCCTCAGTGCAGGTGCAGAGTCTGCGAGAGGAGAGGGAAGAGAGTGAGAAAGTGAGAGAGTGAGAGAGTGAGAAAGTGAGAAAGTGAGAGAGTGAGAGAGTGAGAGAGTGAGAGAGTGAGAGAGCGAGAGAGCGAGAGAGTGAGAGAGTGAGAGAGTGAGAGAGAGTGAGAGAGTGAGAGAATGAGAGAATCAGAGAGCGAGAGAGAGACAAAAAAGGAGAGAGAGACAGATATTGTGACCAGATGGTGCTCGCTGCACGAACCTGCCTTCGATTTCGCACGCCGCCTTGACACTCCCGAGCCTAACCACAAGCGCTCACCAGTTTCCAAAAAGCGCTGTGAGCAAGAAGCAGCGCGCCCTATCATACACCAATGCGACCAAGCAGCAGCAGGTGATGCTTTTCATCTCGGAAGATGCTAACAGCATCAACGGGCCATGTTTCGATGTTGTTGAGCTTGCACTTCCTGTGCGACGAGCCCACCCACGTGATGCTCTGGGATGCTCTGCCGATGTAAACTGAGTCCAAGCAAGGGGCTTGGATGCTGAGTACATCTGCTTGTCCAGCACCTGGCGCAGTGCGTGCAAGACGACCTAGGAATGCCTACTGTGTTATATTTTGCACTATTACAAATTGAGTGTATACATATACATATATATATATACATATATATATATATATCATTATGTGTTGATTTGTATATCTATATATGTAGCTAGACAAATTGTATATCCACATGTCTGGTTGTGCTAGCTATGTTCTGCGTCACATATCCAGATACGCTTCCACAGAAGTTTACACATTCCATCGGCGAAATCCCCAAGCGGCTGTGTCAAGTCGAGGTTCCGTCCATTCCTTGCACCAGGCATCGTTCAGGCGCTTGCGGATGAGCTTGCTTCTCTGAAGGGGGCTCTGCGCAGCTTCCTGAACTGGGTTTAGGGTCTAGGGTTCAGGGCTTCGGGTTTAGGGGTTAGGGGTTGGGGGTTTAGGGTTTAAGGTTTAGGGTATAGGGTTTAGGGTTTAGGGTTTAGGGTTTAGGGTTTAGGGTTTAGGGTGGAGCCAACACATGGGGAAAGAGGATGCAGCTCAGCTCAGCTCTCACAGCAGCCGCATACCCATCCCAAGCCCCTCAGTTCTTACCGCAACCCCCAAAACCCCAAACCCCAAAACCCCAAACCCTGAAACCCTGAAACCCTGAAACCCCAAAACCCCAAAACCCCAAAACCCCAAAACCCCAAAACCCCAAAACCCCAAAACCCTAACACTGTTGGCCGAGCGCCTCCTCTTCTGCCGGCGGCTCTGCTGTTCCAGGACTCTCCAAGACTGCTTCGCCCATGGGACTCTTGCTTTCAGCTCGAGGAGGGAGTCGACTTACTAATAGTCTTCCCTTATGGTCCCCATGTAAAACTTACTATGATCACCCCCATAGTAGTCCCTTTATGCTCTCTATGTAAAATTTATTATGATCACCCCCATAGTATGTAAATATACAATAATCACCCCCACCGTATTCCCTTGTGGCCGCTATGTTCTCGGAGTTGAGTGATGCAGCCGGGCCACAGAGGGCTGAGAGAATCCAGGGAACTTCTCGCTTCCCGTATCCTATTCCGAGAAGTTCCGCAACGCTTGAGCCGCAACTGGAATCACAGGCTTTCTGTGGCCCGGTGAGCGGCGTCCCGCGCAAGGACGACATTTTCTACAACAGGAGACGCCTAATATATAGTACCAAGTAGCAGGATCCCCCTTATGAAAGAGACCCCATGAAGGTGCCCCAGCCCTACTATCGGAAACTCCCAAGGCTGAGGTCAAGGCTGCCTGGTATGTGGTTTGCATGTAGGCGTTCACGGCCCGCTCACTCTGCGACCCCACCTCGACTCGCTCGAAACACTGGACAGAGCATCACGCAAGAGGCATGCCTGAACGGAACCTAGCAGACATCTAGCACTGAAACATGCGAGAGCATCGCAGGGCTTCAGTACCCCACAGCCCTCTGCCTTGAGCCATGTGGATTTAATCCAGCAACCAGCTTTCTCGTGGGGATTCTCAAGGGTTTGGGGTTTACGGTTTAGGGTTTAGGGTTTAGGGTATTGGGTTCAGGGTTTGGGATGCTTCTTCCTTTGACCCAGCCCGAATCAGCGAGGACCCCCGAGCAGCACAGGCAAACCAGGGATCACCCTCCCGACCTCCTCGGAGCCCCGGCCGTGGCATGAAGAAGCGTCCACGTATCCCAAATACGAAACCTTATGAACCTCAACCCTGAACCCTGAACCCTAAACCCTAAACCCTGAACCCTAAACCCTAAACCCTAAACCCTACACAGGGGCAGACAAGAACGGCGCCTTGCAAGCCTCCACAGCAGCAGCGTATCCCTCCATCATGGTTGTCACCTTCCACGCAGATGGGTCAGAAAGGCTTGCAAAGACATGCCAAGATATGCAATGCACAATTGATTGTCGTATATATATATGTATATATATGTATGTACATATAGATATGGAAAAATTTAGAGGTAATGACATGTCTAGTCCATCGTCTTATTGAAGTCTGTTGCATTCTTTATACCATGTATACTTTTACAAATACACATATATATATATATATATACATTGCGATATGTTATTCTCTAGAATATATGTACTAAAAACAGTAACAATCTTTATTCCTGCAGCTTAGTCTTTCATGATTTTCTAAGAGCACATGCAATATATCGTAGTCCAAGCCCCTCTTCCCTTTCTCCCCATGCGCAAGCCCCGCCGCAGCATCCACTCGCCGGCGCAGCTCCGCACGCCTCCGTGCCTTTGTACAGTGAAGCGAGTTTAGGTTTCTAAGGGGTTTTCAGGGTTTTTGAGGGCTTTTAGGGGTTTTTTGGGTTTTAGGATCTGGGGCGTGGCGTTTGGAATCCCTAAACCCTATACCCTAAACCCTAAACCCTAAAACCCAAACCCTAAACCCTAAACCCTAAACCCTAAACCCTAAACCTTAAACCTGCATCACTGAAGGTGGGTAATTGCGATGGGTTACGGCGTGAGCCCGCATCAGCAGCTCGAAGGCTTGACAGGGACAGGGTTTAGGGTTTAGGGTTTAGAGTTTAGGGTTTAGGGTTTAGGGTTTGGGGTTTAGGGTTTAGGGTTTAGGGCTCAGGGCTCAGGGTTTAGGGCTCAGGGTCTAGGGAGGGCATTCGTGTTGGCTCCTTGTTTGCAAGTCCATGCAACCCCACCTTTGTTCGCGGCTGCGCTCCTTCCGCTTCCTCTGGCTTCGATGCCTGACAAGGCGGTCTTCTCCTTGTACTGACCGCTCTAATCGGGATTGTAAGAGGAGGGGTACTATAATCACTATTAAGGACTGTTAGTTTAAGGGGAAACATCCCAAGGCATTGCACATGTGCACGACGCTTTCGACAACTTCCAAGTCTCCGACCTCTGCCATGTCATGCAGATGTCATGGAAAGCTTCTTGATACCAAGCAGAGAGACTGTTCGTTTGCGTGTTCCGGCTGTGTTGCGAGATCTATGGGCATCTCTATATATGATATATTATTTTTGATAGTTGTATATTATATTCATATGATGAATATGATGTATTATGTGTATATATATATGGTTATAGATGTTATATTATGGTTAGGAGATTAGATGATTAATATCTTGACATTCCATGAGCTGAGTTTGATGAGATGGCTTGGTCGCTTCTCGGACGTGCAAAGACTCCTTCGAAGGGCAGTGGAAGGATGGAGAAAGCACAAAGTCGTCACAGCGATGGGGCTCACAAATCCGGCACACACATCCCACCCCCAGGCCGGGCTCTGTTTGTGGCGCTCGCCGGTCGCACGAGGGAGTGTTGAAAGACCAGCTGGTTGCCAGCTCAGTACGGACAGTACAACAACCCTAAACCCTAAACCCTGAACCCTCAACCCTAAACCCTAAACCCTGAACCCTAAACCCTAAACCCTAAACCCTAAACTCATTACAGGGCACCAAAAAAAATAAACGGCTGCGCTCATTCAGCGCAGCGTTGGTGCCGAGGCGCTGCTTGACAGGCCTTGCAGTGGCGGTACCTGCACTTGAAAGTGCACGGCACTCCTATTCTGAACAGTTGTTAATAGCCCTAAACCCTAAACCCTAAACCCTAAACCCTAAACCCTAAACCCTAAACCCTAAACCCTAAACCCTAAACCCTAAACCATATCATGTCAGCCCAGGGCAAGTTCTTGAAGCAGCTGGATGAAAATGGATGAAACAGGCCTTCCGGCACCAGAGCTCCCCGAAAAGGTCGTGCCTGCCACACTCACTCGCGGCGCGCCAACAGAGACACGAAAACCCTAAACCCGACACCCTAAACCCTCGACCCTAGACCCTAAACCCTAAACCCTAAACCCGACACCCTAAACCCTAGACCCTAAACCCTAAACCCGAAACCCCTGTGGTGCTGAATAACAAAAGCTGAGACTCCAACGTGGGCGCGGGACATCGGCTGGAAACACCCCGCATGCTCGCTGTGTTTGCGGAGACTGATGAGACCTGGCGGAGTTGAGAAAGAAAGGGCAGAAGGGAACAACCAGGATGAGCCAACTCCATGCTCGGACGAGTGCTTCCTAAAACGGGCCCTGGATGCTTTCATGGCTGCGAGCTTACAAAAGGGTGTAGTGGGGAGATTTAGCAGTTGCATCAGTCAGCCCATCATACGGAGCGCGGTGGATTGTGGTCAGGGTGGTGGTAGGAATGTGGTGATGGGCGGTGTGGTTGGGTCTTTGGGTGAAAGGAGGGGAGGATGTGAAGCTATATTTTTAGATTAGAACCAACGACTCCCACCTTCGTGCACGGGTGCCGCAGAACCATTAGCCCCTCTGAGATTCTGGGATCGCGCTATTGGCCACACAACTCAGCGGAGAGAACTCCATGGTGTTGCAGCCCTTGTCCGAAATGACTTTGAACGCCCTTGGTTCTTCCTCTAAGTCCTCTCAAAAGTTCTTCAGAAAGCTCTTGTGCCGAACATGCGACTTGAGCCTGGCGATTGTCTGCCCTGTCCCAGGACTCGTCTGTGGGGAGCGTCGCCTCCGCCTCGCACACAGCACACCAAACGCCGCCAAACCCTCGGCCACTAGCAAAGGTTGCAAAACTCGGGAACTAACGACAGGTGGCCCGGACGCGTGCTGCACGACCACACGACGCGCCACGCCCACTCTATTCGCACACATCTGGCCTGTTGCCTGTCTCTTCCAAAGATGATAAACCAAGGAGGTGCAAAGTATGTACTATGCACAGGGTGATGCGTCGGGCCGTTTCCAACTGCACAATCATACAATGTAGAGACTGCGGCGAGGTGGCCCATGGGAATGCAATGTGCGGTAGTCAGCATGAGGCGCCAGACTTTTCTCCCCCGGCAGAGCATGGTCGGGCGCATCGGGTGCATTGTGTGCAACGTGTTTCCACGACCAGTGAAGGAACTGCGCGCCAGCTGCCATGGCCAGGAAGGGATCAGAAGGGATCCGGAGAAGCTGCCAACTGGCCTTTGGCCCCGCATGAAGGGTACATCCCGGTCCTCGTGGCTGCCCATTATGAAGTTCGAAGTCCAACTCAGGGGTCCAAGAGCTCTCGTGCAAGGCGCCGAGCTTCTGGGTCTCCTGGAAAGCGCTCAAAAACCACTCCCCGGTCGCACCCTTTTCAGAAAGCGCAGACTCAGGTGTCCCCCGGGTGTGGTGTCTTTTGCTGCCAAGCTGCCCAGGTGGTGGAAGAGCGGCACCTCCTGCAAAACTGCAACAGAATCCACAAACTCCAGATCTAGGATGGCCCTTAAAACTCTGTGAGCAAAAACATTCCTGGATATGACCCTGTTAAAACCAATAGGGGAAAATATAACATGTCCCAAGGGGCCTACCTAGAGATGCAAGTTTGGCGGCCTTGGCCGTGTAGAGAAGCTTCGAGTGTGGAGCAAGGCGGCCGCCCGCGTAGTGCACTTCGGCCTCTGCCTCACCACTGAGTCTCTTGAGTCGCTAAGTCATCACAACGCCTGCGCCCAAACAAAAAAACTGTCACGAGAGAGAAAGAGGGAGAGGGAGAGGGAGAGGGAGAGGGAGAGGGAGAGGGAGAGGGAGAGGGAGAGGGAGAGGGAGAGGGGAGAGGGAGAGGGAGAGGAGAGGGAGGGAGGGGGAGGGAGAGGGGAGAGGAGAGGGAGAGGGAGGGAGGGAGAGGGAGAGGGAGAGGGAGAGGGAGAGGGAGAGGGAGAGGGAGAGGGAGAGGGAGAGCGAGAGGGAGAGGGAGAGGGAGAGGGAGAGCGAGAGGGAGAGGGACAGGGACAGGGACAGGGACAGGGACAGGGACAGGGAGACAGGGCGGGAGAGAGCAGAAGAGGCTTCAAGAGGCTTCAAGAGGCTTCAAGAGGCTTCAAGAAGCTTCGCCTCGCTTCCGACCGCTCGCAGCGCGACCACCTCGCGGACCAGGCCAATCCTAGGGGTTCAGGGCTCAAAAGACGGGTGTTTTCAATCGCGTTCAGTTGGGATTCTGCATAATTCGATATGCAAAGCTTTTGTGCATCCCGAGCTCTGGTCGAGCCCCGTGTCCGAGACAGGCTGACGGCTGTACTCGAAGCAGGCCAACGGGAAATCCTCGCACCCGGAGCAGGGACAGCACAAGCTCGGGCTGATTTTTCACTGAAGGATGAGGAGGTGGAAGGCTCGGACTGCTTGCATCTGCTTGTGGCGGTTGGTTGGGGCCATAGAATTGGAACTTTCTTGCGGCACGACGAAGCAAGGGGGGGTGAACCCACCACCAGTTGCTCCGCCGGGATAGCTCTTGTCCCTAAGGCAGTCTCCAGACGATCTTGAATCTTACAGACTTCAACAGGTGTTGAAGTGCTACTCTTGGCCTGGCCTGCGGCCAACCCTGCAAAGTGTGATGCTGACTTGGAAGTTTACCTTCTTGGGGTCCTTTTGATAGGGGATCCTTATATTTGGGGATCTATGTTGTCCCCCTATTTTCGTAAACCCCCGTTTGTGTGTCAACCCCGGTCATTTGGCTTCTGCCCACAGCCGGATGCACCGTAGGCTGGCACCGGCGGGGCGAGGATGGAGACCAGGTTGGGGTAGACGATGTCCTGCGAAGCCGTGGAGAAACAGCTGCGCAGTGCTTCTCACTTCACGGCACGACCGGCACAACCCGCACAAACCCCTGAGCCCTAAGCCCTAAACCCTAAGCCTTAAACCCCAAACCTAAACCCTAAACCCTAAACCCTAAACCCTAAACCCTAAACCGCATAAACCCTAAACCCTGAACCCTAAACCCTAAACCCTAAACCCTAAACCCTCTAAAACCCACCCAGCTCCTGGGAGCAAGAGTCTGGCCACTCAAAGCGCCCCTCCATGAAGCTGGGGCAGCCGGCCGCCGGGTGGCCTCCCAAGGCTCACGAAAGCAACAAAAAACGGGTTTGGGGTTTAGGGTTTCGGGTTTTGGGTTTTGGGTTGAGGGTTTGGGGTTTAGGGTTTAGGGTTTAGTAAGGGTTTAGGGTTTAGGGGCTTAGGGTCTAAGGATTTAGGGTTCAGGTTTCGGGTTTAGGGTTTAGGGTTTAGGGTTTAGGGTCTCACATCACAATGACACAGTCGGATTGCCAAATGCCATGCCCACCCGCTGGCGCTGTTTGACCCAGCGTGGCCCAGTGGTTGCCCATCACCTTGACCAGCTCCCGGTTGAAGACAAAGGCGTTTCCTGCAGCGCTGTGTGACTATATCATCTGGGAGAGGGGGGAGTGGGGGGGGGGGCGACATGATGGACCCTGTATTTCTGGCACCCTACACTGCAAGGCCCCTTTGGGGGTCCCTGACCATGCAAGCATACAGAGGCCCTTCCTTCTTCGCGGCGAGCGACCGAACATCAGCAGCAAAGGTCCGTTGGCGCTGCGCTGCTGCTCCTTCCTCCCCGTGCGCAGGATGCCGAGGTACTGCGCAATGGTCGACCGAAGAAGCGATGGGATGAGCAAGTGGTCGAACTCGACCTGAGACCACGCAACAGTCCAGTCCGAGCTCAACCGGTGTTTACATTGCTCCGCTCGGTTTCCAGCATTCAGGAACCAGTCCTTGGATTCATGTTGAAAGACAACGCAAGATTACGCAGGCGCTACAAAGCTGCATAGCTCGGCAGCCGGTAAGGTTGCACCCCCACACGTCTGAAAGCCATCCCAAGGGTGTTTCGGGCGTCGCAAGTCCTGCAGCCAAGGCGCATACTCCTGATGCATCTCTGACTCCAACCTTGCAGCGATCATGCCCAACTCCCCGCGAGAGCTCAGTAATTGAAAGTACAGGCAGCTGTGCTCACGCCCAGCTTTGCCAAGCAGCATGTGCTTCCATGCTGGCATAAGGCCAACCATATTCCTGCAGCAGCTCGCCATATGTCACCATAATCTTGCACTACCTACTAGGACGAGCACTGGCACAAATGTAACACTGTCAGCAATGGAGCCTGTGATACAGCCACCGCTCATCCTCAGGAAACGATGTGCGAAAACTTTTGCATAGCACTTGCCACAGACCGGTACTGTCAAATACTTGCTGAGTGCATCTTGGGCGCCCTAAACCCTAAACCCTAAATCCTAAACCCTAAACCCTAAACCCTAAAAGCAGTCAAGACTCCAGATGATCAGTGGACTGTTGCGTGACACGGACAGCCACCACATCCGAGTCATCCTGCGCCACTCAGCGTAAGAGGATGCGGGGGGATCCGAAAATAGGGGTACCCTTTCTGGGGGGGTCCCTTTAAAGGGATTCTTTTCTATCTGCGGGTATAGAAGGGGTAATATACTTTGGGAAATACCCATACAGGAGAAGCACAGCAGTACAAGTAGACAAGCACTGCTAAAGCATCGCATGATGCGTCAGGCCACGAAGTCAAGATTCAGCCGCCCAACTCCCTCCCACCGTGCTCAGTACAGCTGGTCACGACTCCGCTTCCCCCAAAAAAAGAGCGCGTCACACACAAATCACACTTGCACGGTCGGACGCGCTGGGCGCTCCTCTGCATTTCCTCCATTTCTGGGTGGCTGTCGGTCACTGAAGATCTGATGGCCATCGCACTTCCGGAATGCGTGCCTATCCCAGGTGTTTCCCACACACTCTCTGTTGGCAGGAACTTGCCCATTGCTTCAGTCTTGACAGCGCATTGGACACTTTGACACTTCGGACACTCCCTGACACATGATGCCACTGCCTCACTTCGTCCAGTAGCGCCAGGTCTCCAGGCCTCATCAGCGGACCCATGAGCACAAGGGCCCCCAAAATGCAGATCTGCCAAAGGCCTGCAGCTCTACAGTGTCTAGTTACTACACTGTCAAAAACTACACTGCGCTTCTTACACTGTGGTCTTCTTGCCCTAAACCTTAAACCCTAAACCCTCAACCCTAAACCTTAAACCCTAAACCCTAAACGCTAAACTGTGGTCTTCCCACGATCCTCTGAGATGCTCCTCTAGGCACTTCCAAGAAAGCTGGGTCCAAGGCTTCCAAGTTGTCCAGGCAAAACAGAAGAGCCGCAAGCCTCAGGGGAAGGCTCCCCAAAAGTCCAGGGTTTAAAGGTTTAGGTTTCGGGTTTAGGGTTTAGGGCTTAGGGCTTAGGGCTTAGGGCTTAGGGCTTAGGGCTTAGGGCTTAGGGCTTAGGGCTTAGGGCTTAGGGCTTAGGGCTTAGGGCTCAGGGCTTAGGGCTTAGGGCTTAGGGCTTAGGGTCCTCTGCAGTCTACTGGTGTCCTGGCTGGTCCTGTGGCTCCACTGAGCGTGGGACCCTTGGCCTCTGACAGCACCGCAGGGGCCGAAAGGTTTGCGAGGTTTTGCCTGCCAAGAAAGGGTGCTGCTTGCTGAGGGTTTAGGGTTTAGGGTTTACGGTTTAGGGTTTAGGGTTTATTCAGGACTTAACCAGTGCAGATTGGCTCCAATTGAAATGTGATGTTGAGGGCACACTGACATATTCTGATGCTGCAGCGTTGATGGTCAAGCTATGATCATTGTCCATGAATGTCCAATAAGCACAAGAAACCATAAGACACTGCAGGAAAGCAATCGAGCCTCCTGAAGAAGCGCCCTCAGTAGCGAGCACGATTCGACACTAGAAAGATGAAGCCAGCAAGACAACTTGCAATCCCGTTACGCTGAATTTTCAAACTATGTCCGCACGACCTCCTGATTGAAGACACCACACATACACGTCTCTGCAATACTGCCGATTGTCCATCAACTTGGCGCAAGACTCACGCAGATTGGCTGGCTAAAGTTGTCCGAGTCATGACCTGGCCACTGACAACCGAGCCCAGAGTGTCAATCATGAGATTGACGCCTACAGCTGTCGTTTGGTTTGGGGTTGGAAATTCAATGTCAAGCACCTCTCTTTCCCACTCGACAGACAGGCAAGTTCCCAAGAATTCTGGGAAGGTAGTGCTCCTCTTACAAAGCCACTCTCCGATGCTCCTTCGTGGCCGTGTCCTAAACCCCGAACCCTGAACCCTAAAACCTAAACCCTCAACCCTAAACCCTACACCGACTGGGATCCAGACTTGCCATCATTGCATTGAAGACAACGCTCTTTGAGCGCCTGGGCGGCAAGGCAACAGTGTTCAACAGGCTGCTTGCTGGCTGCAACGGACATTGCAGTCTTCAGACCTCTCAAGATGCTGCCCCAAACAACATCACTGAACCACTGGTCAACTCGGAAATTTTGTAGAATCACCACAAAAATCAGGGTAGACTTCTGCGTGCCAGCCTGTGCAAGGGGCGAGGCTTTTAATTTTGGAACCGAAGACCCGCGACCCCGAAGCCTGAACCCTGATCCGACATGGACCGAGTCCTCAAACCCAGCACTTCATGGATCCCTCCTAAAAAGTTGGTTTAGCCTGCGCGGGGTATTTATAAAGCGGGTGTGAGCAAAGAAGCTGCTGGGCTTCAATCTCGCCGAAAAACAAGCCGGTGACAAAGGCCAGAATTCTCTGAAAAATGGTGAAAGAATGCTGATTATTTCTGCGAGCTTTTTCCATCCAGCTGAGACAGTGTTGAATTCTTAAGAAAAGAACCTGTAAAGGCTACCGCTTACGAACCCTCCCGGCCCGGGGGGAGGGGGGCTGGCTGAACGCCACCTCTGTGTCTCTTGCCTGAATCAGAAGACCTCGTTTACTCCTTCTTTAAGCGGTCCAGGCCAAGCCAAACCCGGCCGACTGCGAAAAGCTTATGAGCGGCGCGGATGAGCCCCGAAGACGCCCTTCTACATTTTCTGTTGTGACCCTGTGCCAGAAAGGGGTCATACATACCCAACACTACGAAAGGCGAAAGCATATTCGTAGGCTCCTTTGTTGCACGGAATATGGCCTTGAGCGCTGAAAGCGGCTCCAGCGCAGTTCAACACTTCGGGGTCTCCGAAATTAGGGGGTTCCTTACTGGGGTCTTGTTTATAACAAGAGTCCGACTATCTGGGGGTCTATTCTAGGGCTCCCCTGTTTTCGTAAACCCCCAAATGCTAACCCTAAACCCGAAACCCTAAACCCTAAACCCCTGTTTTCGCAAACCCCCAAACCCTAAACCCTAAACCCTAAACCCTAAACCCCTGTTTTCGTAAACCTCCACAGCCGGGGCGCCCGACCGCTGGAAGTGGCAGCCCGACAGCTCGGCGCCGTCAAAGAGGAAGGGCAGCCCCAGGCCTCCCAGAGCTGCCCCGGCAAAAGGGTTTCGGGTTTTGGGTTTGGGGTTTAGGGTTTAGGGTTTAGGGTTTAGGGCTTAGGGCTTAGGGTTTCGGGTTTCGGGGTTTAGGGTTTCGGGCTTAGGGTTTAGGGTTTCAGGTTTAGGGCTTAGGGTTTCAGGTTTAGGGTTTATGTTGCAAAGGGGGGCTGGCCGCGGCACTCACCAGCGGCTCACGCCGGCCTCGTGCAGCACTGCGGCACTCGGAGAAGTCCGCTAGCCTCGGCACATGCCCACGTGCTTGGAAACGCATTTCGACTCCATGACATCGGTTCGCTACACAGACTCAGTCTTGAACAACTCTGTTCCATAAGGGCAATGAGTGCCAGGGGTGATCAGCACTGCATCACCATCTTCATCTACAGTTGCCTGCAACACTTCGCATGCAGTCATCACCTGACACGTTCTTGTCACAGAACTTGCAAGGAGGGCCTGGATTGCCTGTGCATCGTTCCCGGACTCAAGGATGAGCGCCTTGCTCTTCCGCAACTGGACGCTCCAAAAGGCCAGAAGCTTGTGCTTGCTTCTGTCGCATCACAGAGCATGAGCTGGGGAGGGGCGCCTCCTTCCGAACCAAAGACGGAACACCGCCAACTGAAGGTCGGCTGGTCGGCAGAGCGCCTGCGGAGATTGTGGCAAGGGCGAGCCTTGACCGTGAGAAACTAGTGTGGACATGTGCAGACAGTTCTGCAAACCAAAGAACTGCAAGCTGCTGGGTCCAGGGCCCTGCCACAAGCAGCAGAGGCTGCCTTAAGACTGGCCCAATCAAGACGAGCAGCGACAACTAGCCAGAATGGAAGCACTGCGTCGAAATGCCGATGCCAAGTCGCATATGAAGACCTGAGAACGTAGCATGGCCAAGATGGGCCACGGCTTGAGCCAGAACATGCCGGAAGCCAGCAAAAGCGGACAGCGCCAAGGCGTGGACATGCACAAGCGCAAGTCGCTCAATTCTGCAATCTACGATACGAGTTCTGCGTTCCGTGTGCCGCATCCTGAAACCCTAAACCCTAAAACCCTAAAACCCTAAAACCCTAAAACCCTAAAACCCTTAAACCCTTAAACCCTTAAACCCTAAACCCTAAAAACCTCGTCTCCCCATGCCTCCATCGGCGTCCTTGGCGCATCGGGCATGGCTTGGCCTTCCAACGCAGCACATTCCTCCCCCGCAGGCCCCACAGTAATGCGGGAACCTGAACCCATGGCTTGCTCAAGAACGACAAGAGTGACAAAAGGGGGTTTCCGATATTATGGGCTTCCGAAAATTGGGGTACCCTTTTGGGGTACCCTTTTGGGGTACCCTTTTGGGGTCCCTGGAAGGGATTCTACTCTATTTGGGGCAAGAGTGGGGTACCCCTATTATGGGCCATGCCCATACGACATAGAATGCGATCGAACAAACGGGTACAAGCACACCGGACAACAACTGGGATCGAGCACATCCAGGCGGCGCTCGCTGCTCAGCTCGGCGCGCTCTGGCCTGAACCAACAGCGCAATCAACGGGCGGAAAGAAAGACAAGCACTGCAAAATACCAGCCCGGCAACGGCAAAAAAACAGCCACTGCTCAGAGGCCACATGAATGCCATGCAAGGGCGGCAATAGATCAGACACACCAACAAAGACAAGAACATAGCTGTTGAACGCTCGTGCTGGTGCAGCGAACCAGCTAGCACTAGCTGTATCGCTTGCTTCTCGCGCCTCCCTTTCTTCAGCAAATTCCGTGGCCACCTACGAACAGGCGCGTCAATTCACGCAGGCGCTTCAGTGGACGGCAACTGAAGCAAACCCAGGATTGATGAAGGAGCGCTCAAAACAAAACAACCATAGTGGAATAATAAGAGCAATCATAAAACCAACAGTGATAATAACAAATATAAGAAGAACAATAACTAACAAAAATATGAGCAAGAACTAACAACAGTAGTAAAAGTAACCATAACAATAACAGTATCAATACCAATAACAATAACAATAACAGTAACAATAAAAACAACGATTACAATTGCAACTACAATTACAATTACAACTACAATTACAACCATAAAACCATGGTCAAAAAAAACAGCACCAAAGCAGGATCGTCCACACAGTAGCCTGCCGAAGCTCGACGTGAGCCGCATGAGACCACACCTTGGCTCTGCAGATGCTTGCCCAAAGCCAGGGTTCAGGGTTCAGGGTTCAGGGTTCAGGGTTCAGGGTTCAGGGTTCAGGGTTCAGGGTTTAGGGTTTAGGGTTTAGGGTTTAGGGTTTAGGGTCTAGGATATGGGTTTAGGGTTAAAATTTAAAACAACTAGGGTCTAGCGTTTAGAGTTTGGGGCTTAGGCTTAGGGCCCAGGGTTTAGGGTTTTACGGCTTAGGGCCTTAGGGTTCAGGGCTAACAAGCATGTTGGACTCCCTCATCAACATCCGACTGACCTTCACCCTAAACCCCTAAACCCTGAACCTAAACCCTGAACCCTGAACCCTAAACCCGAAACCCTAAACCCTAAGACTCACGATTCAAACGACGAAACCCCAAATCAGGCTCCCGCTTCGAAGGTGGCCACGCGCTCACTCGCAAGCCTCGCCTCCTTCTGGGCCTGCAACCATGGGGGGGGGCTTACGAAAGATAGGGGTGCCCTTTTTGGGGGGTGCTCTTTTAAGGGGCTTGTAGGGTTTAGGGTTTAGGGTTTGGGGTTTGGGGTTTGGGGTTTGGGGTTTGGGGTTTGGGGCTTATAAATATAGATCCCAAATAGCAGGATTCCCTTGTAATAAGGAACCCAAGAAGGGTACCCCTAATTTTGGAAATCCCCACATGGTGCAGCCTGCACAGACGGTCGACTGAAACAGAAAGCTCACTGCAGCTTGTGCTCTGAGAGCTCAAGCATGGTCAAATGGTCGACTAGCTGGGATTACGGAGGCACACGCTCAACACAAAATCACTACTCCGACTGTGTCCAGCGCCTGCGCTTTTCGAGCCTCTAGGCTTCGAATGTCAGCTCGGCGCTCGGAAAGCGTAGCAGCCTCAAGCGGGAGGGTTTCGGGCGTTGAGTAACTCAATGGCCCTGGGCCTTGCTGGTTGCTTTTCAAGCTCCGACAGATGCTTGCTGCGGCGTGCGCAAGGCCATCCTTTGAAGACGTTGATGAGGCTTCTAGTAGCTTGGAGGTTGCTTTCCTCTTCAGCTTCTGTGCGGAAACATTCAAAAACACCTGGGAAATTGGTAGGTCGCATGATTTTGGGGGTTCTTCAACGGCAACAAGACTTCCTTCCCTTCTGTTGGCCTTCGTCCACTGGATTCGGCCTTCATTCTGCCATCTGCCTAACCTAAATCCCCCCTCCCCCCCATGTGCTAAGTCCGTCACCAAGCTGGCCACCTGGCTGAACACTTTTGCAGCCCCCCACTTCCCGCAAACATCTGAAGGGCCCTGAGCACCCTACTACTGGATCACACATATCAAAACACACGTCTGAGGTAATTCTCCTCATCGGAATAGGAACGGTCCGAGTGTCATGCACCTGGGGCTACACCAGCCTTGGAGCCTAAGCAGAAGGGTAGTGCGCTTACCCGAGCTCCAAGGTTACCTGATGAGCCAAACTGGGATGGCACCGACCCGCCTCCGCGCGCAGCGTTGATGGCTCAAGATCCTCCTAGAGAGATCGGGGCTTGTTTCAATGGACCGGTTGGCTGGGTGCTCTATCGGGCGCGAAGGAAAGAGTAGAGGACAACGGACGTGATATGAGTACGTCCGTCTTCTGGGAAGCTGCCCCAAGGCTAACATACCGTGCAGGATAGCTCCTTCCAAACGCCTACATCAGCACAAGCTCTGGCGCGCGGCGCTGCCGTCGCGCTATGTCCCTCCCATAGTCCCAAGACAGCGTGGCGAGGCCTCTGCTGCCGCTTCTGCACCTCGATTAGGAGCAAGTGATCGCAAATTTCATCTGTACGCAGTTGACGCAGGACGTCTCTTTCGGCCTCGCACAACTTGGGCCCCACACCCAGAAGCTCTCCCTCCGCCTGGCGAGGTGACATAAGCATGAAGCACGCGCACCCTGCATGTAGCATGTCAGGGGCACATTGGGCCTGTGCCAGCAGCAGCTCGGTCTGAAGCTGTGAGAGCCTTGGCAAGAATGGAGCACAGGTTCAGCGGACGAGCAAAGAAACCGGAGCTGTCTTCGGCCCCAACATGCACATCATTTCTCAGTAGTTTTGGTGAAATTCAAGGGCAGACATAGGAGAGAGATCAACAGACACGCAAGTGCCCCCCGCCTGAGCCTGGGTGCCTCTTCAACAGTCCACGCTCCGCAGATTTCTGGCAGCTGCACTTCGTCTCCGACACAGTTTCTTGAGAGGATCTTGAGATCGTTGGGCAGACCTCTGAGGCACTGGGCAGTCTTTGGCCCTCGTCCAGATCCTGTTGGGCAGCCTGGTGCCACTTCGCGTTCACTGGGAAAAGCCTTCTTTTGTACTCTGTTTTAATGCTCAGGACAGGGGGAAAGCTCCACCTCGTGCGACGGCTCCATGGCCAGCGCATGGTCCAGTTCCGCCATCTGCTGCTCTAAACCTTAAACGTGATGCTTTGGCGACTCTCTCTGTCCGATGTGCCTCTTGGCTTTCATATGCTGAAGCACTGCTGAGGCTGCAGGCGGCTCATCTCAATCTGGTGAGAGCTACTCGCAGCCTTGCTCATGGCGCCAGCACAAAGGTTGCTGGCCAAGACACTCACACAATCGGGATCAATCGGGCCTCCTGTGCTGACTGCAAGCTCCGCTGCAACTCTGCCTGGTAGGCCGGTGTTGGTCAGTGCGCATCTCCAATCTGAGTCTTCTTCTTGCCCGAGCCCCCAGCAAGCTCATCAAAGCTTGCGAGGTGTGCTTGCGGAAGCGCCTGTCAGTTGAGCAAAAAAAGGGCTCATGAGGGTTCACTCCTCTCACTCCGCCACTCTTCTTGGATGGCCTGAGGGCTTGCGCCGGCCGACTTGGTCGGAGTGCCGGCTTTGGGCATCCCGACCTGGGGGAAGCTAAGCTTCAACAGAAGAGACCGAAACATTCGCAACATGCACCCAGAAGCGTGGCTCTTGCAAAAGACGTAGGAGGTTCCTCTCACTGGCCTGCCGCACCGCGCTGCTCTCACTTCTTCTTTTGCCCGGCTTTCTGAAGTCCCGTCCAAGCAACGAGGGCTACACGTAAATACGGGCTCACACGAGCAACGTCTCCAGAGAGCTCCCCGAGTGCATGTTGCTCACGAAACCCTGGAAGCGATTCCAGTTGTCTCCGTTCAGAAGATCACTGCCCAGGCGAAGGTAAGTAAACACCTCCATGCCTGAGCTCGGCTTAGGGTGTTTTAAGGTGCTTTTTAGGGACATTTTTTGGGGGCCTTCAGGAGTTGAAGGGGGCCCACAGTGCCCGAAGAAGAGTGCTGAGTGCATCACCTGACTTGTAGGATTCGATCTTGCCGTACGCAGTGTCATCAAATCTGGGGAGCGCGTTCTCTCCGCCCAGGGCGATGCCGCGACTCCGTGTTGCCTTCATCACCTGACAGAAACTAGCGGAGTTTATACATTCCGGACGAGTGTCCCCTCATGCATTTTTTCATCGAATCCCTACTACCACTCCAAACCCAAAAAAAACGAGCTTTCAGCACCACTTCCCCGAATATGAGGGCTTACGATATTAGGGGTACCTTATTCGGGGTCCTTATGATCAGGGGGACCCTACTATTTGGGGATCTATGTTGGGGGTCCCCTATTTTCGTAGAACCCCCCCCAATAGGGGGCCAATCCCGGCATATCCGGTCACTCGCCACTTCTTTCGCGCGCGCCTGCTGCACGAGCTCCTCGGGGCCTGAGGCACAGTCAGCGGACTGCTCCGAGTCGGCCATCTCCTGAAGACACAGAAGGCCACGCGAAACTCGGGGGATCCCTGGCTTCCGCACTTCCGCGTGCCCATGCACCCGCGCCGCTGCAGGAAGATGCGATAAGGCGCCGGCCATGCAGGTGAAGTCGATGCTGGCACCTGCCAGGGCAAAAGAAGCTTCCAGACTCCATAATACTCCATACTCCTTTGCTCTTGATTCCTATGTGTAGGGTACCTTCTTGGGTCCTTGATATAAGGGACTCCTACTTTTTGTGGGTCTCTTTTGGGGTCCCCTACTATTGCACCATACAATGACAAAAGGACGAACGTTTTCAAAGCAGAATTCCAGCGCATGACTCAAGCCTGTTGCTGCAAAGGTCGCTGCGATAGAGTCATAGGCATCGTTGCTGTTCGCATTGTAGTAACCTTCGGGTTTGGGGTTTAGGGCTTCGGGTTCAGGGTTTTTGGGGGGTGGCCGCTGCCCCGGTAGTGACACAAGAGGCTTCGCGGGAGTTGTGCTCATGGGCCTGAAGTAAGTTCGGCGGCGTGGTGGTCGCTCTTGTACCACCAATGGATCCCAGAAACTTTGCCCGCCAAGCGAACGCCAGACTGTGAGAATGCCTCAGTAGCCACAGCAGATGTCTTGGCAAAGTCTGCGAGACTTTTAAAGAAATGTAGGCAAGGCAGACAACAACCTGCCAGGCGTAGCCGTAAGCACTTCATTCAGCCGGAGATGTTGAAAACTGCGCTTACCTGCAATGCTCTTCAGGTTGCTTTCTTGGCGCGATGGAGCACCTCCGCACCGTGCTGAAGAAGTGCCTTGGGCAAGCACAGGGTTGAACAGAAACCAGCTGCTGCTCTATTCCCCTTTTTTATGGGCTTCATGGGTTTTACTCGCAAAAAATAGCTGCAAGGCGGCATCGGAATACCACTTCAAGAAGAACTTGCCAAAGTCTGACTGGTACCCGTTCTGGAAGAAAGTTGCGTCACCTGCAACTGCCACACCACACACACACACAAACCCTAAACCCTAAACCCTAAACCCTAAACCCTAAACCATCGCCTGGGCGACTGTTATAGTCTCCCGCATCTGTGGGAGGCTTGTCCCACTCTGCATGTCCTCAGGGCAATAACCACCATCAACGCGTCATAGGAAGGACCGAGCCGATAGCCCAGGGGTTTAGGGTGTAGGGTTTAGGGTTTAGGGTTTAGGGTTTAGGGTTTAGGGTTTAGGGTTTAGGGTTTAGGGTTTAGGGTTTAGGGTTTAGGGTTTAGGGTTTAGGGTTTAGGGTTTAGGGCTCTTTGCGGTGAGTTTGTATAGCTGTGGCCCATTTTGCTACTTGCTTGCTGGTGGCTGCAATTGTGCACACACACAGGTCGCCCATGTTTCCAGGGCCTCCCCGCTTTAGGATACAGTGGGTTCCCCATTTCTCTGCAACGCGATGTGTCTGAACTTCCCTGGCTCCTGCACTCTTCGCAGCGGCAGCCAGGTTGTTGAGAGCATTGGCGTCGTAGCATTGAAAGGCGCCGACGCCACAAAACTTCCATTCAGAAAGCTGATAGGCCTGAGTTGAGTCTTTGAATCCTATGCGCAGGAGGAAGAAATACTGGAAATACAAATCCAAAAAACCTGCAGTGACACCATACCTCACTATAGCACGGGAACCCATGGACATGGGGGCACCGCAAAAAACACTTTCTTATGTCGTGCATCTATCGTGCATGTGCACGTTGCGGCGATTCAACACTCCAACGCTGATCCTTGCTGCCTTGCTAAAATGCACACTCTTGGTGAATGAATTTCCCTGCAAGCCGCAGGATATCTGAGCTCGCCAGCGGGCCCCATGCCCACCTGCAAAACACACGACATGGCAAGGGGCAAGGGGCAAGTGCTCGAAAACCAGATCCTTGCCACATACCCCGTCGCCTGGATCTCCTCAATGACGCCGCCTTGGTATCTCAGCTCGAGGATGCTCCAGGTTTCCGGTCTTCTTGAGCCCCTTTCTTGCTAGGGGGGGGGGGTGTGCCTTTGGGGGGGCCCTTGAAAGCCAAGGCACCTAAGTCTGCTGCGAAGCTGGATGAAAGCGCCGCAAACCAATCGCTGTACATCTGCAAAGGGGTTCGACCTCCCGGCGCTATCACCGCAAGCTTCGGCCAGAGAGGCCACATGCGAGCAACCCCCACCTTCAATCGTGACGTTGTCGGCGAAGAGGGAGATGTACTCCTTGTCTTCGTGGCCATGCTGGTCCTCGAAGTTACCAAGCTCAAGAGACATGCTACATGGGCCACGAAGCTGTAGGCATAAAGTGCAGAGCTAGCCCGTCCTTGTACCAGATGTCTTGCTGGGCAGTTACGAAGGAAGGCAGGGGAATGTCGCAAATGTCGCCCACATTGCCCCCGCACTGATGGAAGGAGGTCACCAGCTGCACCTTCCGTCATGATTCCCAGCCGAAGTGCTTCGACGCGCCCACGCCCTACGCTTCTGATGCCCAGCCGCGGACGACGGCTTACAAGGTACTGGCCCTTGTGGCGTTTCATTGCAACCGGCGAGGGCACCACAAGACTTCGCTTGACACAAGGTCCTCTTGAATCGGCAGGCGAGAACCCGGAGGCTTGAAGCGATTGGAAATCGGTTCGAGCCCACTGTTTCTCATCTGCCGGCAGCTCTTCTGGGGCAAGGGTTTTGGCAACAAGGGCGAAGAGACATGAGCCCGGCCCACTAGAAGAGGCAACTGCGGGGATGTTTGCGGCTGCTACGATTGCTATGTCTTAGAATGCGTTGCACTCCCGTTGCGCCTCGGATGGCATCGTTTTCCCCATGGAGACATGTGTCGGCTCAGCCGATGACAAGTGCAAGTGGCTGAAAGATACTGAAAGATGCTGAACGACTGCAATGCGCTCTTCGGAAAGCTGAGGAAGGTGGATGGGCCAAAACATGTCCTTTCGCCAGCATCTGAAGTGAGCATCTGACAACCATCCTCCCCAAAACCTTGCTCCCAGAGGGGCCTCGGCATTAGCCAACATTTGAGCAGGCAGCCTGCTTTTGGCAACTACTTGGTAGGCCTTGAGACCTTGCCAAAAGGCTGGATATGATTCATTTTATCACGCAGTGGCTCTGGCGGCTCTGGCGATGCTTGGCGGTTTATGTTCGGTGTGCCCTATTGCGCGTTGAAAGACGTGCATGTTCACAAGCAACGTCAGCCCCAAACCCTTAACCCAATGGGGTTTAAGGGGTTCATGGTGGTGTACCGACTCTTACATTGAGAGACGTCACGCTGAACATGTGCCACTTCAAGATATCCCGGCCCTGGCCTTCAGGCCAATGCCCTTGCACATATCCACGAGCTGTCTGTAGCCGTCAAACTTGTAGGACTTTGCGCTTGGCTCGGTGGCACCCCACCATACATCTGCCATGATGCCATCCACCTTCCCGCCTTTCCTCACATGCAGGGCTCAGATACCTAGAGAAACTACATAATTACAAGTGTTGGAGAGCTGCCAACAAAAATGACATTGCTTCGAGGCTCAGCTGGTTCAACTGGTTCTTCAAGGACTCCGGATCCTTCAAGTCGCCAGATGGCGTCACGACATCCAGGCCTCGAAGGGTCACAAATTCACGAGACGTAAGAAAACGTCACGGAGGCCAGGTTTCTCCCCAGGAGCCGAGCATCACGAAGACCTCCACCGCCTCGCTTTGCAAGTTGCTTCACCCTGAACCCTAAACCCTAAACCCTAAACCCTAAACCTTAAAGACATGCCCAAGTCTGGGTCCACGAAGCTGAGTGTGCGGCATCTGCCCATGCCACAAGCAGTGCCAACAGCAATCGCATTGTGACACTTTCGTCCACACCGGGTTCCGCTTGGCAGAAAGTGTGGATCAAGGCTGGCAGCAGCTGACAAATGGCAACTGGTGAGGCTCAGGAATACACCGACCATGTTGAACAGCATGTGTATATATATATACACGCAGAAGTATACATATATATATATATACATATGCAAATACATATACATACATATACATATATATATATACACATACATATATATACATGCTTCCCCCCCCTTCCCCCCCCCCCTAGATCCACCATCTTGGCGACTTTGCTACCCCTCCCCCTACGTATCTACCGCTTTGTTATCAAAAAACAAGGATGCCAACCCTACATTAAACCCTAAACCTGCCCCTCCTATGCGAAGTCCCGTCCACGTGCGACCGAGTCACCTTGGACATGCGTCACTTTATCGTAAACTAAAGGAAATGTATCTGCCGGAACCTTTCCAATCTGAGCAGGGAGAATGTGATGCCCGTACTCACTCCGATACGCCTGCACATACTTTGTTTTCCAGATGAAATGCGGACTCTAGCTGGACACGCAGGAGGATACTCAGAAAGAGCTCGAGGCACTCGACGGGCAGGATACAAGATGGAGGATTTCAAGATGCCTCCGGCGACAGCCCTGAAAGATCTTGGATCTCGAGTCCCGGCCATTTCAATTGAAACGCCGGCAGTTTCAGTTGAAACGGCCAGAATACACGATGATCCCAGATGCATGTTCCGAGATGTCTCAATGATAGGCCTGGATCCAGACATGGTTGTGTTCATTGTGAAGCAGACGGAGTGGTTATGTTGTGAAGCAGCCAGAGTTGCTTCATCATGAAAGAAAGGCACTGAAACGGTGGATCTTTGGGGGGGGGGTACCATATACATGTATATATGCGCAACTGCATAATTCTACACATATAGTTACATAAGTATACATGTTTTTACAACTGTCAAACTATGTATGTATATAGGCACATGATACGGTATTCCACATTATCTTATAACATTATAAAACATTGTCTTAGATTCCATTGTACTGTATTCTTGTAGTATATTATACTACAAAATAAAACATTGGGAGTGTGCTGTATTGTACAGATATATATATATATATGTATAAATATATATATATATATATATGTATCTATTTAATTTAATTTTTTTATATTTATATGAATTATATTTATTTCTATTTATTTACATTTATATAGAAAGGAGCGCAAGGCAGCGCTTCTGAGAGGAAGGCGCCGCTGAGCTCCAGCGGCGGAGGTCCTTGGCACTTCTTGTTTGGGGTTTAAAGTTTAGGGTTTAAGGTTTAGGGTTTAGGGCTTAGGGCTTAGGGTTTAGGGTTTCGGGTTTAGGGTTTAGGGTTTAGGGTTTAGGGTTTAGGGTTTAGGGTTTAGGGTTTAGGGTTTAGGGTTTAGGGTTTAGGGTTTAGGGTTTAGGGTTTAGGGTTTGGGGCGCTTGGCTGGAAGCGGGAAACGGAAAGAAGCATGAAAGCATGGAAAAAGTGGAAGCCCGAGTTTACATCTTCACAGATCCGGCATTTGCTTTATCATCAACCTTGCGATTTGTTGTCCACGTCACTTTTCTGTTGAGTCTTACTTGGGGACTGGCACAAAATCTTTAGTTGCTATTTCTTGACGTTTGTTGCATATCTTGGAAAGTCACCACTGCTACACCCCAGAGTTAGTTGAGTTTCTCATCCTTTGTTGCAGCTCAGCTGCAATCCTCAGGCTTTTCTCGGCGTGCTCCTTCAGACTTGCAGGGGTGCGTCGCAGCGCTCAAGCTGCACATCTCTGCAAGCAGTTGACCGCAATACATCTGCGCATGTCCGAAGCAGCCTGGCATGCAGCAATTGCAGCAGTTGCCATCGGCCGATTCTGGCATTTAAAGTCAGAAGTCAGAAGGACAGACCTAGCTTCAGCTTCCAACCGAAAAGAACAGATACTGCATGTTCGCTGCGACTTTCCACTGACCTAGCGCTTTGCAGGCACATTTCCATGTGTCCAAGTTCTACACATCCCCAAAGCCCTTTGACGTTCTTGAGCTGGGCTGCCCGAAACTCTCCCCATTCAGCCTGCCAAAAACTGAGGTTCTTTGAGGACACCATGCAGGTACTTTTGGAGATAGATATCTGTTTTTTCAGCTGTGCTGTGAAAGGTGCTTGAGAGAGCTAAGGGCAACAGGGCATAACAAGAGCAATCCTTCACTCGACCTGGAGCAGCTCGCGCCTCCCCCATCCATGCCCCTTTTTAAGGCCAGCAGATCACACGGTCGAGTCGAGTTCCCCAATACTGGTACATCTAGGATGTCTGAAGGTCCCTCGGCAAACCATGCAGCACGTTGCCTGCAAGCTTGCGGGTGCGGGTTCAAAAGACGCACCACTGAGACAATGCATACAATGGCATACAAACGATATAGCTCACTGCCGAACGCAATCTACGCAATCTGGAATCATCGATCGCCCCATCCACGCTCCGGCACACACAGATAGAAGCAGTGAGCTGTCGAAAAACTATCGAGCAAGACACACAAAGCCTCAAGGGCTCGGCGTCGTGGAAAACAGCTCAGCACGCCGCGAGCAAGGCAGCTTTCCTCCCTCAGCGCGACGCGGCAGTCGCCACGGCGAACTCGAATCCGGCATCAGATATGTTGACCTTCCTTGGGTATACGGGGACCCGCAAACATCCCCATGTGGCAAGATTCACCACATTCTGTGGCTGTCTGACTCTCTCAGCAATTCCTTCAGTCCCATTTTGCTCTACACAACAGAGGATTCGCCGAGCGTCCCGTTGCTGCTGTCCGCCGGCACCCCACGGCCCCACAAGACCGGGGAGACCGCCACACCTGCGCCCAGTCTGAACCGAAGAGGAGAGAGCACGACACAGAACGGAAAAAAGCTTCCCTAAACCCTAAACCCTAAACCCTTGAGTAACTGAGTAACGTGCTTCTCGAACACATGGAAAACACACACAGACATTTTTGGTGCAACTGCTCAGCAGATTTTCTGAATGTGGCGCATCTGTGCAAGGCTTCAGCTGCCTGGCCCTCCGCTGAGAGGCTCGTCGCTGCTTGTGATGAAGGCCGGGCCGCGCAGGTCTGTGATCTGGCCATCCACCTGCGGAGGGTTGTTTTGGCAAAAGCAAAAAAGCCGAAGCAGAAAGAAGCACAAAAGAAGCATGGGTAGCAATCATCACAAGCTAGCCACGTGTTACCCGAGCTGGGCTGGGATCAACCAGTTTCACAGGCTGCCTTGGACAAGGCCGTGTATCGCTGGACGATGAACCTTGGCCAACATGTTCCCCACACTTGGAGAGGTAGTCAGTTGCTGCTGATGGGGAGAGCTATGTGCCTCTTACGATGCGGGTCTTTCTCATCTAACAAGCGACTGAAAGCTTTTGATGGTATACAGATGCGTACAGCATCGCACCCCCACTGCCCCTCCACTGCTGCAACCGCCTGGGAATCTTTCCGTCCAGCGACGCCTCGGGCTCAGCAGCCACGAGCGACCGCGCTGCCAGAAACCTAGCGGAAGTGGAGAAGAGTGTACTCTCCAGGTCAGGTCGACCTCCCACGCTAGCGACATCCAGCAACTCCCAGAGGCGCGACCAACTTTGGACATCGGAAGATGGACACCCCGAACCCTAAGCCCCCTAAGCCCTGAACCCTAACTTCCGGAACCGTAAACAATAGCCCGAAAACCCCCCCCCCAATTCTGCAGAAACCACTCGCGCTGTTTACACATCAGGAAGTCTCTCTAGTCGAGGATCTCCTGGCGCGGCAGCTTCGCCCCGACCCAAACGGCATTGCCTCGGGAAGGGAGTCTAAACCTCTGAATATTGCAGTCTCATGGTGTGTGTGTGTGTGTGCGTGTACATATGTGTGTATGTATACTTACATGTATGCAATGCTTGAGAACTTACTTATGTATCCACATTTGAGTGCATATGTATATAAGTATATGTATCTGTACGTCATTGCCTATTTATATCGATATTAATATGTACATATATATATATATATATTGGCATTTGTATTTACATACATCATCCAACGAGGCCTGGGGGCCGTAGGTGTCTGGGTAGATTGAAGCAGGTGCCACATCCAATAAAGAACGGCGCAACATTTGCGTTTGGGCACCTCGATCCCCAATACCCCCCCCCAAACCCCCCCCCCACTACGCAGTGCCCGACCGATGTAGCGCAGTAACATGATGCTCATATTCATACTTATCATAGAATACAGAGTATCAGACGTAAACAGTATACATATGAAACAACATGATTTTTACAATATGATGTAGTCTAATAATATACAATACAACACAAGAATATTTTTAAAAAAACTTAAGAATAGTTGATATATATTCTCTCACAGAAATGTTCAGATTAGTAGGAATGAAAGTATTCAGATAGTATTCAGATTCGTACAACAATGAATTAATATGAAAAAATTTAATAATACAAGATTTTCATGTATCTACACATACATACATACATACATGCATGCATACATACATACGTACATACATACATACATACTAACATAAATGCATCCAGCATCTATGTTTCTGAAGGCAAGATCTTGGAGCTGCAGTTCCGCAAATCTTCAAGGACCAGAGAATGCTCGCTGTGGGGCCCAGGCCTCCTCGCCCATCCACACGTTTCACGACGACGTTGGGCTGTGTGCCTCACTTCGCATGATCTCCAGGGTTCAGGGTTTAGGGGTAGGGGTTTAGGGTCTAGGGTTTAGGGTTGAGGGTTTAGGGTTTGGGGTTTAGGGTTTAGGGTTTAGGGTTTAGGGTTTAGGGTTTAGGGTTTAGGGTGGCCGGGGAGAGATACAATCCCCACACTCTGTTCCACTCGGGTGTTCTTCTCCATCGCCGCATTCCTACAACGCCCCACTGACTAGATGCAATCAACCTGGAGATTCTCTTTCTAGCTAACTTTCTTGCGGCAGCCTGGATGAACCCCAAATCCTGCTCTGAACTGCGAAACCTCAATGCGCACAATGATCGAGGCATATTTCCGCAGTTAACCTCCAGCAATGTGCCATCAAATAGCTGACAGAAGACAAACTACAGCCCCACGAGCAGCCGCAAACCAAGCACGAATCACTGCATACGTATCAATGCACTGCTGCGGTGCTAAGTTGAAAGTTGTCATGGTATGAGAACAAGAACAACACCTGTGCGGCTTAATCCATTTGAGCAAGAGTTGTTCGAAGCAAGATCCCCGCTTGTGCGACAGCATAGCCTGAACTTCATGCACGACTTTCAGTGCCTGAAGAAGCTGTGAGGCCTCCGAAGGAGTACCTAACTGTACCAAACTACCTCCTGGACAAAAGCAAACTGAGAACCATGATGAAACATGTATACGAGCGGGTGCTACATGACTAGGACTGACACTGCAGCAAGGTAACTGGGAATATCGAAGACGGAGTGGATCAGACCAGGCTCTTGCGCGAAGCTCCGTGTTGGAATCGTGCGCAGCAGGGGTTCCTCTTTGAGCACACAGTGCCACGTTGTCACAGTGTGGCATGAGATGCCGTGAGTCATGAGTCGAAAGGTTGCCCGGATGTGCACGGTGTTTGGCGGAATTCGAGACGGGCACGGTGGAAAATGCAAGGACCACTGCAGCACCGGGTCACCGCGTCCTCACCAAGGTAGTGCTGGATGAGCTTGTCCATGTGAGAGCAGAGCTCCTAGCCGGACGTGGTCCAACTTGGCCCATGATTGCATCAGATCGCAGCCTCCCATATGTTCCCAGATATCTCTTTGGCAGTCTTAGAGGGTGATACACGAGGGCATTCACTGGCACGTCCGTGCATGGATCTGTCGGCCCTAGCCCTAGCCATCAATGCCAATCAATGCATCCACTCATTCACTCCTACTAGCTCGCCCTCGCACGAAACTGAAATTCGCAAGAAGACCCTGAGGCTAAAAACCCTGAGGCTCAGGGACCTTTAAATCCATGTCGCGGGCTCCTTGTCCTCCACCAAGATCAATCCCGGGCCATTGGCCACCTGCCCACGACACACACTACATCACATAGCAGTACATGTGTACATAAGATGGTATCATTGTAGAATTCGTGTGAGAACATGGGAGCCTTGACCCGGCCCTTGTAGTAGGCTTCCAGGAGCCCAGGGACCTTTGCAAAAGCGAGGCGGCTCCTCCTTCTCTCGCTTTTTGAGATCTCTTCAAAATTCCGAGCTTCCGGCCCCCTGCTTGCCCTCCACGAGGCGCTGCCACCCCTCCTGAGGCGGAAAGAAGGCACCGGAAAGAGGGCAGGGAAAGCCGCTGCCTTGTCGTCTCTGCGAAGGACGCGGAAGAGCTGATCTCCTCAGGGCCGGAGAGCATGCGAACGGAAGTGAAACTCAAGAACGCTCGTCCCGAACCAATTGAACTAACTTACACGTCGACGGCACAACGCGTTGTATACCTGGAAGGCCGAAGGGCGGGCGTTCTTGCTGTCGCGCTCCCCGATCACCTCTAAGAGACAGGGTTCCCCAAAGAAGATAACCATCCCCCACCCCCAAGTGCCCCCAACGCACTGCACTCCATCCCGCTCGCACAGGCGAGTGCGCCGCTTTTGTGCACAAAAGGGGGCCTGGCCGACGGACTCCACCGCCTCGCGCAGCTCGGCAGCCGAGCGCCGCGCACGCTCCGCCTCGAGAGCACAGGATGCCTAAAGAAGGAAACGAGGAAGGAGCGAGAGCGAAGAGAATAAACAAACCGAAACAAAAGAAAAACACGTCGTCCCTTAGCTATCCTAGACGAAACATCTGCGAAATTCCAAGCCTCGATGGGGTGGTCGCTCAGCTGCCAGGCCTGCTCCAGCTTCTTCAACCCTGAGAGGGGCGCGGCTCAGACATGAGAAACAGAGACGGCCAAGTTGTTGCTAGCACCATCTAACTTACTATGTAAAACTGAGATGTAGTTCAAAATATCATATAGTATCAAATACTGTTTAATTTTTAACACAAGCTTGACTGCCCGCCCTCACAATCCGGTTTCAAGAAGCGCTTGGTGCCTTCTGCGTCTGGCTTGTAATGGTACCCGTCACCGAAGGTTAACCTGCCAGTTCCAGCATTGTACCTGATGGGCCCGTCAGTGCGCTCGCTTTGGTTGCTAGTCTTGTCTGTCCACGTCCAGATGAGTTTGCCCGCTTTCATCTGCAGTGAGCTCTTGTTGCCATCCGAGTCTGTGAAGTCAACCTTGCACTTGACAGAGATCAATGACTTCTCATTGCGCGCAGCCTTCATAACCTCCTTCTTCTCCATGTCCTCGTAGGTGCTGATTCGGCTTCGGGCCTCGTCGATCGCCGATCGAAGCTTGGTACTGGGGTGCCCCGGCTGGACATCCGTGGGCTCGGACAGGAGAACGACCAGCCCGACCGGTTCCTCGTTCGAAACCTGCTTCGCGGGCGAGCGCCGCCGCGGACTTCGGCTTCTGTCGGGACCCTCCTTCTCCTTCGCAGGCTTCGTGGGGGTGTTTTTTGTTGGAGCTGCCAGAAGAACGCGGCCATGGCGCACCAGCAGCCGGGGCTGATCTTCTCGCGGGCCTTTCTCGTCTGGCAGCTGCACAGGCACGAGACCCTTCTGCCTCAACAGAGTCACCAGCCGCCGATCCTCGTTGTCGTCCCGGACTGAGCGGTGGTAGTACAAGACCACCACCTTCTCACCCTCAGCGACCTTGACAGGAATTGGAACCGGGTTCCTGGGTTCCTGCTCTGACGAAGGGGCCTATTGAATTCTGTTGAATGGGTGTGATGGAGACGGCCTAAACGGCGGCCTCGTGCCTACTTTCGTGTGATGGGTTCATTGAAGCAGCCTGTTGCTGTCGGTAGCTGCACGGGCTCCCCTCGCCCTCTCTCTGGGGCTCACTTGATGCCTCGAGATGTTGGCGTGGACCTGCCTTGAATTGGAAAGCCTTCATCGTTATTTCATGCAGCAAATGTACCCAACCCGAGATCAGACGACATATGCACATCATATATTTCTATAAACCATAAACCAGGCCAATAATTAAACAACAACAAGTGGGCCTGGCGCTTGTAGTGATTGGCCATCTCCTCGTAAAGCCGCTCGGCGTTGGCAGGCTCCAGATGCGGCTTGAGCTCGGGAAAGCCTTTGGAGCCATTGGCCTCCCCGATCAGAACCTGTTGAGTGGGGCAGGTACCCTGTGTAATCCCTTAAAGGGTATCTATAGGGACTGTACACAAGGGGATATAGGGCAATCCCTTAAAGGGTATACATAGGGACTATATATAGGGGGATATAGGGTATCTCATTCCCTCATTCCCTACTCACCAAGAGTAAGGATCAGAACCTGCCGCGCGAGGGGAAGGTCTCCGAAGCCACCTACATAGCCCAGGTTGTCCTCCACCACGTAAAACTCATGGCCGTCCTCGGCAGGTCCGCGGATGATGTCTGGACCATACCAGATGTTCCAGTAGAGCTTCTTGGACTCCGCTTCGTTCTGAACCAGATTCTGAGTCCATTGCTCGCCAGCTCGAGCTGCAATACGATTGAAGACATCGCGAGGCAAGGCTCCACTCCGCACGCAGCTCAACTGTCCAACTTTCATCTCCTTCCTGCTGTTCACATCCATTACTAGCCGCCGCAGGGCCTGCGCTCGCTGCGCGACCCCGGCGGTGAGCTTCGCAGCCTGACGCGACACCGAAGCGGGAAGCACGAGTCGACTCAATCATTCTAGATCTCGGTAGGGGGCCTGACGGACGCTGCGTCCTGTATTCGAATCTTGTCACATCCGCCGGGTCTTGTCGAGGCCACCCGGCAGCTTTGGATGTTATTCTTCGATGCTGCTATCGGGGTTTGTTTCGATGTTTGGAGGTCGATGTTGGGGTTGTTTCCAGCACGTGCGCTTCGGCGTCTTGGTCTTAGGGTCATAGAAGCTCAGTGAGTCATCAGTGAGTCAGCCTGGGCGCACACCACGAACCCCAAGTGTACTCAACCATGCCATACGTATGATCTGCCTATCCGCCCCCCCCCTCACGCCTCAGGCTGCGTCAACATCCGCGGGATGTGGTAGAGCCGATTGTCGCCCCTGAAGCACTTCCTGGCCACGTTAGGGTGCCTGCCTACGCCTGAACTCTGCTTTCGACCGATGGAGTCCGCTCGAGCCCCAACTGCCACATGGGCCCCTAGCACGATCCTCCTTCGAAAAGGAACCCCCCCCCAAAAAAAAAAAAAGGATACAACCCCTAAACCCTAAACCCTAAACCCTAAACCCTAAGCCATGGCAATCCGAATGGTGCTCAGCCCAGAAAGATGCCCGCCAGGAGTCTCCGACTCCGCTCTGAAGTCGTTGATGCCTCTCGACATCTCTTGACTGAATCTAGTAACACGCCGGTCACACCGATTAGGGTTCAGGCGATTTAGGGATGCTTACGAATCGGGGTTTGGGTTTTGGGTTTTGGGTTTAGGGACTAGGGTTTAGGGTTTAGGCTGGAAATGAGCTGTTCTTGCCACGCTGCGTCTAGGCTTTCGATTCAGGATCTGGTCCATTTCCTTCACGACACCGAGGTAAGCAGCGCGGCACTGTCCTCAGAAAGGCATGCGGCATGACCCATCTCCTATAGCTGCAGGCCCGGACTCAAAGAAGTGTGCCCTTCTGGCCTTTCTCGTCGCGCATCTCGTCAAAGGGCTCTGCCTTCGCGGCTCCGGGCCATAACCTCAGCGATGAAGCACCAAGCGGTCAAACGACAAGTGAATACCCCAAAAGGCCTCAGAACACTGCTGTCACCCCAAGGCGTCAAAACACTGGCTACTGTCTGACCACTCGCTTCCAAATAAACACGTACCGGCAGTGCAGCGAGCAGCCCGACAGTGACATCTGGCAGTAAACGGCGAGCTTCCTGTCAGTCGATTGCGGAGCGACACCGGCACTTCATGCCTGATACTCTAAGCAAGGACTTTGTCAGGGCGTCATGCAACGTAGCTGCCACACGTACTGTCCGCACGGGCCTGCCTCTGCAAGCGCCTTGATCGCATCTGCCAGCTCCTTGGACGGCTTCCAGCCTCATAGCTCCGGATAGCGAGGCCAGGCCCGGAGAGAGCGCAGCTGTAGCAACACGCACGCGCACCTTACGTTGTCCCTCCGTGGGGGTACCTGCCTATCTGCTGTCCAGGGTCCGTTCTGAAGCTGTGAAGCCACGCCGTTCTCCGGTTGGCTGCCTTTGGACGCCTTTCACATCATCGAGATGCAGCTGAACGCAGTCGTAGCAGCCGACAGCACTAGAGGCTATGTCAGTGTTTTCTGTCATTCAGGGTTCAAGCCATGCATCATACGCATCATGCCTGTCAACGTACGTGAGAACATCTGCTCAGAAGATCCAGAGGCATCCGTGCAAACTTGTCGCTGCCTGGAGGCATTGCAGCAGAACACCGGCAGCCGCGAGGTCCTGGTGCAGGATAGAGGCGCAGAGGCGAAGAAGACTTCTGAAGAGGCAAGCACTGACCACCAAGTAGCAGCAATGGATGTGCGGTCTGGTCAACAAACATGTGGACCGAGTCCTCTTGAACGACGTCGCCGTTGACCGCCGACATTTTGCACAAGCCAGGCCACGCACGATGCTGCGTATAGGTGCGTGCTAATGTACGAAGCATTGCGAAGTGCCATGAACAATCGTGAACGCATTCATCTTGTGAACATTGTTGCGCTGCCGAGTATGATGGCAAGGCGAACTGTAGACGAGGCGCTACTCCGCTACTCCGCACCAAGGACCCCTCCGTTGCATCTTCTCTTCTCCCATGCGGGCATATGCCCCACACGTCTAAACGCGCCGTTTGCCTTCCCAGCACGTTCGCTCTCTGTCTTGCTTCATGGTTCTTTCTTTCTCTCTTTCTCTCTTGGGGCAACCTTTTCATTCTTGGTCAGAAGGGTAAAGGGAGGCCATTGCCCATGCGAGTTGCGCACCCCTGCACGCGGGCCTAAAGCTTAAAAGACAAACGGGCAGGTTTCCAAGACATGCGGCCATTCTAGTCCACCCAGAAGCCCCTAAGGAATTTCTGGCAATCTGCCTCAAACACATGAAGCTCACAGCATCCAACGGCTCATTCGGGAGCTGGCCAGTTGGCGATCCCACGATGCACTCCCTTCCTCCCCTTAGCAGAAGGCTAAGCCCACCCCCGGCAAGCGGGACTGAGTTCCAACCCTCTGTTTGCCCCTCCCCACCATAAGGCCCCCAAGTGGCATGCGGAGAAAGACGCGCCGCTTTGGCCAACATGGGCAGCCCCCTTCAACGACTTTAGGGGTGCTGCTCCCTCTCTTCGCTCGCTCATTTATCTCTCTCCCTCTCTCTCTCTCGCTCTCGCTGTCTTTCTCTCCCTTCGTTTCCTTCCTGCGTTGTCTCCGTGATTCTTCGTTTCAGAGAGTATCTACTTCTTTTCGTTACGGTTACTACTATCACTGGTGTTGTTGCTGCTCGTGTCTTTTTCTGCAACTGGTCGAAGCATCTCTCCTTCTTTCAAGGGGCTTGAGGGGCGATACAGTACCCAGTCCGCGCGCCGGCCCCTCTCTTTCGTTCTCCGGCCCCTCTCTCTCTCTCTCTCTCTCTCTCTCTCTCTCTTCTTCTTCTTCTTCTACAGGGCTTGAGGGACCCGGGGGCCCCCCGCGCGCACAGGCGCGCCCAGAACCTCAGTCCGTCCTCTGGGTGAAAAATGGGCCGACAGTCACCGCCTCTCTCTCTGTCTCACGTGCCTGTTGTGCAAGGCAAACCCTCACCCTCCTTCCGCCCTCCTTCCCTCCAATGCGAACTCGCATGACTGGCAGCTGTGCGTGTTTTTGCCTCCGACTGTGCTTCTCGACGTAACAGCCACCCGGAAGCTGTCATCAGGGTGGTGCTCTTGAAATGCTCATGTAATCACTGACATATGCAACTTCCTCGAACGCTTCAGACTCTTCATCGACGGCCGCCATGTATGGTGGCCTCGCTCCGAGCTCCGCATATGCGGATTCGGATTCCATGTTCCGTGGGGATTTGTCTTTTCGTGGCTTTGCCTTAGCTTTCAAGGCCAACATTCCAACATCCCGATCCTGTTCATAATCATCTACCGAAACCTTGATCACCAGACCTGGAGAAGACCGCACTTTGCCACCCTCCACGATCCAAATGGCCCCAACCTGTTTGCCAAGCAGGATCTAGCCCTGCCCATGTACTTGATGGCGCCTGTACTTTTATTGACTTCGTCACTCGCAGCCAGCCCTCAATAGCCCTCAAGTGTCAGCGGCCTTCGTGACAACAGCACATACACCTGCGCACCTCAGAAATGTCAACCTTGTTTGGGGGCTTCCGGAAGTAGGGGTACCCTTCTTGGGGGTCCCTTTCAGGGGATTCTATCCTATTTGGGGTGTATAAAAAGGGGTACCTCAGGACGTACCCACGCGCCGTTTTCCCAAAACGCGCCTGTCAGCCGGCCCACTGGACTCAACTGTGTAGAGGACGCAAAGGTGTTCTTCGCTGTCCCTGGCAAGAAAGCGGCGCGAAGAAATCGCTAGCAATGAGGGCTTCCCGGCCTGACTTTCTTGGCAGCCAGAACTTTGCCAAACTTAGGCGGATTCAAGGTGCCGATGCTCTGTGAGAATATGTAGTCCTGCATCGCAAGAGCATCATTTCTTTCTTGGCAACACTTCGTGCACGTAGGTAGGTAGTTGGAGCACTGGCCATAGAAGGCCATGGGATGAGGCTCCGTGTGTTTCTGTTGTTTGTTTTGGGATTTGGGTGGTTTGGTGAGGGGCGGCATAGGTTGGGGAAAGGGGTTGCGCGGGGTGCGCGGGTTTGGGGTGGTTTGCGGGGAGGGTAAATGCGTCGGTGCGGAAGCCTCGCCACAAATTTAGTCCAATAAAAAAGCAAGAAACACAATTTCCAAGACTTTTTTACTGGCTACTCCAAGAGTTCTGAACAAGTCCTGGGATGTTGTTGGGTTTTGTGTTTTGGCTCTGGTGTTTTCGGTTCTTTGGGTTCTTGCACGTTGCATAACCAAACTTGCCCGCAATGCAGCTTGGTGACCTGAGACAAAGTCAAACAGGGGTAGGACAGGACAACGGGGGTTACCCTAATCTCTACAGTAAACCCTAAACTAGGATGGCCCTGAAAACCCTCTGAAAAATATTCCTGAAGATGACCCTCTTAAACCCAATAAGGGACACTGTAAATGTCCCAAGGGCCTACCTAGTAAATTTGTCTGCCTTATCTCTTCTAAGGTTTCAAGAAAAACTCCTCCATTTTCTCTTGACTTCAAACCTCCATTTCTCTATCCTGATACCTTTATTTTTCGGGAAACCTGTATTTCCTCCACTTTTCATAGGAAACCTTTTAATGTTTGAACAGGAAACCCTCTATTTCCTCTATACATGAATATGAAAGTCTCTACTTCCTCGGTGTTCCTGTCTTGGAATACCCTAAACTAAAACTTCAGCCCTACACTCATTCTGGGTCTGCATCATTGCTGTTTTCTCGGTCATCGAAATACCTTTATTACCTCGATATTTAAGTCGGAAACCTTTCTTTCCGCACGTTTTGATCGGAGAGCCTCTCATTCCTCCATGTTTTATGGGAGAGCCTCGGTTGCCTCAGAACCTCTGTAGGGATACCCTAAACCCTAAACCCTAAACCCTAAACCCCCTACATTTCGACCCTGAACCCTAAACCCTCAATTCATTGTTGGAGGTAGTTATTGTCAGCGCACTTCCTAATGGTTCCCCAGCTTCCTCGCCTCTATACATTCATAGAAAAACCTCCACTTTATCTATAGCTTGCACGGGTACTTCACTTCTTCTTCTGCTGGACATGAAGGGCCCCCCTGAGGAACCCTCCCCGCCTCTTTCCTTCGTTGGGGCATGGAGAGATCCCTGTGCAAATTCAGGGGCTCGCTCTCTCCGTCTCGCCCCTTTTCTCAGATCTGAGTACAAGTCCTCTTCTCGTTCATATCTCCTATGGTTTAATAGAATCGGCCCTCCTACTTCGTTCCACATTTTCCTCTACATGTCCTCTAGGAATAAAACCTGTATTTTCTCTTGACGTTTGTTAGTTACCAATACCCGAACCACTTTGGCAGGCTACTCTCGCGCTACAGCTACGAAACCCTGAATCCTGCAAGCCAAACCCTAAACCCTAAACCCTAAAACGCATCGGCAAGTCCTTCAGCAGGGCCTCCAACTTGGGGATGTCGACACCCTCACACTCGCACGCGCACTCCAGCCCAAGCCCCCAACGCAAGTTCTTGCGATGGCCCCCCTTGGGACCCTAAACCCTAAACCCTAAACCCTAAACCCTAGGGGCCCTTCTTGCAGCACAGTCCTCATCAAATTCACCGGCCTTGGGCTGGCCTGCAGGGTGCTGTAGTGGGTCATATCTTGGGATGTTCCCCCTTATACGAACAGTCCTTGATAGGGATTTTACGTACAGGGGGGGGCACTATACTCCCTATTCAGTACAGTCCTTGATAGGGATTGTAATTAGGGGGTACTGTGATCCCTATGAAGGACTGGTAGTAGAATTTGGGAGCATCCCAAGTTATGTCGTCGATTGGAGGAGTCACTCACTGTCCACTTGGCCTGGTGTTGATTTCGGAAACAGAGAGGGCGAGAGCTCCTCAACCTGGAAGTCTGTACAAATATCCAAAGGAAACAAGCATCAGACATCAACCAAGACATCTTCAGACCCTACTTTACAAGTATGCTGGCCTGAGAGACTCTACGACTTTAGCAGGCCGAAAGAAAGCTTTCCTTTCGTGCCGGCATCATTCGGCCTCCGAGGTCTTGTCGCCCATGGCAACTCCGGAGCGGCGCCGAACCACCGAATCACGCTGACGTACCCCGACAAAGCGAAACCAACACTCTGCAAGAAAGGTCAAGTCTGTAAATCCCACGTTACGTTCACGTCAGGCACCTACGACAGACCGGCTGGCGTCCGACACGAACAGTAATCTACCCACAAGCTGAAGAATTGCCAAATGACCGGCTCATAGCGACATCAACCAAATATGAATAGGCCGCAAAAATGGTGCCTTGCTTCATGATCATTGCATTGCACCGCACATCACTCATGGTCTCCTAGCGACTTGTTTTGTCGCCGTCGCCACACATGGCTGATGGTCTTGTGGTAGATGCCAGGTGCTCAGGGAGCCACTTGATTCGGGGGCTCGAGCGTCCGTACCCATACAACACACAACTGAAAAAGCGAAAGCACATCGTCCCTCAAAGCCCAGCTGGCAATGAAGGTCAAGGCTTCGCCGGATTTAAAGCTTGCGCGGGAGCTGCTCAGAAAGCCACGTGCTCAGTCTTCCTGGTGCCTCGCAGAAGCGTGACACGACAGCAACAACAGACCCATCACGATGACAACATCGACACAAGCGACAGCTCGGCAACGATTCGGGACCTGTTCGGGTCATGGATGAACTTCCAGTGCAGCTGCTTCGCCTGTTGCCGCCGCACTAACCATATCCAGCCATCGGCACATGCATGCAACTCTCAAAGCAGTCAGCTGCACCCCAAAACTTGCATGCGAAGCCTTCTCAGAGTCGAACTTCTGACGGCACTCCGGGCCTCGATTGTGGGCCAATTGGCACGATCATGCAGGTCAGCACCCCTTCACCTTTCCGTCAGTCATCGTAGGTCGGTGACACTGGAAGGTGCCCGTCATCTTGATGCCAACCTATGCTGGCACCACATCAATACTGCGCCAAGCAAAGGGCTGCCACTCAGCACCCCGCATATTATTGAACAATGTACTCACTAAACACACCGGGGATGATGCGTTGGTCGTAGTTCCGTCCCCAGACTTCGCGGCATCACTGATCTCCATGGTCTCCGGCATGATGCCTCTGAAGGACATTGACCCCAAAACAGCGAAGCAAAAGTTTGCCAAAACAACTGCCCAAAACAAACTGTCTTCAAGCCTTCAGCAAACAGCCTTGCGCAGTGTGAACAGTCCCTTTTCTGAAAATGGCTGTGGTCGACGGCTTCAATCCAACTTCGGGGTGCCACGCGGCACCGCAAATGGCTCCTAGAGCAGCGACTTGTTTTGTCGTCGGCGCCACACACGGCTGATGGTCTTGCGGTAGATGCCAGGTGCTCAGGGAGCCACTGATTCGGGGGCTCGAGCATCCGTACCATACGACACACAACTGAAAAAGCGAAAGCACATCGTCCCTCAAAGCCCAGCTGGCAATGAAGGTCAAGGCTTCGCCGGTTTTAAAGCTTGCGCGGGAGCTGCTCAGAAAGCCGTGTTCTCAGTCCTCCTGGTGCCTCGCAGAAGCGTGACACAGCAGCAACAACAGACCCATCACGATGACAACATCGACACAAGCGACAGCTCGGCAACGATTCGGGACCTGTTCGGGTCATGGATGAACTTCCAGTGCAGCTGCTTCGCCTGTTGCCGCCGCACTAACCATATCCAGCCATCGGCACATGCATGCAACTCTCAAAGCAGTCAGCTGCACCCCAAAACTTGCATGCGAAGCCTTCTCAGAGTCGAACTTCTGACGGCACTCCGGGCCTCGATTGTGGGCCAATTGGCACGATCATGCAGGTCAGCACCCCTTCACCTTTCCGTCAGTCATCGTAGGTCGGTGACACTGGAAGGTGCCCGTCATCTTGATGCCAACCTATGCTGGCACCACATCAATACTGCGCCAAGCAAAGGGCTGCCACTCAGCACCCCGCATATTATTGAACAATGTACTCACTAAACACACCGGGGATGATGCGTTGGTCGTAGTTCCGTCCCCAGACTTCGCGGCATCACTGATCTCCATGGTCTCCGGCATGATGCCTCTGAAGGACATTGACCCCAAAACAGCGAAGCAACAGTTTGCCAAAACAACTGCCCAAAACAAACTGTCTTCAAGCCTTCAGCAAACAGCCTTGCGCAGTGTGAACAGTCCCTTTTCTGAAAATGGCTGTGGTCGACGGCTTCAATCCAACTTCGGGGTGTCACGCGGCACCGCAAATGGCTCCTAGAGCAGCGACTTGTTTTGTCGTCGGCGCCACACATGGCTGATGGTCTTGCGGTAGATGCCAGGTGCTCAGGGAGCCACTGATTCGGGGGCTCGAGCATCCGTACCATACGACACACAACTGAAAAAGCGAAAGCACATCGTCCCTCAAAGCCCAGCTGGCAATGAAGGTCAAGGCTTCGCCGGGTTTAAAGCTTGCGCGGGAGCTGCTCAGAAAGCCACGTGCTCAGTCTTCCTGGTGCCTCGCAGAAGCGTGACACGACGGCAACAACAGACCCATCACGATGACAACGTCGACACAAGCGACAGCTCGGCAACGATTCGGGACCTGTTCGGGTCATGGATGAACTTCCAGTGCAGCTGCTTCGCCTGTTGCCGCACTAACCATATCCAGCCATCGGCACATGCATACTCAAAGCAGTCAGTTGCACCCCAAAACTTGCATGCGAAGCCTTCTCAGAGTCGAACTTCTGACGGCACTCAGGGCCTCGATTGTGGGCCAATTGGCACGATCATGCAGGTCAGCACCCCTTCACCTTTCTGTCAGTCATCGTAGGTCGGTGACACTGGAAGGTGCCCGTCATCTTGATGCCAACCTATGCTGGCACCACATCAATACTGCGCCAAGCAAAGGGCTGCCACTCAGCACCCCGCATATTATTGAACAATGTACTCACTAAACACACCGGGGATGATGCGTTGGTCGTAGTTCCGTCCCCAGACTTCGCGGCATCACTGATCTCCATGGTCTCCGGCATGATGCCTCTGAAGGACATTGACCCCAAAACAGCGAAGCAACAGTTTGCCAAAACAACTGCCCAAAACAAACTGTCTTCAAGCCTTCAGCAAACAGCCTTGCGCAGTGTGAACAGTCCCTTTTCTGAAAATGGCTGTGGTCGACGGCTTCAATCCAACTTCGGGGTGTCACGCGGCACCGCAAATGGCTCCTAGAGCAGCGACTTGTTTTGTCGTCTGCGCCACACATGGCTGATGGTCTTGCGGTAGATGCCAGGTGCTCAGGGAGCCACTGATTCGGGGGCTCGAGCATCCGTACCATACGACACACAACTGAAAAAGCGAAAGCACATCGTCCCTCAAAGCCCAGCTGGCAATGAAGGTCAAGGCTTCGCCGGTCCTAAAGCTTGCGCGGGAGCTGCTCAGAAACCCATGTTCTCAGTCCTCCTGGTGCCTCGCAGAAGCGTGACACAACAGCAACAACAGACCCATCACGATGACAACATCGACACAAGCGACAGCTCGGCAACGATTCGGGACCTGTTCGGGTCATGGATGAACTTCCAGTGCAGCTGCTTCGCCTGTTGCCGCATGCATGCAACTCTCAAGACAGTCAGTTGCGCCCCAAAACTTGCATGCGAAGCCTTCTCAGAGTCGAACTTCTGACGGCACTCCGGGCCTCGATTGTGGGCCAATTGGCACGATCATGCAGGTCAGCACCCCTTCACCTTTCCGTCAGTCATCGTAGGTCCGTGACACTGGAAGGTGCCCGTCATCTTGATGCCAACCTATGCTCACACCACATCAATACTGCGCCAAGCAAAGGGCTGCCACTCAGCACCCCGCATATTATTGAACAATGTACTCACTAAACACACCGGGGATGATGCGTTGGTCGTAGTTCCGTCCCCAGACTTCGCGGCATCACTGATCTCCATGGTCTCCGGCATGATGCCTCTTCAGACATTGACCCAAAAGTAGGGAAGCAACACAAAACAACTGCCCAAAACAAACTGTCTTCAAGCCTTCAGCAAACAGCCTTGCGCAGTGTGAACAGTCCCTTTTCTGAAAATGGCTGTGGTCGACGGCTTCAATCCAACTTCGGGGTGCAACACACACACACACACAAACAAACAAACAAACAAACAAACAAACAAACAAACAAACAAACAAACAAACAAACAAACAAACAAACAAAAAACGCTTCGCTGATCCTAGGTTCTTCTACAAGTCTCACTGGTCACGCGGCACCGCAAATGGCTCCCAGAGCAGCGACTTGTTTTGTCGTCGGCGCCACACATGGCTGATGGTCTTGCGGTAGATGCGTCCTTCAAAGCCCAGCTGGCAATGAAGGTCAAGGCTTCGCCGGTTCTAAAGCTTGCGCGGGAGCTGCTCAGAAAGCCGTGTTCTCAGTCCTCCTGGTGCCTCGCAGAAACGTGACACGACAGCAACAACAGACCCATCACGATGACAACATCGACACAAGCGACAGCTCGGCAACGATTCGGGACCTGTTCGGGTCATGGATGAACTTCCAGTGCAGCTGCTTCGCCTGTTGCCACACTAACCATATCCAGCCATCGGCACATGCATACTCAAAGCAGTCAGTTGCACCCCAAAACTTGCATGCGAAGCCTTCTCAGAGTCGAACTTCTGACGGCACTCAGGGCCTCGATTGTGGGCCAATTGGCACGATCATGCAGGTCAGCACCCCTTCACCTTTCCGTCAGTCATCGTAGGTCCGTGACACTGGAAGGTGCCCGTCATCTTGATGCCAACCTATGCTCACACCACATCAATACTGCGCCAAGCAAAGGGCTGCCACTCAGCACCCCGCATATTATTGAACAATGTACTCACTAAACACACCGGGGATGATGCGTTGGTCGTAGTTCCGTCCCCAGACTTCGCGGCATCACTGATCTCCATGGTCTCCGGCATGATGCCTCTGAAGGACATTGACCCCAAAACAGCGAAGCAACAGTTTGCCAAAACAACTGCCCAAAACAAACTGTCTTCAAGCCTTCAGCAAACAGCCTTGCGCAGTGTGAACAGTCCCTTTTCTGAAAATGGCTGTGGTCGACGGCTTCAATCCAACTTCGGGGTGTCACGCGGCACCGCAAATGGCTCCTAGAGCAGCGACTTGTTTTGTCGTCGGCGCCACACATGGCTGATGGTCTTGCGGTAGATGCCAGGTGCTCAGGGAGCCACTGATTCGGGGGCTCGAGCATCCGTACCATACGACACACAACTGAAAAAGCGAAAGCACATCGTCCCTCAAAGCCCAGCTGGCAATGAAGGTCAAGGCTTCGCCGGGTTTAAAGCTTGCGCGGGAGCTGCTCAGAAAGCCACGTGCTCAGTCTTCCTGGTGCCTCGCAGAAGCGTGACACGACAGCAACAACAGACCCATCACGATGACAACGTCGACACAAGCGACAGCTCGGCAACGATTCGGGACCTGTTCGGGTCATGGATGAACTTCCAGTGCAGCTGCTTCGCCTGTTGCCGCATGCATGCAACTCTCAAGACAGTCAGTTGCGCCCCAAAACTTGCATGCGAAGCCTTCTCAGAGTCGAACTTCTGACGGCACTCCGGGCCTCGATAGTGGCCCAATTGGCACGATCACGCAGGTCAGCACCCCTTCACGTTTCCGTCAGTCATCGTAGGTCGGTGACACTGGAAGGTGCCCGTCATCTTGATGCCAACCTATGCTGGCACCACATCAATACTGCGCCAAGCAAAGGGCTGCCACTCAGCACCCCGCATATTATTGAACAATGTACTCACTAAACACACCGGGGATGATGCGTTGGTCGTAGTTCCGTCCCCAGACTTCGCGGCGTCACTGATCTCCATGGTCTCTGGCATGATGCCTCTCAAGGACATTGACCCCAAAACTCGACGCAACAGCTTGCCAAAACAACTGCCCAAAACAAACTGTCTGCAAGCCTTCAGCAAAAAGCCTTGCGCAGTGTGAACAGTCCCTTTGCTGCAAACGGCTCTGGTCGACGGCTTCAATCCAACTTCGGAGAGCAACACACATACACACACACACACACACACACACACACAGAGTTCATCTACAAATCTCACAGGTCACACGGCACCTGAGATTGCTAGCTCCTGGACAGGCGATTTGTTTTTTAGCTTTGATGGCTCGGGGCTTGCACTGCACGCGGCTGATCAGTTTACCATTCTCATTCTTACAGTATTGTCCCACACATAGGCCATGCGCAACTAATTGCAGCACTGCCCAGGCACGTTCAACAATGCTTTGTTTTCTCTGTCATGGTCTTGGTGCTCCCTTCGGGCGGCTGACCTCTGCTGGATCCTCGGCACGGCAAGGTCCAGCCAATTCAGATGCCATGAGGCTTGCATGCGTGCCCTTACACTTCCCACTAATTGGACCCTGTGACGCTGCCAGGCGAAGAACGAAATGCGAATCAGTGGCTAGAGCATGAACTGCCAAACTAGGAGCAAAAAACATCAAAGCACCGAGCAGAAGAGTTGTCACTGCACGTGCCTGGGCTTGACCATACAAGGCTCTTGCAACTCCTACCTTCAACTTTCCTCCCTGCTTGCGTCAAGGTTCAGCTCACGATGGTCTCGAAGCCGCCTCTCTGCCACTTCCAGATGCCTCTGCTTCTTGCTTCTTGAAACCGAAACGCTCTGTCCTTGCGGGCAACCCTTTAGTCCGAAAGACATGAGAATGCTGAGCAGGACCGCGCTTTCAAGAATGAAGCTTCCAGCACAAACCGTGGGCTGCTTAAGTACGGTTCCACTCCATCCGCTGCCCAGATGCGCTTGAACATCCTCCAACTCCGTCGAGATGACGGACCTGATTTCGTCTGTGTCGCGTCGCGTTGTCGAAGCTCTCCGGATGCCACTGCGTCTTTCATGTCAATTTATGCGAATATGTCGGTTCATGTCAATTTCTAATGCCGGGAGTCTGTTGCAACAGCCAAGCGACTCAGGATCCGCTGCCTGCACCAACAGCTGCAACAATTACGGCTGCACATTTGTATCACCGACATGTTGACATGCAAACCACTCGCGACACTCAACATCGTGAAGCAGCATCGTTTCAAGATCGAAGTGAAGATGCTCACAACCACGGCCTGGGCTTCCCGAAGCGCTCGCAACTGCCGAGCCAACCGGTCACGTCGCTTGCCCATCTCCTCTTGCAAAGCGGCTGCAGAGATCAAATGCCTCAAACACATTGCTCTCACAAGCACCAACGCCTGCAGCCGGCTCCGTGCAGAGAGGTCCACAGCATCAAACGGCTCCTGGAAAGCAATCTCAGGTAAGATCGATGCGTGATGTCATCCAAGACGATGCAGCCCACCCTGACCCTGGCCGCTCCCCCACACGTCGCAACCACGCAGGCCGATCGTTAACCTGCGCCTCCTCAGCCTTCACCTTGGCACTGTCAGGTCCACACATGTCCAGCTTTTCCGGGGTTCCAGTGCCAAAACGTCCAAAACATGAGATGTGTCCGAAACTAGTGCGCAAGTGTTCAAGCCGTCATAGTTTGTCAAAGGCTATGGAACCAATCATGGCCAAGCTGTCTAACAAGACGCTGCTTTGGTGAGGCTTCCAAACCTGGCACCTGGGGCGCAAGTTCAAGTCAGAACAGGTCCAGCTTGTGCCACGGTCACCATATGGGGGTTCCTACGATAAGGCACCTGATTGGGATCCTGTGTATACCGGAATCCTACTATGTGGGGTCTATATTGGAAGTCCCTTATTGTCGTAAAGCCCCCATATGTTCACATGGTGTTCTTCTTGGTTCAGAAAACCCTGCTTACCGACATACCCGTCTCAACGAACCTGGGACACTCAACATCATTGCTGAAGGGGCAAGGGTCGTTTGGGCAAGGACACCGGGCAAAAATGAAGCGTGCACACATTGTCCCTGTTCCTTCGTGCGAATTTTAACCTTAGCGTCCATGTCAAGAAGCTTCGAAAAGCGCTTCTCGGTCCAAATGCGGAAGCATGGCAATGCCACTTTGCCAATGTCGCAACACGGCAGGGAAAGAACGCCGGGCGCATGGGCGAAAAATCGTGAAGAATGTGCCAACTGCTCTACGTAGGCATGCAGCCACAGTGCTCGGAAACATCAGGCCTAACTTGAACTGCATGACAAATGAAACCATAAAACCGAAATACGAATGGACCACGCTGAACCAAACCATGTATACTATGAATTGAGCTTGCTCGATCATGTTTTCATTGGCAACCTCCTCATAGCCCAAGCTGCCCAAGCTGACTGCTCAATATACGACGCAAGTGTCGACAAACTCATGGGCACCGGTGAAATTTTTTCACAATAAGGTGGAAAGGTGGAGCTTCAAGGCGTGGGAGAAAGTGATACCAAGTGAAGCAAATTGCCTCAAGAGCATCTAGTCTACTGGTCGCACGATTCGTCGTGGCTGCAGCTTCTTCCAAGAAGCTGCTAGGCTACGTTGTTAAGGCAGCCGTATTCATCAAGCTCTTAGAATTAAGTAATTTAGGGCATGCTTCCGATGCCTCAGTTTGCGTGGCGCCGCCAGCCGTGTGCACAGCGTGAAATGCTTCAGGTGCAACAGCCCTACAATTGGCGAGGCCCACATCAGTTTTAAGCTGGGCTTTCTTTTGAAGCATCATTCTGACTGGCTTATGTCCAGCGCGGTGGACATCGTCGGTCCCCTGACCATCCTCATCGTGCGCCAAGAGTGCAAATGTACTTTGCTCCCAGTGAGAACTTCAGAAAAAAGAAAGCACTCAAGGGCCGAGGAGACGTTTCCTTGCTCAAAGGTACTACCTTGGGGCCGATGGAAGCTGCAAGTTCTCAACATTTCCCCAAAAATATCAGGGTGGGAGGTTTCAACTCGATTAAACTCGCCCCCAATTATGACCGCGCAATCGCGTTTCTCGACAAACCTTTTGAGACATGTGCATACTTCTTGAAGACGCATAGCATGCCAATGCACCGATAGTAGCCAACGCCTTGAACCACCATTGGCAATGGAAGCACCAACTATGAACCCAGGTAGGAGTTCTTTTTGATGGAGAAGAACATAATCTGTGGGTAACATCATCGCTACTCCTCCTGAGGGCTGATGATTTTCATTGGGCACAGCACCACGATTCGAATTTTGGGGCACAATAGAGGAGCAGCTGAAAGGTTTTCCAGATGCCACTCAGTCTGCAGGAGGACAAATGTGTTACAAGCGATTGCTTTAATGTTACTCCACTTGCCGTCCTCATCATTGGACGATCTCGTGAGCGAAGTGACATCCCATGCAACTGCAGATCTAACCGCAGGAGACTTTTTGGGCTGCGTTTGAAAGAAGGACACAACAAGGTCCACAACCTTGCGATGTGCGCTAACATGAGCCCGCTGACTGTCACAACATATTGCGAGAGTGTGCAGATGTCAGTGACTTGCGTGCTCCGAGCAACATGCACTGCTTCAATCTTGTTTGCGAACTGTGTGGGCAAATTCAAACAGTGTAACACAGCACTAAAGGATCTGACATGGGCTCCTTTCGGGATTATTGCTCTAACAGCCTGGTTTAATGATACAATACAAGTACGGATAGAACCAGCTTTAACGACCATGAATCGTTGGATGCATGAGGGGTCCTTTTGGTGCTTGGCTTGCACCATACCAAAACATTACACTGTAAAGCCATATTTTTTTGCGAAAGGCGCTTAAACTAAGATGTGTGATCGCATGAACGCCAACCCTCTGCGTGTTTTGTCGTTGTCGAAACGCAAATACGATGACTCTCTGCGTGATTGCGGGGTGTCGTGATCGTGAACACTTTGCGTGTTTTGCGTTGTCGAGACGCAATAATTTGCGCGTTTTTGCGGTCGAGACGCAAAATCGAGAACCCTCTAAGCGTGGTAAATTACGCCTGAAGTGTTCGACCTTTGGCGGACGACACGTCGAGACTACGCAAGTTTTTTTTGCGTCACAACGCGAATAACCCTCAGCGCCTGCTCAACTACGCATGCAAAGGGCCAAAGCCCCTGCGAAGGTACTTATCACAAAACAAGAGCCCAAAGCTCAAACAAGATAAAGCAGTAGAAAGGCCCGAAGCCCCGGCGAAATGACAGGCCCCCAAAGGGCTGTGCGCAACAATACAAACAACTGTTTGACAAGCGCAGCAACAAGGCTCAAGCCCTGCGAAGTGACAGGCCCAAAGGCAAGGCACTAAAATAAATCAAAATGAGCGCTTGGGTTGCCTTAGCAAGAGCTCCAACAGCCCGAATGGGCGCATAACCTGAAACGAGGCCAGATTCTGGGTCCGCTTTTGTGTGCAAAAGTACGTCCGCTTGTGCGTGGCCTCCCCGATGCCCGTTTCTGTTATGTTGATCACTTCCGCAAGAAAGCTGCCTGTGGGGTGGGGACTGGGGAAAGCACAGAGATGAAAGTTGGTCTGCTTTGTTTGCTGGACTTGGGTAAGCACAAAGAGGTGAAGGCAGGTCTGCTTACGTCAGGAAGCAAGACAACCCCCAACCCCGAAGAATAGCGCAGGTTTTGCCGGATTGGTGCACGAGAGATGGGTGTAGCGGAGCCGTGTCTTCCCCGTTTGAAAACCATTGCATCGAAGCTTCAAAACATGCATTTGTGGCGTTCTAATGGATTTGCAGAGGCCTTTTTGGCCATCTTTTTCAAGTGTATGGCATCAGAGCAGTTGAGAATTATTCTAAACTCCCGTGATTTGTCTCTTGTGTTCATTCTTTGAAAAACAGATTCGACTTTCAGCGGAGTAGATCTTTGTTTTCAAAAATAGATAATTATTCAAGAGGAGAGAAGCAGTCTAAATTCCACCGCGCTCGCTTCTTGCTTTATATGTTCATGATTAGGATTTTCTCCGACTTGGAGCGATGCGTTTTCCAACTGGCCTCGTGCAGTTTCCGATTCGGTTTTTCTGACTCGTGGCCCACCCGTGCGCCAAACCCCACGCTGCCCCATGCTGCCCTTTCCCCTTGTCTGCTGGGTGCGTCCAGGTGGCAAACCACTCTGCCATGCTTCTCTATGCCACCCTTGACTCTTGCCCCCCTCTACTGGGCGCCAAACCCCACGCTCTAATATCCTTGCGCCCCGCTGGGCGCCAAACGCCACACTGCCCTATGTTCCCTATGCTACTCTTGTCCGCTGCACCAACCCACGCTGCTCCATGCAACCTGCTGGCGCCAAACCCCACGCTGCCCTATGCTGCCTTTCCCGGTATGGAGGTACCGGGAACCAGCAAGCGGACCTTCATCTCTTTGCTTTTGCGAGTCCAGCAAAAGAACCTGACATCGCGCGCACCACACTGACATTCTTTGGAAACGCAGTCCCTCCAGGTTCACGAGATCTTCAAGTATTCAAACAAACAAGAAGAGAGGAAAGCCTGCACGATGGGCCCCCCCCCCTTTGGGTTAAGCCCCCCTTTTAAGTCCCCCAGAAGCCCCCTTTAAAGGGGTCCCTGCAAAGAAGATCCCTTCCGGGGGGGGGGGGGGAGGCACTGCCCCGAACTCTCACAAAAGGCCCAGCAAGCCTCTCAACTGCTGCCTAAACCTTCCGCAAAAGGCCCAGCACGTATTACGCCTTTTAAACTGCTGCCCAAACCCTCCAAAAAAGGCCCGCAAGTGGCCTCTTGCCGGAAGGGGGGCTTTCCTTGAAGGGGGCTCTAAGAGGAGCTTGAAAGGGGGTTGAAAGCGGGGCTTGAAGGGCTTGAAGGGGGTTTAAAGGGAGGGAGGGTAAAGGGAGGCAAAGGAGGGACTTCGAGGGCAGTTTTAAAAGGCGCTTCTACGATGTTGCACAGTTACCAGCAGGAAGGATGCAGCTCTACATCCCCTCTGGACAGCATAGAGGCGTGCTTGCAGGTGCCAGAATGCACAGACTCAGACGGCAAACAAAACAAAAACATGGGGTTCTCGGCTTGCCTTTGCCACGTCACTGCTCTGAATGGAGTGGGTTGCGCCTCTCCAACCCCCCGCTTTTTTGCCGGACAAGAAGCAATAAATCATCTCTAAAACAAAACATGGGGTTCTCGGCTTGGCCTTGCGCCACGTCACTGCCATGAACTGCTCCTCTTGAAAGAGTAATGAACACAAAAAGAAGAAGCGAGCGGGGTGGAATTGCCCTGAAGCTTCCCTTTGAAAAAGGAATCGAGGGGGTGGAATTTAGAAATAAACAAGTCAGGAACCTGGTAGGATCGCCAACTTAGAATGCGGTCCGCCATAGAAAACCCTGCTTGTGCGGCTCCTGTTCCACAAGAAGCAAAGCAGACCTGCGCATCTCTGTGTTCCAGAAGGCCACGACCGAGTCCGACCGACTCTTGGGCTTGGCGAGACAGAGAATTTCCTTTTATGGCTTTCTGGGCTCACGCGTTTTTGGCTGAATACCGGGGAGGCCACGCACAAGCGGACGTGACTTTTGCACACAAAAGCGGACCCAGAATCTGGCCTCGGAACAATTTCCTGCGCAAAGACCCGGAGCACATATGGAAAACCTACTCCTGCGGAAAAATACAGCTGGGTTAGCCCCAGCGGCTCCTGGCTGCCTGGCCGCGTCACTTCTGATTCTCCCTGCCATCAGCATCCACCTCCACAACCTCACCTGGCAGCGCTGCAAAGCCGCACGACACACTGCGCCGCTTGCATCTTGCCTATCTGGACGAGCGCCGACCGCATCATGTGACAAGTTCCAAAGCTTGAAGTAACGCTGAGGAAATCCATGGTGCCATGGAAGCTCATGGAAACCCTCGCTGAAGCTTCTGACATCTTTTTCCAAAGCCGCGCAAAGCATGAGAAAACCAATCGAAACCCCGCGGAGATTTTGCAGGAACCCTCACAAAGCTCCACTGGAAGCTTTAAAGACCTGCGCGCGACCTATATAAGAAAACCCACAGAAACCCCGCGGAAACCCTCACACAGCCCTAAGAACTAAGAAACCCACGAAAACCCCTTCAAAGCTGTCAAAAACCATGGAAAACCCACGGTAACCTTCACAAGACATTAGAAAAACCTTCCGAGAGCTTCAAAAACCTACGCAAAATCTAACAAAACCCACTGAAACCCCGCAAACCTTAGCTTTTAAAAAAACCTAGGCAAAACTTGACAAAACCCACGGACATCTGCGGAAACCCTCACAAAACTTCAGAGAAATTCAAGGAAAACCTCCGGAAAGTTCAAAAACTGCGCGAAATCCCACGGAAACCCTCACGAAACCCTTGAGGAACCTACCAAAACCATCCAATAGGTTTTAACACACGCACGAAATCTAAGGAAACCCACGGAAACCCCCAGAAACCCCGCGGAAACCCTCGCGAAACTGTAGGGAAACCCAGGGAAACCCTCCAGAAGCTTAACAAACATGAACGGAAACCCTGCGGAAACCCCTTTATCAGGACTGGATTCACCCTTTGGCAATTTACAAAGTTATTAAAGGACAGGTGCAGGAAACCCGCCACCCAATCACCGCACGCCAATGTCAGTATTATACTACCGGTCGTCCCCTAAAGGGTGAAAGCGGCATGCCTGCACGAAGCAATGGTCGCTGACCGTCTAAGAAGCACTTCGCGCCTTCAGGCAGAACGTCAAGGTACACATTGGTCTTTCACCAATCGGGTACAGAAAAAGGAATACAGTCTACGTCTGCCTGGCTTCACCGTCCACGTCACAACTTGCTATAGAACAAGACTGACTTCCTGCCTCAGGGTTCATGTCAGACTCAACCCAAGGACCTGACTGAAGGCATGACTGGTTTCTTGCACCCAAAGCTTTGACCCCGCGCATGGCTGTTGCTACAACCATACACAGCTAGGCCACCAAGCAGCGCACGGATGAGCTTGGACACCTCCGGCCGCGCACCGGCCGGCCGCGCCTGCGCCCCGCAACGAATGTGAAGCCTCTCGCATCGCCAAAATGGCCCTTGAAGACCTCGGCAACCTCCTCCACTGAGTACTTCGCTGAGCGAGTTGCGAAGGGCTTGCGACACCTTGGAAGCACAAACATGGACCCTACGGACTATGTCTGGGCACTTTTTTCGGCCAACAAATCAGGCTCCGACGTGGCAGACGTGGCGCAAGTACGCTAGCTGTGGCCTAGGAGCTGCTTGAGGCAAGAGAGCGCTCAGCGGCGGCTCAGATGCAATCTGTTGAAGACACATGGCCCGTAGGCGCAAAAATTAGCAAAAGTCTCTGAGAGTCTTGCAGATCTCAAGGCATCTTGAAAAAAACAATCCGGCACAAAATCCAGCAAAACAGGTCTACGTGCAAACAAAAGCAAAAGTACATTGCAAAAGTAGCAAACAAACGCAAAACAACGCAAATCTCCGAAATCTCCTGTAAACAAGGAACAACATTTAGGGCTGCTAAACACAAGCTAAAAGACAACCGCATGAAAGTGGCCTCCACAGTTGCAGCTCCCTTTCTGCTGCAGCATTACAAAAGCAAGCAGCTGCTTCGGACAAGCCCCTGATCCCCAAGCTTATGTTCTGCACGCTGCTCCCCAAGGTTCCTGGAACAAGGGCAGGCGCAGGCACGCTGACGAGACCCAGCTGCGTGAGCCCAGGGCTCAAACTTGCGACCCCAAAAATGGGGCCGTCTCGCGGCCCCAAAAATGGGGCCACGAAATGCACCCAGCTTCCCTTATTATAATGTGTAAATACATGAAAAGGCTGGAACTGCGACCCCAAAATTGGGGCCGCCTGGCGGCCCCAATTTTGGTGTCGCTAAATCTGCATTTTTCGAGCCCCTGCGCTCCCCAGATTGCGACGCTACAGCAACTCTGACCCACAGGCAAGCTCCTAGCGTGGAGAATTTTTTTTTTAAAGAACAACGACCCCCCACAGGCAGCTTTCTTGCGGAAGTGATCAACATAATAGAAACGGGCACCGGGGAGGCCACGCACAAGCGGACGTGACTTTTGCACACAAAAGCGGACCCAGAATCTGGCCTCGGAACAATTTCCTGCGCAAAGACCCGGAGCACATATGGAAAACCTACTCCTGCGGAAAAATACAGCTGGGTTAGCCCCAGCGGCTCCTGGCTGCCTGGCCGCGTCACTTCTGATTCTCCCTGCCATCAGCATCCACCTCCACAACCTCACCTGGCAGCGCTGCAAAGCCGCACGACACACTGCGCCGCTTGCATCTTGCCTATCTGGACGAGCGCCGACCGCATCATGTGACAAATTCCAAAGCTTGAAGTAACGCTGAGGAAATCCATGGTGCCATGGAAGCTCATGGAAACCCTCGCTGAAGCTTCTGACATCTTTTTCCAAAGCCGCGCAAAGCATGAGAAAACCAATCGAAACCCCGCGGAGATTTTGCAGGAACCCTCACAAAGCTCCACTGGAAGCTTTAAAGACCTGCGCGCGACCTATATAAGAAAACCCACAGAAACCCCGCGGAAACCCTCACACAGCCCTAAGAACTAAGAAACCCACGGAAACCCCTTCAAAGCTGTCAAAAACCATGGAAAACCCACGGTAACCTTCACAAGACATTAGAAAAACCTTCCGAGAGCTTCAAAAACCTACGCAAAATCTAACAAAACCCACTGAAACCCCGCAAACCTTAGCTTTTAAAAAAACCTAGGCAAAACTTGACAAAACCCACGGACATCTGCGGAAACCCTCACAAAACTTCAGAGAAATTCAAGGAAAACCTCCGGAAAGTTCAAAAACTGCGCGAAATCCCACGGAAACCCTCACGAAACCCTTGAGGAACCTACCAAAACCATCCAATAGGTTTTAACACACGCACGAAATCTAAGGAAACCCACGGAAACCCCCAGAAACCCCGCGGAAACCCTCGCGAAACTGTAGGGAAACCCAGGGAAACCCTCCAGAAGCTTAACAAACATGAACGGAAACCCTGCGGAAACCCCTTTATCAGGACTGGATTCACCCTTTGGCAATTTACAAAGTTATTAAAGGACAGGTGCAGGAAACCCGCCACCCAATCACCGCACGCCAATGTCAGTATTATACTACCGGTCGTCCCCTAAAGGGTGAGGACGCAAGAGGTGTTCTTCTGCTTCTGGCGAGGACCTGTGTCAACCGGAGCGCCGAAGCTGGGGCATGCCTGCCATACGAATCAATGGTCGCTGACCGTCTAAGAAGCACTTCGCGCCTTCAGGCAGAACGTCAAGGTACACATTGGTCTTTCACCAATCGGGTTCAGAAAAAGGAATACAGTCTACGTCTGCCTGGCTTCACCGTCCACGTCACAACTTGCTATAGAACAAAACTGACTTACTGCCTCAGGGTTCATGTCAGACTCAACCCAAGGACCTGACTGAAGGCATGACTGGTTTCTTGCACCCAAAGCTTTGACCCCGCGCATGGCTGTTGCTACAACCATACACAGCTAGGCCACCAAGCAGCGCACGGATGAGCTTGGACACCTCCGGCCGCGCACCGGCCGGCCGCGCCTGCGCCCCGCAACGAATGTGAAGCCTCTCGCATCGCCAAAAATGGCCCTTGAAGACCTCGGCAACCTCCTCCACTGAGTACTTCGCTGAGCGAGTTGCGAAGGGCTTGCGACACCTTGGAAGCACAAACATGGACCCTACGGACTATGTCTGGGCACTTTTTTCGGCCAACAAATCAGGCTCCGACGTGGCAGACGTGGCGCAAGTACGCTAGCTGTGGCCTAGGAGCTGCTTGAGGCAAGAGAGCGCTCAGCGGCGGCTCAGATGCAATCTGTTGAAGACACATGGCCCGTAGGCGCAAAAATTAGCAAAAGTCTCTGAGAGTCTTGCAGATCTCAAGGCATCTTGAAAAAAACAATCCGGCACAAAATCCAGCAAAACAGGTCTACGTGCAAACAAAAGCAAAAGTACATTGCAAAAGTAGCAAACAAACACAAAACAACGCAAATCTCCGAAATCTCCTGTAAACAAGGAACAACATTTAGGGCTGCTAAACACAAGCTAAAAGACAACCGCATGAAAGTGGCCTCCACAGTACCTGGACGTTGGCCAGGTTATTCGTAAATCACTAGACCGGTAGTGGTAGTGGTAGTGGTAGTGGTAGTGGTAGTGATAGTGGTTGTGGTAGTGGTAGTGGTAGTGGTATTGGTAGTGGTAGTGGTTGTGGTTGTGGTTGTGGTAGTGTGCTGGTAGTGGTAGTGGTTGCGGTTGCGGTTGCGGTTGTGGTTGTGGTTGTGGTTGTGGTTGTGGTTGTGGTATGTTGTGGTTGTGGTTGTGGTAGTCCTGATAGTGGTCCTGGTTGTGGCTGTGGTAGTGGAAGCAGCATTGGAACTCGCTCGTTTCCTCGGTGCCATGTTTCCGATTTTCCTGGTTTGCGTGCCTCCTTCCCTCCTTCTCCGTTTCTTCCTTTGTTCCCTCCTTCCTTGCGCTGCTTGATACATTCCGTCCTTTCTTCAGTACTTCCCTGCTGTTATTTCAACAGCAGGAACTTTCTTTTGATCGCTAAAAAGGTTTCTTGACTGTTGAAAAGGTTTTGGATTGCTAATATGTTTTGGTTGGCCTCCCCTGCACGTATGGCAGATCATAAACTTTGCAAACTTCAACCCCCCGCCTGTTTCAAAAAAGCTTTCATTCCAAAACTTTCGAGTTTCAGGTCGTTTGTCTGTCTGTCTCATTCGTCAAAGGTTTCCGGAGTTCCAGTTGTCATTGGAATTTTCCAGCTTTCCGTTTTTAGAACTTGAAAACGGTTAAACGCATATTCGCACCTTTCGTGGACATAGTACGCCGCGCCAATGCTGCCCAGAAGAGGAAATAGATAACGGCCGACAGGCTGAGAAGAGGTGGGAAGCCCCACGACTTATCATCACCGGCTCAGTTCGTAAGTTGTTGGAAAGTTCGTTTGTCCTTCAATCGTAGAATTTTGAAGGCAGTTTACGGATCAGCTGGTTGCCTTAACCTTCACTGCATGGCGTGTGCAAAGCTGTTTTTTCGTTTTGTCAACTGCGGAGTCGCGCCGTTGAGTTGAACCATTGCAGCAAACTTTGCAATCTGTTTGTGGGATCATTCGCCGAGCAGCTCCGTTTGTAGTGATGTCACCTCTCATGAATGCCGAAGTGGACGGGAGAAGGACTTCTCGGACTTCTCGGACTTCTCCTTGCAATTCTTTGCGCGAATTCACTGGCCAGCTCTCGAAGCTTGGAAAGCGCAGGCAGTGGCAGCGGGCGCTTGAGCTGCTCTTAGCCGAGAGCAACGGCAGGTGCCGACTTGATGTGGTGGCCTTCAGCGCTGTGGCCGGCGCATGTGCCAGGGCAAATGCATGGCGAGGGGCCGTCGCTACACTGCACGGCATGGAGGACCAGCAAAAACCTGAGAGTTGTCGAGACATTGTTAGTCGGAAGCCGGGTGTACTTGCTTCACTTAAGACTTAAGTAGGCTCGCCAGTATCCCAAGCTGTCAGGACCGAGTGCTGGCGCCGGACACGGTGAGCATAGGGGCTGTGATGGACGCATGCGCCAGAGCAAGTCACTCGAGTAGGTGGCTGGCATCCAACCGGTGCTTGCAAAGCTTGAGAACTTCGTTCTGCGAGGCAAACATAATCCTTTTCAACAGTGCGATCACCGCCTGCGAGCGGAGTTCTCAGTGGGCCACGGCTTTTCAGCATCTTCATCTCCTGTGCCGTATGGCCTTGTGCCCTGACGGGATCACCCGGAATGCCCTCCTGACTGCCTTGAGAGGCGGCTTTTGGGGGCGGGCCATCGAGTTGCTATCCATTTCCTGTTTGACTTTGCAGCGAAGCTGCGTCACGCTGAATGCTCTCGCTGCCGTACAGGCCAACACGGACACCTGGGAACTGGCCTTGGACACCCTTGCCGGTATGGCCCAAGAACACCTGGAACCGGATGTTGTGACGCTTGGGACTCAAGTGACCACCTGCGTTAGTGGCACACAGTGGCAACGCATCCATCGCAGCCTCCGCATCCTGAAGCTGCAGCAGAAACAAAGCCTCGTGACCTTGAACGCGGCAATCTCATGCCCAGAATGGCGTACATCGCTGTGTTTGGCTCAAAGAACAGCCACGGGGGAATTTGGCTGCTCGGCCGATGTGATCACTTTTAACACAGTCGCAAGTGTTTGTGAGAAGGCACGTCGATGGGAGCAATCCATGCTTGTGTTGCAAGCGTTTCAGGGCTTTAGGCTGAGTCCAGATACTTGCACCTACAACGCAGCACTCAGTGCTTGCGAGAAGTGCAGTCAGTGGGAGAAGGCGATCCATTTACTTGCTCACATGGCTGACCATGAGGTGATCCCAGACACAATTTCTTACAATGCTGCCATTGCGGCGTGTGATTCATGCTGGGAGAATGCTTTGGCACTTCTGCATGCAATGCAAGTTGGGACTACGGCCGTAGATCGAATCAGCTACCACAGTGCCATCGGCGTGTGCGTCGGCAGTCGACAGTGGGAAATGGCACTGACCCTTTGTAAGGATATGTTGAAGCAAAATATCCAAGCAGACTCAGTGTCCGTGAGCTTGGAGATTGGTGCACAGGAGCAGGGAGGGAGATGGGTTCATGCAGTCAGCATCTGTCGCGGCGTCGCTATGAGGGGCCTGGAAAACAACGAGTTCACCTACGGTGCGACGTTGAGTGCATGCAAAGGCCGGTGGCATGTGGCCTCCGTCCTCCTGGAGGAGAGGCGTCTAGGAACACAGTCAAAGCTTTGAGTTTTTTTTTTGTGTGTGTGTGTGTGTGAGAGATCCTTGGTTGTTTGGTTTGCTCATCCAAATACACCCCAGTTGAAAAGATACTTCCTCATGGCGGCGTGTTGCATCATGAGGTGCATGGGGCGACAAGAGTAAGGTGAAAAGTCTGTTAATTTTCGCCTGCTGGAGGAGCTGCATTGCCATCCAAAACTCCTGACGACCACATTGTTTGGAGCAGCCCTGGGCACCGTGATGGGTACCGAAGATATCTTGCCTTCGCCTGGCGTTTCTGGATCCCCGGTCACATTTGTGGCCTGGGTGCTGGATCTCTTTAGCAGGCGTCGTGTAAGTCCCAGCGCTGCAGCCTATGCGACAGCGCTGGAGAATCAAGCCAGGGCAGGTGCGTACAGTGCTGGCAGCGGTGACAGCGGCGGGGGTGTGGCGGGGCCACACCTCGCCGCAGAGCTCGCTGGCTGCTCCCTTGCCTCTCTCCGTGAGACTTTCTTGGGGGAAAAATAGACGGGGGACCTCTTGTCAATTTGGTAGGCTAAACAGGGCTAGACATACCCGACATGCTAGACCAGTGCACATCCGCTCGAAGGGAAGCGCATCGATGCAAACCTCGGCCCAAATGCAGCATAGCTGAATAGCTGCTGCATGATGTTGCCACCGAGCATCTTAAACTCGAGAGCGTGGCTTACTGATTATCCAGACGATGCTCACGCAAATGATATCAAAGAACGCCAATCGTTGAAGCTTTGTAAAACTTGGCGGCATCAAGCACTTGGCTGGGGCCTAGTGCGGTCTCGAAGAGCGCCTGGGCTGCAAAAATAAGTGAGACATGTGAGACTCAAGTTGTTTCTCCTTCGAACACGGTTTCGCGCAATTACAGAGCAACAGACTTGGTTCCTGTCTTGTTTCCAGTTTGTTCCAACTTTCTTAACTTGCAGACCCCTGTGATTTAGCCGGCGAGGCTGCTGCCTGGAAGCGGTGACACGTCACGTCCCACCTTGCCCCTGAGATCTCAGGCCAAATGGCACGAGGCCACTCTGCATGCAGCGCTGCTTTCCCATCCTGGTGTCCTGGCGGAGTAGTTGGTAGGTTTGTTGTTCATTCTGGGTGGAACTTTCACACGAGCGGCCCAGACATGGCGGTCCCATCCTCTCGAATCCCAGGCTTTCCTACCTTTGCCCTGCCATTCTGCTGAGCGTTCTGCGCTGCACTCAGGAGTTGCTCTCTTGAGCCCTTGGGTCCTCGAGGGATGAACTTAGCGGGGTTGCACGGCGTCGGCTTTCGGCTTTGAAGCGCTGGAAACAACTTTGCAAAAAATGCCATCTAAGCATACCAGCAACGAGGGCATCTCCCGACTTCCCCCTCCCTCCCCTTTTCTCCCGCCTCTGCCAAAAGCATATGAGGCTGGCCTCGGTTTGGTCCGATGTCAGCGTTGGGCTGCTTGGTTGTAGCATGGGCGGAGCGTGGGCCTTCTGCTTACCGGGAACGAGTCTTGCTGTCTTGCTCGATGTAATGTTTCCTGGTTTGTCCTGGATCCGACGGTTCCATGAAACAGTACAGCTTGCAGCCGCTGCGAGGAACAAGTTCTGCAGCGATGCGTATGCAGGTTCAGGGAGAGTCGGTTGGGACAAGTCAGGACAATTTCCCGTCGAGATGACTTTCATCTTTAATGAGAGTGTCCGGAACGACATTCAAAGGTTGCGGGGTTCTGCTATGCTTCACGGCGGGCCTTGGTGAGGGCAATAGGATGACATGGCCTATGATGGGAAGTCTTGCTTCATCAGCTGTCGGGAAGAGCTGGAGGATCGATTCATGTGAGTCATCAGGCGTCACATCACTTTGTTCAATCAGGGGTGACTGTGCCTAATCAAACAGCATGGAGATGCGTGGAGTTTTTTCTTCGCGAATGGTTTTTGCATCACAGGCCAGTTCCACACTAGGCCCACCAAAATGCAGCCATGCGGAGGCGTAACAGCAATCGTTGATCCTTGCCGAGATCTGTGTCAGGTGACACGAAAAGAACCGTTCCGCAAGTCTCTCCACGGAGGCGCACAACGGTTTCTGAACTTTCCGCATCTGAGGTTTGCTCTCCGGGCGAACAGAGGCCGTCATGGCTTCCGCAAAGGCCCAGCTTGGGCTGCTTTGTTGCGGCACGACGAGCGTGTCGTGTTTCATCTGGTGCTTTGCATTCCAGGGTCTTCTACAGAAGTGAGACGGATGAAGCCTCGTGCTGTGAATCTTTGCAGGCTAAGTATTCTGTTGGCTGCTGTTCAACACTTTGTGGTGTTCTTTGGCCCATCATGTGTGTGGCGACTTCGACATAAGAATCGATGCGCGAGGCGTTACCACAAGACAGGAGAGACAGGCCCGTAGGGCGCTGGAATAGGCGGGCGCTGCTCGAGACCGAATTCGGCTGTCGAAAATTTGGGTTTTCGCATCAACGCCGGCTGCGTCAGGCCGCCCTCGGGCCCCATGCAGAGGGCAAGTGGTGCACAGGTCTCTGCAGGTCTGTAATGATTTCTATTTTATCCGGTCACCGCGGCTGGATCCCTCGAACCGGCGTCCAGCAAACGGCGCCAGTCAGCAGCATCACGACGCACACTGTCGTTCCAGCGCCAGCCAAGATACACTCCCACTTGGCTCGCCATTGTCCCAAAGGGTGCGACGCTGACATGCGTGACACGTTCTCCGCGACTCCACTTGCCCACCGATAGTATTTCTAGGGCATTCATAGGGCCATTGTTCCAAGTATCTCGTAGCTTATGTGTGTTTAGTTTGTGTTTCGTAAGCAGTCTAGCAGTTTTTTGAATAGTGGCGTGGAGGAAGCATCAGTTGAACAAGAAAGATAGATTTTTCATCCGGAGTATCCCACTTGGCTCGCCATTGTCCCAAAGGGTGCGACGCTGACATGCGTGACACGTTCTCCACGACTCCACTTGCCCACCAGGAGTATTTCTAGGGCATTCATAGGGCCATTGTTCCAAGTATCTCGTAGCTTATGTGTGTTTAGTTTGTGTTTCGTAAGCAGTCTAGCAGTTTTTTGAATAGTGGCGTGGAGGAAGCATCAGTTGAACAAGAAAGATAGATTTTTTCATCCGGAGTATCCCAACTTTTGCAGCAGATTCATCTTCCAACTCAGCGAGGTGGTACGAGCAGCTAGAAGATGCAGGAAGGAACTTGAAAAGATGTCTGTTGTGGCAATCATACGGAACAGGCCATCAGCGCTTTCGTGATCCTTGGGCTGCGGCCCCCAGATTTGCCATCCACTTGTTCGTTTAAGCATCAGTGATGCGAACTGCGATATGCTTCGATGCGGTTTCGGACAAGGAGTCAAGGGATATTCATGGATAGTCTTCGCGACTTCTCGCTGTCCATTCCCCAGGTCAATCATCAAAGGCGGCCGCGTGATGCTCTTCGTCAGGCACAGGTTTTTCAGGATGCACGCCATTGAACAAGAGGCATCTCTCCTGTCTGATCATTCTGAGCACTTTATGCACTTTGTTGCTGCCCCCGTCTTGTCGGCAAGCAGCTCCCTGATCATTCCCAGAAGCTCGTCATATTAAAATGTTAAACTGCGGTGCTTTGATGCAGACTCAGCTGAATCTGGCTTGGTCCCGAGCACGGTCGCGGCTGCTCGTCAACAAATTTGGTGCCGCAATCCAGGGAATCCACGGTCCATGATTTCGAAAGATACATCCTCAAAGCCCGAAGTTCGCAGTCTCCCCGTTCCTAACACCTCCAAACGCAGCCAGAAGACTTGCAAAGGGAGTCTGTTTAGGGCCGGGGTTTAGGGTCGGTACAAGCAGTTTAAGTACAGACCTTTCCTAGCCGCAGCCTAATTGTAAAGGCTTGCGCGTGCTGCCACGCAAACAACACTGGCATCCACAAATCAGGAGTGGCCAGTAACAGATGAAGATTCTGGACATATAGATATCTTGAGCAGTGCCACAACTAGTGACCTGATGATGAGTTAGCCGCAATGTGGTATTTGCAACGTCGAAGGAACAAGCGACCACCTTCAAGACACAACAGAGACACACTCGAGTGGCTTCGCTGCGGAAAGTGGTCGTTGCACTTGCTCTAGCAGGGTCTCGTGTATTGGTTGATTTCTGCAGGTGGGAGTACATGAAATTGAAGCTTTGCGGTGAACTGTTGCATCTGATCATCCTTCAGCCGATGCAGCGCCAGCAGCCGCTGCATCTCAGGACTACTCCGTTCTTGACATCAGCATACGAGTTCTCACGAATAGATACGACTAGATGCCAGATTGTTTCCGATGGTCCCAGATGGTTCCAGCATTTTCTCGCTGTGCTTAGGATTCTTCGCGAAGTGCTCCGCGATCCGCTCCTAACTTTGGCTTCTTGGCACGTGAACCATTCTGAACTCGTCGTGAAACGTGTGAACTTGTCAACGATGCAAAGCGACACACAACAGTGTGATGTGATAGGACGTGACAGCCTCTGAATGTGGAGCTGAAACCCGAGTGCAGCCATCTGCATTCTCTGAGGAGATGGAGGAGGCAGCCTGCCTGCGGCCGCAGCAGGCAAACGGGGGGCTCAGGATGCATGTCTAAGAGCTTCAACTTGAGTCAGATCTTTTACGTGCCTTCTATGCTTTCGTGGTGCTTTTTCATTTTTCTGGGGCGCAAGAGCTCCCCGATGCTGTGACGCGGTCTGGGGTTCCACTGGATTCCACGCCATCCTCGCAGGTGCCCGACTTCCTTCCCAAGGCCGGGCTTGCACGTGCTTGCCATGTTCTTCAAATGGTGAGGGGATCGGTAGGCTGGCGCTTTGCACTGCTTTGCACACCCTGATGCACTGGGACTTTCTGATGCTTTGCACATGGAGAGGCCGTGCTGGAGGCTGCCTCCAAAGTGCTGGGCACCGGTGTGAGCTCTGCGCAGGGCACCGCGGCGCCGCCACCTTGTTGGCAGAGTGGGGGGTTGGGTGACACCCTGGGGCGGTGGCAGTTCCTTGGGATCATTGTTGTGTCACGTGAAGGGTCTTTTCCTCGGTGTTCTGTGTTTCTGTCTGTGAAGCCAGATGTAACATGGTCGGCCCCTCGTCGCCTGTCAAAGCAGGATTCACTCCTTTGTCGTCCCTTTTTTGTACTTTAATGGCTTTGTCACATCTCAGGAATGGCAAGCCGCAACTGCTCGTCTGTGTGAATACCGCGCTCGACGGGTACGATCGGAGTGCCGCTCAGGGCAATGGAAAGAATTTGCGAGCTTGATGCAGAGTGCAGACTGGAGCGAGGGACACGTGAAATGATGATGTATGTGTTTCTGATAGTTGGTATGCTACCAGAACAGCTGTTGCAATTTCATCGCTGACGACACTGGTTCCTTGTTGGTTCACCGCTGCACGCTTCTGGAGTCAGAGGGCATGCTGAGCCAAAGCCCCAAAACCTCCAAGTAGGCTGTCGAAACCCATCCAGACGCAAATGGTGTCAATTGTCGCATCTCTTCGCGCGATTCTGGCCTGTGCATGTGCGGTTTCATCCAAGGC